CACGAGCACGATTCCACGTCTGAGCCCGCGCCCGCGCCTAAGCACACACCCAAGTCCGCGCTCGAGCGCAAGTATAATGTCTTTTTGGAAGTCTGGAAAGAATCAGAATTTGATAGAGTTGTAAGTATCCTCTGATCTTTTTTTTTATGTATAATTGTGATAAAGTGTCTCTATTAATATATTAGTGTAGAAGGTATTTCCGAATATCTTAGAAGACGAGGAGGATCCAGTCATCACCCTAGGGGAACTCTGGGGGGATGAACCTGTCCCAGAAGGATATGATAAAGATACAGAACTCCCTCTCTCACGTATGGGACTTCAAGACTGCATTAAAAAAGCGATGGGTATTGCAATTTAATCTACATGATTTTGTGCAACCGAAGGCTACTTTTACAATACTAGCTTTGAGATATTTTGCTCGTTGCTCTCTACATCTAATGTCTAAACTTACTCTAGAAAGCTGGCATCTTGCTATTTTATTCGGTAGCTAGTTTACCTGAATACTTGGCTACATATGATTAAATAGGTCACTTTTAGGTCAGCAATCAAAATCAAATTCTTGACTATCGATATCTGAGCGGTAGATATTCCCTGAATGTGAGGCGTACGAGGACTCGCTAGATTTAGTTAGCCGACGAAATAAATGCAAGGCATACCTATACTCGCCATGCATGCATTTGATACAATCTTCCTTAATCTGATTATATTTAGAAGTTCTTGTAGCCTCGTAGTTTACAAGACGGTCCAAATGGCACGTAACTAGCATCATGGGATCAGGTCAACGTGTTGAGAGTGTTGGAAGTGTGGTCGGAGTTAATATGGTCTTAACACCGGCTCCCCTGACCAAACCCGACGTCTCGCTTGAGTCGAAACATGGTTTTTTGGTGGAAAGGTAGCTGGACTGCATAAATCACTCTGAAAGACGCGCAGGTCTCTCGATTTAGTCGGAGCATCGAGTCCTTCCCCTGCTTTCGACCTCGCATTTGTCATCTCCCCACGCTCATCACAAGGTGCAGGACAGGATAGTGCAGGTACACGCAATCCCGAGTCACAGCCAGTTATAATTAGGAGGCAATTCTAATCTGCTGCTGCATATCTGTCCTGCAGCTGACGAACGACGGCCAACCGAACCTCGAGGTTCTTCCCGAACATTCCTCCCTCGCTTGATAACAGGGGCAAAGAAGAAGCCACTTACCTCTGAGATATATATCCGTTCTCTGTGATAACTATATTCTATATCTCCTATCTCATATCTCCATTCTACCACACGATACAGAAACCGAAGCCGCGTCATGACGGTTTGAGGAAGCTCTAGGACAATCAAGAGAGCTAGTAAAATAGGTGGATATAGCTGCCTGTGCAGAGTGGCGTATCACACAGTTAAAGAGGTTACTTGCTGCTGCTGGCTGACAGCTGGTTAGCTCACGATTCAGCTGTGGGACCTTGGGCTTGGGGGCGCACTGTGACAAGCCTTTTCCCGAGCTGGGTTCTTTCACACTTTACATTTCACCATTTCATTCTCTTCCTTCTTTCCTCATCGCCTAACTACCTTGGCTCCATCGAATTACATACTTCCAACTTCATTTCCTATTTCCCAATAACCTTATTACTGCGACAGATACGCCACCCGTCGCGATACCATCTTCAACTCGAGATATTCTCTACCACGGACAAATACACCATCTTTTCCTCCACTCCTTCCTACACGGAATTACCATAAAAAGCATTCTGGTAGCTTCTCGATTCAACTGTTCAGAAAATGTCTGTCATAGACTACAACTCGCTCCGGCAAACAACGCTCGGCTCCGGAGTTGATGAGGAAGCTGTTACAGTCAATACAAGAGCTTTGGTATGTTGCTGCATTCTTCTTGAGGCATCCTGGCGTCTGCATTCCATACTAATCGATGATACCTCCAATTCTAGATTGACAAGGTTCTAGCGCGATACTCCGGTGAACACACTACCTTACGAGAATTACTACAAAATGCTGCAGACGCAAGTGCCACACGTGTTGAAATACGATATGAAACCGCTGGCCCGACATCCGCTGATTCTTCGGTCGATTTAAGCTCCATGACACCGACTCAAAGGAAAAATGAAGAGCTTAAGAGATTGTTGAAGAGCAAGTGCAAACGGATGTTGGTCAAGAATGACGGCATTCCGTTTCGCGAGGAAGATTGGCAGAGGCTGAAGAGAATTGCTGAGGGAAACCCTGATGAGACGAAAATTGGTATGTCAACTTCGGGTGTGGTTTTTGCTTGTGAGATTTAATATTAATATGATTTATGTGCAGGTGCCTTTGGTGTTGGTTTTTACAGTGTCTTTGATGAGTGCGAAGAACCATTCGTTTCCTCCGGTTCTCAGGCCATGGCATTCTACTGGAAAGGGAATCAGTTATTCACAAGGCGGGCTAAGCTCCCACAGCACGATCCGATGACGACTTTCCTACTCGAGTATCGACAGCCGGCGGATCCACCACCGTTAGTCTCGTTGTCGCAATTCCTAGCGACCTCCCTTACGTTCGTTTCGCTCGAAAAAGTCGACCTCTACATCGACAATTATTGTGTTACCTCGATCAAAAAGAAGACGTCGCCTGCCAATCCGCTCGGCCTCCCCGGAAGCATTTCGACGGCCCAAAAGGGAACTGGCGCAATGCTTAAGATTGTTGGCGTAGATTCTGAAAGCGTCCAACTCACAGCTGATGTTATGGGGCTTGTTACATACAAGGAGAAACCAAAACTAGGACAGGCTGTCGCTGATACGGTCACAAGCGGGTTTAGAGGGTTCTGGCAAAGACTCGCACAGCCAGCTGTGAGCAACAGCTTAAAGGACATCTCCCGTAACGGCTCGTCCGCAAATTTGGTAGACACGGTAGACCTTTCAAAGGTTACTAGTAGCACTATTTTCATCAGAATAGCTACTGCGAATCTTCAGTCTAATGTCGGTTCGACATTTGCCGCCAACCTAGAGAGAGCAACCAAGAAACCTCCCCCACGCAGGACAAAGTGTGCTATTTTAACTATGTCGAAAGAGGAGTTAGATGCTTCTGAGTCCGTGGATTCTAAATCCGATACTTTCATTTTCGCGAACGTCCTGCCTACGAAACTTGGCAAGATTTTTATCGGGTTCGCGACTCATCAAACCACCGCTATTCGGGCGCATTTTGCGGCACACAGCGTCATTCCAACCGTAGAGCGTGAGAGCATTGATTTCAACGCCCGTTATGTGAAAGAATGGAATGCAGAAATGCTGCGCATGGCGGGTATTCTTGCACGTATCGTGTACTTCTACGAAATGTCGGACTTGCGTGGCCGGATTCAACCTGGAGAAGGCAAATATACGACAACCATTGATGCATGGAATAAAGTTGCGCCATCTGTGCTACATATCATGAACATGTTTACTTTTGTGGAGAGCACGCCGAGCCCAGTCGTCGGTCAGATTATCGAGGAAGCCTTTTGGCAATGTTCCAACGTTGTTGAGGTGATCAGTACGAAGGGAATCTTGCCCAGCAACACTATTCGAATAATTCCGAAGGGTGCAGAGGAAATTAGTAGTTTCCTGTCTGGTATCCCTTTGCTTCCTCCGACGATCCAAACCGATGCTCCTGTATTCGTTAGAGCTCTGAGGCTATATGGCTTCATCCATGAGTTTTCCCTCAGTGATATGAGGACCGAGTTAGAAAACAGGGCTTTGACTGGCGCGCAAATGGTTGTCTTCCTGAAGTGGCTGGCCAAGAAGATGATGTCCGGTGATGTCAGCCAGGAGTTTGTCCAAGAGTTGCTCAGAGTCGCTGTTGCTTCATCGACAAACCCTGAAGAAACAGAAAAGCCAGAAGTTACGGGTACCCCAATAGCGCTCGCGGGTATCACAAGCTTCGTGACTCCGGCTGTTCTCCCGCCTGAAATGCCAGTACCACCTACCTGTATACCTTTCTCTCTGACCAAGACTATGAAACGTGAAGAACTTCAAGCCTTGGGATGGAGGGAGTTAGACCTTGTTGAATGGGCTCTTTACTTGGCTTCGCCGGAAACGCTATCGCAAATTGCGATTGAGCATAACATTACTCTTTCTGCACAATTTGCTGCTCATTTCCATGCGATACTGGCCAAACCATGGAAGAAGCTCGTTCCAAACGACAAGAATGCTATCGCGACTGTCCTCAAGCCAATATCATGTGTACCTTCGTCAAAGGGTATGAAGAGACCTGGCGAGGCATATTTCCCAACTGTCAAGATCTTCAAGGACCTTCCAATTATCCAAAGCATGAACGGCGTCAAGGAAGACTATCTTATGGCCTTGGGAGTTCGGAAAACTCTTGAGCTTTCTCTGGTTTTGGAGCGGTTGCAGGCGAAGGGTGACGATACTGCGGCCACCTGGAGCGCCTACGATCTTATCAAGTACTTCACCAGTGTCAGCCAAGACATCCCGCCCGAAGACATCCTAAAGTTGAAACAAACTCCATTCTGCAAAGCAGACGGCGATGATAAAAAGATTTATCGCGCCATGGACTTATTTGTTCCAAAGCCAGAACTCCGTGAACTCGAGTGCCCTATCATTCAATGGCCTGGCGGTGCTCAAAATTGGCGTGGTGGTCAGACCGCAGAGGAGAAGTTCGTTCTGAAGCTTGGGCTTAACCAATTCCCTAGCTCTAATTATTTGCTTCAAGTATTTATCGCTGCTCAAGAGCGGGATGTTGTTAAGGCACATGCGAGACGGGAGAAGGCACTCAAGTATTATACTACCAACTATGTGCTCAACAACTACAACTACTACCAGATCGGGGAGCAGAATACTCCGTTCCTACCACTAGATGGTCCAAATGCACGAGCTGGCATCCCCAAACTTGGGGCACCAAATCAATGCTTTACCAACCCCCGTGCTGCGGTCTTAGGCGTCCCGATTCTCAGGGAGGACCTTCGGGAACATGCTGCGAAGTTTGGCGTGAAAGCTGATCCTTCTATGGATTTTGCTGTTCGCAAATTGATGGAACGTCCACCAAACACTCCTGCAGAAGCCAAGACTACCTTCGGTTACTTCGCATCCCGTTTGGCGGAGATCCACCCAACCCATGTTGAGAAGCTTGGGAAGTCACCGATCGTTCCTATAATGAGTAATGGGCGTTTGAAGTTTACTACTCCAAGAAATTGCTTCTTGGGCGACGAAAGTAGCCAGTTCAGAGACGTGTTTGACTTTGTCGATTTCGGCGCAGATGCCAACCCATTTTTGATGAAATGTGGAACCAAGCTTGAGCCTACAATTTCTGAGATCGCATACATGCTTACTCGAGACTCTGAGAGGTTACTCGCGTCTTGTGAGACGTCCATCAAATACCTCAATATTCTTAGAAGAGTAGCAGAAGCATACCAGGAATTAAAGCAGGATAGAGTTCTGCACAAAGCTATGAAACATAGTAGATTCCTCCTAGCGACAATCGAAAAGACAGAAAGTGCTAACGAACTTGTGGACGTGGATGATGATGAAAAGAACATCAAAGAATATCAACTCGCTAGCGCCGACGAGATTGCCATTGTTGATGATTTCATCTTATTCAATATCTTCAAGAGCGACGTTCTCACCTGTCCACAAGAGGAAACACTCGAAAGCTTTTATACTGGGCTAGGGTCTACTCAAATATCCAAGCAAATTGCACTGGAATGGACGATTGGCCGAATAATACAAGACCCATTGAAAAGCAAACAAATCCGCGAATTGTGCTTGGAAAGGTGCCGACTTTTCTTCCACAACAACCATTCCCTTGTTAAACACGACATTAAGTGGCTTGAATCTAACCTCGAAGTTTGGATCGTTAATTCCATCCGGCTTCGTAGGACCCTCCATTCTCCAGGGAGTAAGAGCCATGTGGAGAAGACAACCGCTGCTATCGTTAATTCCAAAGATAAAACAAATGCAATTCTCCATGTCACTCAGGATTACAAGGTTTTCGACGTTGCGGCGCAGCTTTTGAAGCTCATTCTCGTGAAACCGAAACCACATTCTGCGCTTTTGTTGGAGAGCTTGCTCAGTACTGACCTTTATACGCTCAAGAGTCGTGGGTACAATGTTGACCGTATCCTAAGGCTGAAGAAAGAAAATGAGATGAGGGTTGCGGAGGAACAAAAGAGGAGGTTGGAAGCGCAGAGAAAGGCTCAGGAGGAAGCAGACAAGTTACATCAACAAAACTCGCAAGCTATCGCGATACATCATGATGATGATAAACCACCCCCATATCCGAATGAAAACGAGCCTGTTTCTGGACTATCTACTACTCCAACCCGTCATAAAATGCCGGGTGCCTTCTTCGACTCTCCGGAAGACAATAGCCGGGGCCCCCCGCCATTGGAAACTAGACTTGAGGGGAAGAGGGGAGGGTTATTCAATCGGCTCCGGACTGGGCTTGGTTTTGATCAGGAGAATGGTATTAGAGCCGGTACTCCAGATGTACTTGGCGGACCGCTTGGAAGGCCGACATCGACTGTTCAACAAAGTAGCGGCTGGGAGGGTGACGGAGGCGATATTAAGGCAACATCTCCGGAAACACTCGATCGAACCCTCAAGGACGCTATCGGTGCCTTGAAACCATTCGGCAGTACCAACATCTTCTCACCTCCTCAAACCAACCAAGTTAAAGAGCAAAATACCTATTGCGACGCGCGCCCTAGTACGGACCTTGTGCGAGTTTGTCAATTCCCCACTGGCGTCGACTTCTTCATGACCAACAATACCTCGGAGAAGGATAAGCAAGATTTCGTCAACAACCACATGCAAGATCTCATACTGTTTAGTTCAGTCATTGCAACCCTGGCTCAAAAGGTTTTCGAAATCCCACTCAAGAAGATCCAACTCTACTACGAAAGCTCCAGGACCATTGCTTTCAACACCAGCGGCAGTTTATTCTGCAACTACTCGTACTTTATGCAATTACATGCGACGCCGATCAAATCCGGGTTAAGCACTGCTGAAGGAGATACGATGACTTATTGGTATGTGGTTATGTGTCATGAAATCGCACATAACCTGGTACCGGACCATAGTGCGGCCCACTCGTACTATACCGAAAGTTTCGTTACGCATTATATGCGCAAATACATCAGTGTGATGAAGAGAGGTGTGGAGAAACCGAATGAGAAGAAGCCGGAACGCATCGCACCAGGACCGAACAGAATTCCAGTCAACGTTCATCATGGCGGCGGTCACGGTAACGGGCCAACGAGTAGTGCGCAGGGAGGAGGCAGTTCAGGGTGGTTCTAGGCGCGCCCTAATTCGCAACCTGATGGCGCGTTTGACGACGGTGCTATAACTGGTGAAAAGAGGAAGAGAAAATAGAGAGGGACAGTAATTGTTCGCTCGCTTTGAATAGAATGCCATATAAGAACGCTACGGGGGGTGTTTTGAAAGATTGTCTTCTTTGTTTTTCCCTTTTTTTTTCCTTCTTTCATTTTTCAATTTTTTTGCCTTGCTCTTCCTTTTTCTTCAAAAAAACAATTTTGTATTACATGGGATCCTTTATTCTTTCTCACCTGCATCGTTTTATGGCGTTTTACAGGTGATACTTTATCTTTCTATCATGTATACTTAGCGCAGGATCTGTTTATGGCGTTCTAGAATTGGTGGAGGTGGTGGTTGAGAATGAAAGAATGCTTGAATACTTTGAATATCTCGTTCACTTTATCTGATATATATTGGAGTGAGATTGCGTATTTTCCTGATGATAAGACGGCTAACTAACTGTGCAGATGAATATTATGATCAATGATTAACTATCCACACGAATATCACTGAAATTTTTAATTAAAACATTAATAAAGATCTTGAGTATATAGAGCTAGGCACTCGTAAGTGCTTAAGGGTCCGAAATAATGGCCGCGCCGGGCAAGCATAAATATTAAATATATATATATGCATATATTTTTTAATAGATACGAGGTAGCCACATCCTCTTAGAAGCATCCTCCCTATTCAAAACATACTTGGTCACCATTTTCTTCTCATGATCATCAAAAGGCAGGATGAAAACAGCAACCCCCATTTCTCCGTCATGAAACGATGTTTTACACCAATTCTCATCGAATAATATAATATGTTCCTTTTCCGGATCTAAACCTTCGCTTTTCATCAGACCGTCCGCACGGTAAGGATGTAACGGACCGACTAGTCTTGTAATCTCGGTGGTTCCTAGCTCGTATGGGATCTTTTCTTGGAGTTTTTCCACTGCTATTTCAGCGATTCTTCGGAGGGTGAGTCCGCTTTCTGATGATGATTCTGTTTCAGGTACGTAGATGGTATAGAAATCTCGATGGTTCTTGATAAGACCGCATTCCGTTGATCTAAATGAGATGGGAAACCCTTGTAGGACCATTTTGCCGAGAAAAGTCCATTCGATTCTATCGTTATTCAACGAAAGATCCAATGGAAGTTTCCAATCTTCTTCTATCACCTCTCTTGTCAAAAACGGTGAAAACAAAGTTTCATCGATCATAAACTCACAACCACCGCCGTCTGAACTGCCGGAGATATCGATTTTACGAAGTAATTTCGAGAAATCTGTGTAATCTCTACGGTTTACGCCAAGATCTTGATCATCGTCTTTGAAGATTCGTTTCCCGGGTCCGTAGCGGTGGGGTAGTGATGCACGGTATCTTACTACTCTTTGTAATTCTTCGTGCCAGTCATTATGTAGACGGTCAAAGGTGTAGAGACTGTAGGAAGTTATGACACCGGATTTGGCGGTTATGCCGAAGAACGTGTGGTAGTGTGTGGGACTGAGGAGGTTGTGGAGACCTGCGCTTTTCCAGGGTCTGTTGGGGGTGTATCTTTGTCGTTTCAAAGGGTCGCTTTTGGAGATGAGGATGCTCCAGGGTGGGTAAGCTATGCTGGCGGAGATCTGGTCGGCGAGGGTGGAGATGTAGGAGAGGATTTCGAGGTGGAGCTCGGCGGGGAGGGAGAGGAGGGGGCAGGGGGGGTTATTTGGTGACATGGTTTTGTTTAAAGCTTTGAAGGTGATATTGATATTCTAGGCTTTGGCTGCCAATGCGGGTTTGAATTCAATTGCCTAGATCAATGGACGGGAGACTAAGATTGTTTTATAGTCTCAGGCTTGTTCCGGTCTAGATATATATATCGATACTGTCCAATAACGTTCTGGACCTTGTAGACTGGCGCAGTTGTGAATATCGTATTCCCCTCAGCCTCAGATGTTGCATTTTGAACTGCGCAGTGCTAGCTGTGTCTATATAATGCGCAGTGAATGCTTAAGATGCATCGACGGATAAAGGTCCAATGCACTTTTGCTGCGTCTTTGGCAAGGCAGGCGTTTCGAACGCCGTTTCGTAACCGGCCGGGCGAAGCTTTTTTCCAAGGTCCGACGTCAAAGCTTAAAAGGTAGTCCAATATAGCATCAAATGCAAGAATCGAGCATAAAAGTGCATATGTAAAGTCGGCCTTACATTGCATCTCTGATAACGACGTTCAAAAGCTTCCCATCCTCAGATATCCTCACGTCCGGATGACAAAGATATGTTCGAAACCAACATTCGTTACAGCCGCCTTCCCGAATATACCGCATTGCAAGGTATACATAATGTTCCTTTTTAGTATCTAGATCCGATTTTGATTTCATCGATGCAATCAAAGTACTAACGATATTTTCGAGTAATTGTCGAATCGTGAGTCCTCCTTTGACTAGGAAATTGACGGGTTCAGCAAATATGACGTCTGGGTAATATTCACCACGGAAATGAATGGCGGTTAGAATATCCAACTCCTCTAGTGGTGCAGTTAACCGTGGAACCTCTTCATTCCATTCTTGTTCTTCGATGGGTAGGATTGAGATATCACGAATACACTGTTCGTCTAGAATTGTGCTTCGAGAAATATCTAAGACACCAGGTTCGCCGTCGCGGGGTGGGGGTCCGAAATTATATTCCTTTCCATAAGCGTAATAGTTCTTGTCCGGGACGTAGTGGTATGCTATAACTTCCTCATCCACGATTTTGCACCTAAGTTCCATGGCAGGACTTTCCGGTTGCCGAGTAATAGGGTCTGGTCGTGATACCCATGCTTCGGTTAGATTGAAGATTTGATTGACTGCGATAAGTTCAGAATGGTGAGTCTGTAGTGGCGTATAGCGAAGGAGTTGAAAGTATGAGTCGGTCAGGATGATGGATTCCCAAAGATGACAAACTTTGCTAGCGGATATTTGTGAAGTGATATTGTCGGTAAGATATGAGAGGATCTCGAAGTGGAGTTCAGCAGGGAGGTCGTTTATTCCCTTTGCATTTGAAGAAGTTGAAATTGTCTGGTCCATCGATATCGGTTTTGTTTCCTTCCCTTCGTTTTCTCTCTTCTCGGCCAAGAGATTTCTTTTCCTTGGTGATGCGGAAATCCTTCAATGAATTCTTCTTGCAATAGCCAAGGGTGATAGCGCCTTAAACGATGCCGGCTGTACTACAGGAATATGGTGATGCAGGCTATGCCATGTTCTGTGCGGGGAACATAATTTTCAAAAGATTCATGCGCATGCGTGGCAGCTGACAGCGAACCAAGATCTCAATTGAAATTGCAGTAGCACGGTATTACATTGAAACCAGCAATAAAAAAGCAATGAAGCTTGCAAAAGACCCTATGAAGCATCTACCTCTTGGAATAATTTAATTACGTTACACGGAAGAACCTAGAATCGAATAGGAAAGCATTCAAGACTTACCGACCAATGATATACAAGCTGTATTGGACAGCATATGTGTCCAGTATTCGAATTAAATCTCCAATGCAAAAATTTCTCGATCTATAAGATCTAGACCTTCCGAGAAAAGGGAAAGAAGAAAAGAAGAAAAAAAAGAAGAAAATTGCACCAATTGAAGTCCAAAAAATGCAAAAAAAGAATCACCAGATTCGCAAAAGTTTAACCTACAACAGCCAATATTCGCACCTCATCTCCGATAGCACTACTAGCTGGCCGGTAAGAAGCTTAAGTAGCGCAGAGCGGACGGGATACGCTGTTGACTTCTTCCTGTGGTTGTAGATGAAAGGTATTCTTCTCAGTTGCTATATCAAGCGTAGTTATTTACGAGCGAATATTAATGCCAAGTCAAGATCGAAATATTGATGTGCGTGTGCCAAGACTCCAACACCCGAACCTTCAAAATACAACAGAGGATACCTCTGATGATATCAATTGATAACATGAGAGTCCGCGAGTGACGGTTACACTATTTGATAATCGATACCTTCTTCTCGATAGATGGTCCATATTTCCAATCAAATTTCCGTCTGCAGAGGCGTCCTTCAGCGATATATCCATCATGTTCCATGTGGAAGCAAAAAAAAAAAGTTCTCATGAACCAAAACCATGCATACACCCATGCAACCTCTGGGCCCAACCGAGGAAAGGAAAAAAATATATCCCTACCGGTTATCCCAAACTCGTTTGGGACTCGGTAGACATACGTTGTGCTCTCTAGCAGGATCGAACTGCTGACCTTCAGATTTCTGCCTGTTTAAGGCCTTCATACCAAGATATGAGACTGACGTGATAACCAACTACACCAAGAAAGCTTCCGAATATTCGCAAAGTCCTTATCCTGGACCATATTACCTTTCTGGCTTGAGATCCAGTGAAATATAAGAGCTTGTCATTCGGGGCTTCATGGTTGTGTAGGATAACTTGGGTTTTTTACTCAAGCTTCAAATTTTCCGGAAACTCTTTTTACTGCCAAGACATGCTAAGAAAAGCAAGCTCGTCGACACGGAATGATCGATAAAATACCTATATAGACCCAAGATTTTATCAAGAATCAAAGCGAAATATATGGATAAACTTTATATGCTGATAACATTGTACAAATAAAAATATAATATCTAAATGCAAGCGGCCTTAGTAGTTACACATAAAACAAAAATTCTCTATCAAACAATTCTTATGCCTCGCCCTCCTTCTTCAATTCCGCCTTGACCCAGCTTTCCAGCCCTCCCTTGGAGATGATATCTTGGACATTTGGTGGTAAATCTCCCACCCTCTTGCCCCAGGTGGTTTCCTGTCCATTCACCTTCTCAGTCACACTAACCCAACTTCTCTCAATATCCCACTCCAAAGTCCACCCCGTCCTCCTTGTCGCCAGTGGCTTCTCATCCTTAAACACTTCTCTCAACCTCTCAATCAGTTTTGGCACCTCCACCGTCAATAATGCATTATTGATACTATTCCTGCTAAAGATGTTTCCAAAGCTTCCAGCGACAACCAATGCGATATCCCTTGCTAAAATAGACGTAGCGGCTTGTTCACGGCTAGAGCCACAACCAAAGTTGAAACCCGAAACAAGAATATCACCTGGCTTGGCAATTTCCTTGAAAGTCGGGTCATAGTTTTCCATGCACACTTTGGACATGTCATCGCGGGTTAAGCCATCCTGGTAGGTGTATTTTCCGGGGTAGATACCATCGGTGTTGATATTGTCTGCATCGCAGAAGACGATTTCACCAGAGATCTTGGTAGGGAAGCCGGGTAAAATTGCAGTGAGTGATTCTGAAGGTGCGTCAGTAGCGGTGCTAGCAGATCCAAGAGCTGCATCGCCAGATGCTGAAGAATCGCTAGCGATAACTGCAGGTGCTGGTTTATCAAAAAACCCAGGTCCCACAATTTTGCCAGCTAGGGCACTTGCGACCACAACCTCGGGTGAAGCGAGGTAAGCAAGGGCAGATGGGTCACCCATACGACCCTTGAAGTTTCTGTTGCTTGCCGAGATACCTGTCTCTCCAGCCTTGAGCAAACCAGTACCGAGTCCAATGCACGGCCCACAGCCAGCTGGGAGGGGGCGAGCACCTGCGTCCAGGAGTATCTGCCAGTCACCCTTCGCTTCCGCGATCTTTTGCTCCGGCATCGAAGCTGCAGCGATGTAGAACTCAACATCATCATGGATCTTTTTATCGCCACCGAGCGACTTGATGACGCTCGCTGCTGCCTCAAGATCAGAGCTTCGGGAATTGGTGCAGGATACCAAGTACGCTTTCTGAATACTAATGTTCTTCTGTTCCAACTCAGCCAGCGGTGTAGCAAGTTTGACGGAGTTTGGACCGGCGACGTAAGGCGATAGACTTTCGAGGTCGAGTGTTAATACTTTGGCATATGCTGCATCTTGTGGCGATTCAAAAGAACCACTCTCAGCGAGTGCCTCGAGCTTCCTGTCGTTGATATGGCTCGATACGTCGAGATTCTTATCCTGTGCCTTGTTCTCCAACCACTTCTTGGTCAATTTATCGACAGGGAATAATCCAGTCAAAGCCCCCCACTCCGTTGTCATATTCGCGATAGCTAACCGATCGTCAACCGGTATCGAAGCGATCGTTTCTGCACTCCCACTGAACTCAATTGCATGATTAAGGACCTGATCCTTATTAAAAATACCACAGAGGGCAACAATGACATCCTTCCCCGTAACGCCTTTAGGTAACTTCCCCTTGAGCTCAACCTTCGCAACAGGTGGGATCTGCCACCAAGTTTGTCCGGTCGCCCAAATCGCTGCCGCATCCGTTCTAACAATTGGCGTTCCCAAACACCCAATTCCACCGTACATATTCGTATGAGAGTCCGAAGCGACCATCATAGTCCCCGGCCAAGCATAACCTTCTTCAACCATGATCTGATGTCCGATTCCCCGTCCTGCACCGTAAAAGTTGACACCATTCTTTTTCGCAAAATTTTCGATGTTCGCATACTTTCTTAAGTTCGCTTCTGAGGTGTTTTGGACATCGTGGTCGAGTGTCATCACGACTTGTCTATTATCTTTGATCCTAGATGCGCCGATATCCATAAACTTCGTGGCTACAGGCCATGAGTTATCGTGGGTCATGCAATGGCTGTGTTTTTTCGTGTTATAGTTAGATTTAGAGGCTTCAAAGTCTAGGAATTTGGCCACCCAATCAACGTACCTCGGAGTAATTGTAACATAATCGCCAGATTTAACCAATTTATCGGGTGCTAGGCCGACAGCATACTTCTGAACGATACGTTCCGTGAGATTTTGGTTATTGGCAGCTGTCGCAAGACATCTACGGTGGCCGAGGCTGTGGTTTCGAGCACCCAACAGGTGGGACTGTATCGAGATCGCTCGCGAGCATGATCGCAGCCTTGATAGCTTTCAGAAGCGTTAGTTGACGAACTATAAAACCCAATTGACTATAAAAATCAAAAAGCACATTCACTGACCGTTGCCATGATTTCTAACCTGCCGTTCTGTGATACTCTACGAGGATGAGAAATTGGGCAAGAAGGATTGGCTGGAATCGGAAGGAGCCAACTTTATGCTGCGAGGTCGGCCGGCTTTTGTGCGACGTAGAAAAAGAAACCACCGCCCCAAAATACCACATACTCAACACAGCCTTCAAACACACATTGTTGGCTACTAGGTGTGCTGCTACGAGAAATCCCGCTTACGATATTTAATATTACATCGAACCGCTCACTGGCTTACGACAAAACTTGCGCATGATATGGCAGGGCAAATTGGTGCTTCATTCAATAATAGACCCACCAACCCCTCATCTTGAGAGGTTGGGAAGTACGCTGCACCCCTCCTACACCTCAATCTACACCCTGCCAATGGCCAGGGTAATCCCTCAAAAATTGGGATTCCCACTCCAGCTTCTCCCTCTCAGTCTCCTTCCTTGCCTTTCGAACATCCTCCTCCTCCCTCTCTCGCGCCCTGATTTGTTCCGGGTCGGAACGACGCGACATTACATAGTCGCCGATCGTCGGCAACTGCTGGAACTCCTCCGCTTTTCTTCTCGCAAAAGCTCGTGCTTGAGCTTCGGGAGCCTGCTCTACCGGAGGCATTTTATCTTTGCCCTCGGGTTTGCCACGCAAGGTCCCGCAGGGGGTGGATGATCTTAGGGTCGCCACCTTCTGACCCTCGTTCTAAGAAGGCTGGAAAAGTGGCGGTCCATCCCAGACCATCTCCTCCCCCTCTGCATCGTTCTCCAGCGATGAGGGGCCCCAGTCTATTTTCTCCAGCTCTCGGGTGAAGAAGTTTCGTTCTTCGGCTAGCAGGTTGGGGTCGAATCCCATTAGCGTCATCGGCTGAGGATAGTGTTGGAGGTTGTAGAAGTGAATCAGCCCACGGAGGGCCTGTTCTTGTGGCTATAAATTATGTGAGCTTTGTTTCCCAACCTGCGGGGAGTTTAGTGACTTACCATCGCTTCTTCAACCTCGATATCAATATCTGAAGCTGCGAGCCAGTCATCTCTAAGCTCCGGCCGGCAATACAGATATATCGACGTAATCACACGCATGTTACCTTCAAAGATCGTTAGTAAAACTACAGCTCAGACTTTTGAAAAAGGATTGGTCGTACTTTGCCTCCACTTCCTCCCACAGAAGGGTACCTGCCCTTTAAACAACTTGAGTGTATACAGTCTCATCTCATCTTGCGGAACTTTGAGTGGTTTCCTTAGTATAGTGCTACTCTTATATTGTACCAACATAAGATTTCGATGTGGTTTGCCCTTGCAGACTTTCTGCATCACGCGAAGGAAATTAACAGTGGTGAAGAAATTCCTCCACGAAAATTCCGTAATAATCGTGGGCTCCTCGCCGTTGCTGTCTGGCTTCACTAGAATGGGAGGCTCAGGCTCGGTGTTGATGCGTCGGATCCTCATTATAGGTGGGGGTACGGCATCGTCTGAAGAGTCAGATTGCCCCCTGGGTCTAGGAGGTGGGACCGGGGCCGTATACTGTCTTGCGGAGTTCTTTGAGCAAAATTGGAAATACCTATATGCAATATAATTTAGCTAAGTTTGGTATAACGTAAGCCACAAATCACTTACGAGAAGTCCTTTTTGTCAGATATCAGCGCGACCGCAGCAGTCACCTCTTGTTGACTGTAAATCTTCAACATTAGTGGAAGAAAGTTCGAATCTAACAAAAGTTGTGACAAGTATTCGAATTTCAAGACATCTATGCGGAAGTTAGTGAAGCAACGCTAATTTTGTGGGGGTGTAGGGGTTTTACGTGAAACACGGAACCACTTCAGCAATGACAAGAACAGCGCCCCCGTCACTTTGCTCATGATTTCTTTGTTTCGGAGTTTATCGAGTTCCTCCATACTCATAAAAGCAACACCGTCAAGTTCGAGTGCATCGCCCAAGACTCCAACATTGTTTGGGTCCTCATCCTTCTTGTCACTAACGTTGCTTCCATTCTGAGGGACCGGGGGGTTGGTGATGGACATATTCGATAGAGTGATCTTTAACAAGACAATGACAAACGATTGGAGGAATGGAAGGATGTCACGCTTTTGCTGTTAGTAAAAATTCAACTATCCTCTAGTCATGGAGTACTTACGTAAAGAGCATCGACCCGTTCTAGAACTTGAATTTCGTTGTGCTTGTCCCGACAAACATCTGACGCAGCTCGGATTTTCTCTTGGTCACTTTTCAGCTCGCAGTCTGCTGCTGACCATCCTCGCTCTGACTTTAGGAAACGTTCCTTTTCCTCGGCGAGCTGTTGTAAGGCAGGGCTAACTCGAACTCTCGACCTGAATAGGTCACCGCCTTCCCGAATACTAGTTGGGACACCGACATCGCTAGAATTCATATTGGCCCAACCGTCTTTCCAACCTCCAAGGGCAGTGGGAGGATACAGGAAAGGGAAATTGTTGTTCGTCTGGTAGTTATGCTTCTTCCCACCCTTGCCTGCAACAGGCGATGGTGGAGGCGATGGTGCTGGAGTAGCAATATGGACTGGTTGATTCAAAATCGATGGAGTCGTAGACGCTGATGTAAAGACTGTAGGAAAGCCGAGCTCCCCATTGGGGCTTGCGACAAGAGACTTTGTAACAAAGTTAGGAACCGCCGGAGCACTATAAGCGGGGTATTTATGTAGAAGCTCCTGCCGGAAATTGTGGTAATCCAACGGTGAGGCAGTGATTTTAGAATACGGTGATATTGTGGCATCCGCGGGTAATGTAATGTTGATAGACCTGGTGACCTCATCAACATCACTTGGAGGAGTGTCCCGTTTGCTCTGTACCATCTTCTTTGGTAACAACGCAGGCTGTCCTTTCGTGGTTGGTGGACCGTTGTCATTTGCGCCTTCAGTAAGAAGAATTCGAAGCATTTTTGTTTTCTTGAGCTGCTCCGTGGTACCTAGGATACATAGGAGGATCTTCCAAAGTAGTAGTAGGAACTAAATAGTATGTCAGCAATCTACCTCACCAATGGCATCGATTGGACGGCTTACTGATTGCAAAGGAACACCAGGAGCATCTTCCCAGCGGAGCTTAGCCACATTTTCGACAATGAAAAGGGTTATATTAGGCTCAAGGCCAGCTAGAAATTACTAACCGTTAGTAGTATTCCCATATTACTAGCAATCGAATCGAACTTACCAACTTCTTCGCAAAATCTCTCATCGTCGCGGCCAGTCTCCAGCAACAGATATAATATGGTTAGACAAAGTCTTAACTCTCTACGATCGACTTGTCGCGGCATATCATCGTCGCTCGGCTCCCGGTCCTCCCACTCCTTCGATATTCTCATCCTGATTAAGCTCCATAACGGGTCTAGTATGGATGTCTGCCGGATGAGCATGCAATTCTCCTTTATCCAATGGATTTGATGGTCTATTGATCGCGTTTCGCCGTATACTCCCTGTGCTACGTAGCATACAGACAAAAGAGCTTCTATTCGCTGGTCCTGGGATGATGACTCGATGTACTCAACAAGACGGTTCAAGCACTTCTTCTTTCGGGTTGCAGATGATCTTGTCCAAGGCACTAACACCAGTCAGTATATCTGTAGGGCAACTGCATAGCCCTTGGCAACGAACCTTCTGTGTATATGCGCTGGAATTGGCGTTTGCATGCGAGGACAAGCTGCCGGTCAGTTTCAATGTACGGGAACCACTCTTCGATTTCGTTCTGTAGGGTATCGGTGTCGGAGTATTTGAAGGCATACTCGATTTGCTGTTTATTGCTTCTGTTAGCTCTCGCTTTGATTGGAGGTTCAGGTCAACTCTCTACCCGGAAGCTCGTACCTTCTGTTTTGGCATTTCAGTTACCAGCTTCTTAAGCTGCGATAAGCTAAGTGAATCGGGCGCGAAACCATTGTCGCCTTCTCTATCGGTAATCGCCGTATCGATACGTAAGCCCTTCTCAAAAGCCATTTCGAGGCCTGATTTCGTTCTTTGATTTTGATTTTGAGGTTGCGACTGTGTTTGCGACTGTGTTTGTGGTGGTGTTTGCGACGGTCCAAAAGGTATAGATAGCTTTGCGCCTCGTTTGGCCCCCAAGCGAGGTTCAGCGTCAGGTTCGATATCGATTCCGGGGGAGAGGTCGATAACCTCATCGTCAATGGCGGATGAATCCGGGAAAGGTTCGTCCATGGTAACTGGCTGTGCTCCAGAGGTCTCCTTAGAGGCCTCTTTGTCTTCTCCGTCGGGTATCGAGGTCATTTTCGATGATGTCTTTGGGAGGTGGTGGGTGTGAGGTTGAAGAGATTAGAGGTCTGGGATAGCCACTCATGTGGCTCTGTGGGTAGCTTCGTTTGGGTCTGGTTCAACACGAGCACAGCTCCGTTGCTGTAAGTTTTGGTCTCAATGGACCGGCCTCAATGGAGCTGGTTGTTGTGTTGTGTTGTGTTCAGCTTTGTGTTGTGTGGTGTTGACGACATTTACCAGCCACAGTTGTCAAACTAAGCCACACGAGTTCCATGCGCCACGGTCTTATTGTTATACAATCAAGTCCAGCGACTTTTATTATGAAGATAAGCTAGAAGTTGATAGGAATTCCCAGCTTCCAAATTACGTTATTCTCCATTAACACGCTCGAGCCTCAGTAACTCATTCCGGAATGGGTATCAGTCTGAATAGGTATCACAATTTGCCGATTGTTGCAAAAATCCAACACTCTACTTCGCTTGGAATGCTTGCGTTCCACAGCCAAGACTAGCCGGTCTCTTCGAATATAATAATTCGACTTTCGAGGTCCTAGACACCCTCTAATTCATGATATAAATTCATGAGGATATAGACTTAAATCTACATGGATACCTTAGGGGTCCTTTAGAAATACAAATTCTTGAATCCATACTAGCACTTAACTTTGTAATCTAGATGCGAAGCTATCTCCGTAATTATAAAAAGTCCAACATTGCATAGACGGCTAGAACTAGACTATATTTGAGATAATTATTATTCAAGGCACCTACAAGATTCTAGTTATGCCCTAATTATCAGGAGCTATCTCAGGATAATTTGACATCCTCGGATCCATTGTAAAGCATAAGGTTCAGATTCAGACATCTGACAAGCTACGTTGTTGAGTATGTAGAAACCACACCCGGGAGCCGACAAACCTGACCTTATATACACACAAGTCCCGGATCCCATAGCCTAACCATGGGTCTGCATCTCGCCAAATCAATTTAACCAGTAGCCGGAATGCTTAAAGTAGCTGGAATAACTTCATTTACCCGGATAGCACCATTCCGTACCACCTTGCTGCATATGCATCTCGCTTTGTTAATGTCCTAGTGTGCGGATCGTTCGACATCTACAATATCAATACCGAGATTTATAGCCTTCAGGTATATATATATATAAGGAAATCATAATCCAATACGAGACGATTTAGAATTTAGATATCTAGCTTATATCTTTGATATATCGTCGGGGCCAAATAATTCCTATTAGTATTTTAGTAGCTCTAGCACGAGTATCTAGTGTCCACTTTAGTTCAACCCCCGAGTACCTAGGTATTTATTGAGACTTGTGAACATTCTTTCCAGAGAATCGAATCTTTTTTCCTCCTCCGCTAAGCGGTACTATATCGATCTCCACCCTTTGTCAAACGAAGTGTTTAGTCATCGGAGCATATGCCCCCGATTAATTTAAAACCCGAACATACTGTATCCAACCCCGACTTGTCAGTCGCCTGATATATTTACGACTATGAACGTGTCGGAGCGACCCACAGACTAATTTACAAGACCGGTACTACTTAGCCTCGTATCTAAGTGTTACCGGTATCCCAGAAGCCTAGGTAGCTAAGTGCGGGAATTTCGGTCTAGGGTAGCACTATCACACGATACACATGACATGGATATCTGCAAGTTGCGACTAGGGGAGCTTGTGCAGATGCCAGGGAGAGCAGACTTTTTTCGAGCCCAGCGCATCTGCTAGTTAGAAGCTGCCTCCGAGATTCTACCCCCGAGCGATTGTAGTCGCACCATTAATAAAGTAATCATGCATGCGGTTTCATGAGATATCGAGTTAATTAGTTAATTGAACATCGACATATTTTCCCAGATAGTTAATTAAGAGGACTGAGTGTGAAAGAGCTTCCGAGAATGATATATTCAATTAGATAAAAAGTCTGATCAACAGCAACTAGCTAAAAAGAAAATCACACATCACAAGTCGTAAATCGCTACAAGAACTAACCATATAGCCGTCTAGGCGAAGTCGCCACTTAGTGCTGAGAAAACTCCTCGTCGCGATCAATCTGGTATGAAGCAAACTCCCTAGCTGGGACGCCCTTCTGGAACAAGATGTCCAACTCCTCGAAAGTACGGTCCTTGGTTTCCGGAAGTCTGTAGTATCCCCAAACATTTGTGAAGAATGCAAGAACGAACCAGAACCACGCAGTCTTGCCCTTTGCGTCCCAGAATGTTGGAGACAGTAATCTAGGTTGGATGAGACCACCGCAAATGATGTTACCGACGTAGTATGTGCTACGGGCAAGCACAACGGTTTGGGTTCTGAGACGAGTAGAACCAATTTCAGCAACGATAGTGTAGACAATCGGGCCAACAGACATAGAGTAAGCGCCGAGCCAGACTACAGTGAGCAAAGATTGACCCCAAGCGAGAGCCTTGGTCTGATTTGGAACGCTGGCGAGAACACCGATGAGGAAGAGAATAACGACTAGGAATGAGAAGCCAGTGAACCAGATTGTTCGACGACCCCATCTGCTCAGGTAGAACCAGGAGATGATAGTTCCAACGAATGCAATGCCGGTACCGCCAAGGGCAATACCGTAAGATGTCGATGCGTTGATACCGGTTTGCTGGAAGAAGAAAGATCCGGAGTAGCAGAGAGCACCGCCATTGGTAATCTGGGGCAAGAAGGCCATGCAGGCAATTTCGGTACGACGACGATTGGTGCCACGGAAAGCATCATAATAGTTCACACCCTTTCGCTCCTCTTTCTCGAGCTTGTTGGTATGGACCATAAGAGCAATGTGGGCATCATAATCGATATCGTGCTCGGGTTGAGATAGCCGCATGAGGGACTTCTTGGCCTCGTCGAGTTTACCGACTCGAACCAAGAACCATGGAGATTCTGGAGCCATGTATGCGAATATGGCAAGAGGGATAGGCCAGACCCACTGTAGTAAGTTTTCGCCATTAGCAAACACAATTATGTAGAAAGCATCGAATTCCTAGAATATAAAGTCATACCTGGATCGCGAAAGGCACCTTATAACTCCACTTGTTGGGAACGTCGACTAAGCCCTTAAGGACGCCAGCAGAAATGAATTGACCAATGCACCAGCAGAGATTGACGTATGCGGTCAAATATCCACGGAGTGCCAATGGAGCAACTTCAGCTGCATAGGCGGGGCCAGACGTAGCGAAAACACCCCATGGGATATTGCAAAAGAGTGTACCGACGAACATTATCTCGATGCTTTGGGCGAAGAAAACAATGAAGATGAAACCAGTCAAGAGAGCCAAGCTGGCAATCAAAACAATTCTGTGTCCAAACTTCGCAGTAAGGTAACCGTTGAGCAAGGCACCAATGATGTTACCGACGGCAGCGATAACGTTTAGATTTGACATCCAGTTTGCGCTAATCTGGTAGCCGTCCTTCTCGGTCAAATAGCCATATTTCTTTTGGAATTCTAGTTCACGATATCATGATTAGCACAAAGCTCTTGCAAATATCTGTATATCTGCGTCTTCACGATTGGTTATCACACCAACGTACCAGGATAGCCGAAGAAAGAACCAAGAAGTGTAACGTCGTAACCTTCCATAATGACCGTAGTAGAAATTAGAACGGACCAAATAGCCGCCCGTCTATACGTCTTAATGGCTTGGAGAAAGGTCAGGTTATGCTCAGCAGCAGTGGCCTGTTTAGCACCCTCATTGAGAGCTTTATTAGAGATATCGACATTATCGTAATGCTGGACCGAGATGTCACCCTTCTCGTCGACTTGGGCAGCTGCCGGTGGGGCTTTTGTGGGTTCCGCCATTGTAGTATAGGAACGCAGCTGAGAAAACCTGTTTATTGGATTCTCTACTCAAATGATAAGTGGCAGATAGCTCCAATGCCAGACTACAAGATGCTCTGAACGCAAAACAAAACTTCAAGACCAGGAGTTTCGATAAGCAGGGTGTTCTTCATCATTTTATAATTTTTTCTCTCTCTTCGCAATTGCGGATTAAGTTGCGCTGTTGTAAAGTAGACAAAGTCTAGGCTATTTTGCTAATAGCCCCAGTTCGTATGCGCAACCGCAACCCTAGGAAGAGTCCATATCAAATGATACCATGTTAAAGGCTCGAAGGAGCCAATGGCTCCGAAAGGTTGCATGTATGAAGTTTTGCAGTCAAGATCAACAAGTATACTAGGTAGCACAACCCACAACCACCACCAGGTAGTGGTTGTGGCTCCCCCGTATGCTATTGGCGGAACAATTGGTTGTGGGGAAAAACTAGCCCAAGACATCTTAGTTTGTGTAGGTCCACGGCGCCGTATTAATTGCGAATCGAGGGTACCTCTTGCGCATGCACAGAAAAGATAGTTCCGCTGGTAACCCGTAAGATGAACCATGGCTGCTATCACTACATTAACCGAAACCGGTTTGTCCCAATGCTTATCGGGATAGAAGCTCTATTTGGCTTACTAGCGCCTAGGCTTGAGTGTCTCGTGTGCATTGAAAATTAAAGAATTTCCACAGCCCGTCGAAAGAAATGATTACTCTTCCACGCAACCTTCGCGAAGTAGGAATCTAGCCGTTCAGCTTCCTAGGCTTTTCAGAATCGAAGGATTACCAGAGATTTCTGGTGAAAAGTTTCGTCGCTACCGTGGTACCATGGTTTGGCTCCGCGAAGGCTATATCAGTCATTCTATAGGGATCATACGAAGAGAACGTCGCTTTCCTCTGTATGACCGAACGAGCGCCACAACCGACCATCCTGTAGTAGATTCCATGGGACAGATAGATGTTAAAGCGGAAATTTCATTTAGCCTATTACAGGCTATTTTCAAGGGCTTGTTTATTCATCCCCGCCTGATGATGTTTGAAAAAGTCCAGGTCCCAGAACAAGCTTGCTTGACAGCTAGGGAAAATTTCGAAAACCACGGGAAGACCACAGATATGTGCATACTCGAAGCGTCAAAGCGCACGAGGTTTCTCCGAAGTTTTTGCCCCAAATTGCTGAGATTTCGGTTTAGTGCTGAGGGCTAGAGCGTCCCAAAGACAATCTATGAAATACTAGCTTAACAAATACACTTCTGGGGAAGCGCTAACTACATTTCTAACTGCGGAGAACCCGATGCCCACATTGGAGAGTATGGGGCCGAAAAGTGTAAATATGTGGGTCGGTACGAGAATCAAACCTCAATAGCTCTAGTAGGTGGGGGAAAATTTCGAAAAGTTGGGGGAAAGTTGGGGGAACTCCGGCCAACCCTCCAAGTTTCAAACAAGCTCCTCCATCCATGCGAGATGGTATTTGCCATTTACCCGATATTTAGCCTAGAAAGCGGAGAGAACGTCTTCGCAAGGGCCTCTGCAGCTCTGAGCCAGTGGAATTTCAAGTAACCCTACGTTCCTGCCCGCAGACATGGATGATTTAGGCCCATTTAGCCAGCAGACATATGCATACGCTTTGTTGCAAAATGTATTTGACGTCGTACAACTCCACACGCGTTGGCAAGTTCTGTGGAACAAGATCTCGGTTATCACTTCAATATCAGAGTTCCCGAAACCATCCGGGGTTTCGGTACTGGATCAGTTAGAGCGAACCTATTTCGTCAGATCTGTCTTGTGTATTTTCTAAATTTTTATTGATTTCTACAAAAAAAAGGGGACATGAAGTTAGAGTTGCTTTCTTGGTCGGATATCATATATCTTCAGTTCTCAAGTTGAATCAAATACGATTTGCTCAGAATCATGATTTTGTAAATTCACACAAGCTTACAAGTGAGTCTAGAGTTTTTTTTTGAAAAAAAAATGTATATTTATGGGATTATAAGCACCAGGTTATTCGGTAATCGAATCGGAGACCGTTAAGGAGGCTGAAAGGATCGGAGCAGGCATTGAGACGGTAGGCATCTCGGAGACGGGATCGATCAATAGGTGCAGCTAGCCCGATTCGAGATCAGGGCACTTTGCATATGCACACCGTTGATGTACCATGTTTCCATCAAGGTCAAAGTCCCAGTCCCATGATTCCGAAGTGGGCTGAACCGAGAATCAATCTTAGCTCCAACCTGATGGCACAGACAGCTTGGGCCCCCACATCGGGACTCCGAAATATCTATCACGAATTGGCATTTACATACAAGAGCACGTAAGCATTCGGGTCCGATCAGGCCATTTTATCAAATAGTTCGTGTGGCTTAGATAGATTGGGTAATACCCACGGTTCGCTGACCTTCAATTGACGGAATAGAATACAAAGATTAGGATCTCACCACCCGCCGGATGTTACATCAAACTTGTCGTCCCGCCTGTCGAGACTCAAAGCATGTCACAAGAGCTGAAAATAAGTGGTTGTCAGTTGTTATTGCTCAATAGGGCCTCGAATGGTATACCATCTAGCATGTGCTGTAAATGACATGCAGCATAAGCACTCGCTTGTGATACCAAACCGTAGCCTAGTATGCATATATGTTGCTAGGACCGCTAAGTTTAATTAATTTTGATCCTAGTAACTGACCCGTCCCTTTTTTTTATGACAGGGAGTTCCGCTCTAGACAATAAATCCATGGGTCCATGCAATGGTATCACAGGTACATACATACTTTCCCCGGAACATAACGCCATGGTCACAGCCACATGCGGACTGTTGTATTCTGCACATAATTTGCGTTGCTAATTTGGGCCGCCAGCTGCAGCAATGCAATGCGAATGTGCATGGTAAATCTTCAAAATACGCAAACCCGTTTAACAATTGAAGTGCTACTAGTATGCTCGTTACAGGATTTGAAGAAGTAAATAAGACACATTGTTGCAGCTGGTCCGGAGTCGTAGCGAGCGCTGTTCAGTTGGGATTGTCCCGGGTCCCTACATACATACATGACATTTCCATTGCAGTAAATTTATAAACTATAATTATATAAACAGTCATCAATCGATGCAATCAGTCGATACAATCATCCTCTTGTAGTCATCCCCCAACCGAGAACCTAGACACCAATCACAACCCATGATAATGATGTCTGGGGCGCAGTGGTCATTTGAACCATTAGAAAAAATCACACCACTACCATTGGAGAAACGCAGAAATTCAATAGGGAATGCCCTCAAAAAGAGAATTAAAAAAAGTAGCGACGAAAATTCACCAGATCAAGCAGCCCAAGTCACCACCACCTCGCAAGAGACAGAGATCATCATTTATTCCTCCACATCTACTTGAGGATGAGGCATTCGACTTCCGGTCAGACAACAGTATAACCGACACTGAAATCAATCCTCGCCCCGATGATCTTATCTCCTCTATAGACCTTCTGGACGGCAATATCAGTTTGGCGTTTCATAAATGGCGCGATCCGATTCCTATATTGGAGGTTAGTAAGGATGGGACCACAGCAGACCAAATAACGTGGGATTCAAATGTAGCCATGCTATCTCTACCCCTAATTTAAATATCTCTCTCCTCTCTCTAGCGACACTCTCGACCGACCAAACCCGGACTATGAATCACATACATGTACCAGACCACCGATTTTTAGATCGTTATCCTAGAAAGGGAACCTTTCCAGTATTAAACCTTCTGGCCAAACTAATTTCCGAAATAGTTAGCCATGCATCAGTTACAACGCTCATTCATCTATTCCACACGGCCAAAGTGTTCAGACTCATTGTCGTCGACATGTTTTACGCTAAATATTTCCGAAAGTTTTATAAACAATGGCGGTATCCAAAGTTAGAAGACCTACAAGATATAGCACTACAGCTCAAAAAATGGGCAATTGAAGTGACACCCGAAGTTACTGAATTGAGAATGTTAGGGTGGCTTCAGATGCTACTTTTTCACGTCTCGTCTTATTTAGTCGCAGTAAGTTTTTAACCATCATAAAAGAGCACTAGAGAAGATTAAAACAAGACAGCTTACGGTTGGTACTGGGTATTCAGATGGGTCTAATCCCGCAGCCAGAGACCAGGCTAGAGCATCTAGCTCAGGATATGAAAATGAATATTCTCAGACGATGGGATAATAAGCTTGCTTCGTGTCCAACATCATACTTTAAGATGAATTTCCAAATATTCCCACGAGAACACTGGCACTTGAAGGACAGTGAGCCTTATAGTACTGTTGAGGATATTGATTTTGACTTTGGATTTGAAAAGACGGACTAGCCTCATATTGGGGTTACAGTGCTTTTAAAGCTGCTACTTAAATTTTGTCACGATCTTTAAGCTTTTTGCAGAAGAACGGCGCAGCGCCCTATGCATATATGCTCTATCCCACCTGGGTTCCGAATGTTATTTTGCATGGTGATTTGCTTGTATTATCGCGATCCTACGGGAGGAACTTCGAGATGTCAACTTAAAACAGGAATTCAAAGCTAGTTATATACAAACATTAGGCGGCTAGCGTCAAGCAATAAAAAACACTTAACAGAAAGAATCTCTCCAAAAACCGAAACCAAGAACCGCTCGCATTAATCTTACAGCTCTCTATACTCCCCTTGTACATACACCTTCTCTCCACTCGTAAGCGCAAAATGGGTGACTTCGTCTTGGGAAGACTCTGATTGTTCGAATTCCACACGGACATCCAGCCTTGCTGGCACTGTCACCGGTCGTTTGAACTTAACCTCCAATGCTAATCCTCCACCTTGCTTCAAAGGCTTCCTCTCCACTTTTGCTAGTGCCAAAGCGGCCATGTGATTCCCGTGTGCAATCTTCCCCGGAAGGCCGTACAATTCGGCCGCAATCGACGAGATATGAATTGGATTATAATCTTTACAAACTCTCGCCCAATCCTTTGGACCATTCCATGGCAATTGAACCTGTCCTTCCGGCTGCTTCTTAGAATCGAGCTTGAATTCAAACTCAGACTTTTGTGAGACTTCCGACAGTTTTACATTCTTCGGTATCCTTGCAAACTGAAGCATAGTAAAAACTTGCCGAAAAACGGTTTTCATCTCGGTAGTATCTCCGTCTAGGACCCTGATGCCTAGCTCGACGATTAAGTCGAATTCTACACCTCTTTTCACGATCCTTGCTTCTGGAGCTAGAGTCGCTACTACCATCGCCCCTTCCGCAGATTGTAGATCTGAAAGTTTACATAACTCAGGTCGGAAAAGTTTGAATGAGTTCCTGACGTTAACTGCGCCTAGTGGTTGGATTGGACATCCTCGCTTCGCAACTAAGAGCAGCATACAAGGTTCCGTAACCGCTGACAGGAATAGTGCTTTTGATGCTTCATCAGCATCTAGATTTTCGCGGGTAGAAGATGTCGCTTTTGCGTAGAGGGTTATATCCTTTTCGGTGAGTTTGAATGGCATTGAAACCGATATTTTTGGCATTACGGTTGTAAGTTTTTGACGATGGCCTGTGCCGGCGATTAAAATCATTAAGCCGGTTAAGATAGACTTGAAGATGAAAACAAATATTAAACCCGTAATTTCGAGTAGAGTTAAAGCTGTCGGGTGAAAGTTGAGGTGGACATGCTCGTCCCTCCGAGAAAGAATAAGAAGCCGGGATGGCATCGTCTCGTTTGTTTCCAATTCAGGAACTCAGCTGGATTGTGTTGATTTTGTGGTAATTTTTTGCGTGGACAAACTTTCTCGGACTTGAGATTTTTCAGTCTCTTGATGTAGATTCTTCCGCCGTTTTATTTTCAACTTTAAACAATAGATATCTTCGATAATGATGAATGGTATGGGCAAAAGGAACGACTAGATTCTGAAAAAAGAGATGTTGGTATTGGAATTTAGGGGTCGTCGAGGAGATATCAAACTGCCTAGCTAAGATTAAGATCCAATTCAAGCCTCGGTTCGAATTAGCCAGCAGTGGTGCCAGTGTGGTTTTATGCATTAGTCACAAGCACACTCGCTCATTTTGAAGCTCAAAACCGCAGCTCAAAATAATATCCAATTTTACGACTGCCCAAGCCTACCCCGAGGCTCGTACTCTCCGAGGATGCAGCAGGTACTCAGGCCCCTTATTACTGTGGTCGGTGCCACAGGTACCGGAAAGTCAAAAGTAAGTCTACATATATACATATACATATCACAAGTTCTTGAAAAATACAAAGCTAAATAATATCGCCTGCAGCTCGCCGTCGACCTTGCTCTCGCCCTCAATGGTGAGATAATCAACAGCGATGCAATGCAAATGTACCGTGGCCTTGATGTCATCACCAATAAACACCCGCTCGAGGAGCGAATGGGAATCCCGCACCACCTCATGGACTTCCTAAATCCTGAAGAAGCCTGGCGGATAGGGCAATGGTTATCAGTCGCACTGAACACAATTGAGGACATCAGAAGCCGAGGGAAAGTTCCAATTGTTGTTGGTGGAACCCATTACTACATGCAGTCGTTGCTCTTTCAAGAGCGACTGCAGGATTTTGAAGATAAAATGGAAAGTGGGGAATACCCCAACCATCGGGAGTCTATGGTTGCAAAATTCCCTGTTCTAAATGGCCCAACCTCGGAGATTCTGGAAGAGTTAAGACGAAGAGACCCGGTGATGGCGAACAGATGGCACCCAAATGATCGAAGGAAGATACTAAGGTCACTGGAGATATGCTTGACAACAAATAGGAAAGCATCGGAACTGTATGCCGAAGAGCAAGAGAGGAATGCCGATAAATCCACTGCAAGATTCTCAAATCTTTTATTCTGGGTGCATGCGAATGATGATGTTTGGTCGGAAAGGCTGAAGGGAAGAGTGGATAAGATGATTGAACAGGGTTTATTTACAGAAATCGATGGGTTGCATAAACTATACAAGGAGAACAAGGAAATAGATACAACATCGGGGGTATGGCAAAGTATCGGATGGAAGGAATTTCTACCTTACCTAACAGCGAGAGACGAGCTCGAGAGTTGGCCTGAAGACGACCTAGAGAGCAAGAAGGAACTGGCAACAGAACTCGAAAGATTGAAAACCGAGAACATCGGGAAGATGAATACCGCGACGAGGGCTTATGGGAAAGCCCAGCTAAGATGGATTCGAATAAAACTACTGAACAGGCTAATCGCCGACAAGGCCTCACTTCCAGAGGGTGGAATGTATCTGCTTGATACATCAGATCTTGCAAAATGGGATGAAATTGTACGAGATCCAGCTATAAAGATCGCTCGAGGTATGTATAAAACCAGTTACTACATAAATTGATAAGGATATCCTAAACTAAAAAATAAAACAGACTTCCTAAACCCAGATATCCCGAATGAATCCCTTCCGAAGCCAGCAGAGGTTGCCACCCTCCCATCAGACCTCCTTAAGCCGTACAAAGAAGATATGTCAATGAATCGCTCTCTATGGGTTAACAAAACTTGCGAACACTGTCACTTCACTTCTGTGACTGAAAAACTCTGGGAAAATCATGTCAATGGAAGAGCTCATAGACGACTAGTTGGGAGGAAACTAAAGAAAGAACAGATACAACTAGTTAAAGTCCTCAAAGTTGCAAGCTCAGGCAGCCCAACTCCACCCGAAGACAAAGAATTGGATGTCTCTATATTTGACGAGGCCTCTGCTTAGAAAATCTACTTCAAAACCCCATCGCTTTTAAGGCCGCTTGCCCTCCGGCTTTTTTGATAGCATCTACGCCTGGCCGTCCTTCGTGATATTCTTCTCCATTGCCTCCAGGAAAATCGGGAGGGGGGTATCCCGTCAAAAAAGTCTCCTTTTGTTTCTGGATATATTCTTCGTTAAGCCGACATTTCGGGACTACTGGAATATAGAAGACACTTGCGTCCTCTGTTCCATTATGAACTGGATCAACCGCATGAATAGTATCACAATGCCACACAAGAAAATCACCGGGTTCAACTCGTGGCGCAGATACCATCGAGTGTTGCAATTGCAGATGCGGGTGCGTCGCATCAGACATTTCCTGGCCTCTGCCCTGCGCCGAACCCGGGAACCTTGAAGTCGAAAGGTCGAGTTTCCAACCGTCAAGCGATAAAGAGTCATGTTTTGGCGGCGAGAAAAATGGCCTCAAGAACCAATATGCAGTTGCTTGTTTTAACAGCGGGTTGACTCTTAATGTCCCTTCTCCTGGTCCACAAGAAGAAAGACTCAGCCAACCCTGGAATTCTCGGAATGCAGCGCATCCGCCGGACGAGTTATATAAATCCATCACCGCATCAACTCGATATCTAGCATCAAAGGGATTATATCCTTCCCAGTTTCCCTTCAATATTTCGATGTAACAAGATGCGTATGTGGGGTCTTCCCATCTTTCCAACGATCCACCGTCAACATGGGGACCCAGAGCGAAGGACTTATCACCCGGAGTCCGCATTCTCAGACGGTCAGCGTACGACATTGGTGTGTTTGTTTGTTGTTCTGGCAGCCCGCTCCATAGCTTTTGTAGTGCTCGTTGCGCGCTCAACATCCGAGGGTCGCCCCTGGCTTTGATCTGGCTTGGAGACCAATATATCTCGAAAACTTGGCCCTTAAAGTGTCTTGTAGAACTCAAATTGGCTTTTATGTAAGCCCTGGTTTGTGCTTTTAGTTCGAGTGCCTCAGAACGCGAGAAGACGCCTCTGACGACTACCGTCCCACGGTTTTTGATGGTGTCGATGGTCTTCGAGTTAAGTTTACCGGAGGTGAGGTCAGCAAATGTGACCGAGGGGATCATCTCAACAGTAATCATTAATTTTTTTGCCTGAGAAACTCTTGAAGAATTCGATTCATACCTTTTCTCTCATCACTTTGGCCATCTCGACGCCATCTTTCAGAGACTCGATCAGCCTATTCCAACTCGCTTGAACCATATCGGCATTTTCCGCGATCAGATGTTTCTTGAGTTCCCTATAGCGCACCGGGAGCTGTTGCTCTGTCTCCCCCGATAAAGATGCAAACACCGAGGAGATATCACCCTCAGCCTTCGCAATTTGAGGCATAGCGCCTAAATTTCTTGTAAATACTGGTGGCCTGATTGCGGACCTGGCGAGGCCGCGCACCATGGGTGTACGTGCGACTAGCATTGTAAAAAGAATGTGTTTTAATTAAAAGTAGTCCTTAATGGTATATCTACGGAAGACCTTAAGGAATCGAATATCGATCGCGATGCTGAAATGGACTCTAATAGCTCATTCTCCCGTGGCAGAAAACGCGGTCTTTTTATACTCCAGAAATATGCAAATTTTAAGTTCGAATGCCTATCCTACAATAAAACTATTAATGTCGCAGTCGCAGGCCTCTAGGAGAACCAAATTATTTGGTGAGAATTGCTAGAGAATGAGATTATTCAACATTCGGAGGACAGCTCGGAGAGGTTAAGATGAGGAAGGTGGATCTAGCTCTAGATCTATAGATGCGATCTTTAAATCAAGAAGTTGAGCCGCAAAGTCGGAACATCATGGGAACATCGGAATATCGACGGTCGCACCAGATAAATGATTCAAAGTTTGGAGACGAAACAGCTACTGTCGGCTCCATCCCGAAGATAGTTAAATCATCTGTGCTACTAACTGTCTAAGTATCCACTTTTTCACTCTAAAAATCCAACAATGTGGTACCCTAATTGCCCTGTGGATCCCCAGAACGCTATCGACGTCACCTGAATAACGCCCTTAACCTTTCCACGGTACACTAACAAAAATCCCCAGAATCTCCCCAGATTTGACCCGCAGATGGGCCGGCTAATCTATGCCTTAAGGGTGGCCCTGGCGGAATTCAAGGAATAACTACGGCAGAGTTTTAAGATGGGGTTCCGACATTTGGACTGTTCGGGAGAATATTCGGGAGCTTGTTTCAGTGGCGACGATATCGACGAATAGGGATGGTTTCCAGACTAAACTAGTCAAGTGGCGGCCAGGTGACCCGTGCTTTTCTTTAAGATCTAAGGATCTGGCTCTAATATCGATATCGATTTGGCGTTTGCATACATGAGGTATCATGCGTATCTGTAATATGCGGCACTGCATGGGCATCTGATTTCTTGTGCGAGTGCGACACCAACCACACCACAGGTATAATTTACATTACTGATACACGCTAGTCTCTATTTATTAAATATCGAACTTCAAGCTTCATGGATTGAAATTTAAACTCTTGTATTTCATTAGTGCATTATTCCTTTGCCTCGTACGTGTATGATCTCGATCGAATATGCAAATCTTTGAAGTATTATATTATTCCCTGAAATTTGCAAATTCGAATTCGGGTATTAGATATTCTATTCTTATATTCGCCTGTTGATAAACAACTGATCTAGATCTATAGAACTATCTAAACAATGCAAAGAGAATTGATTTGAAATGTATGCTCCGAAATAAATAATTCTAAGTAGCTCTATGTTATCTATCCTATCGTGCTTGGTAACTACAAGTTCTTCGTAATATCCTAGTGACTATTTAGTCGGGAAACCCCCAGTGGTTCCAGTAACACCATTCAAAATCAACGAGAATACAACATCGTTGAATCTATCATAGATATGATAAACACCAGCGGTCAACTGTTCTCCATCCCAATTAACAACAGCCGAATTGATCAAGCCTCGAGCCAAATCACCACCATCTCCAAAGGAATTGAACATCTGTTGCCAGCTAGAATACTTGCCACCCAACTGTACTGCCAGGGCGAGAACATTGACCGTCGACCCGGATGTAACGTCGATACCCGTGCGCAGGAGGTATTTCCCAGTATTCGTCAAGGCGCCATCAACGAGGTCAAGAACGACGTTATACATATCAACAACAAGGACATCTGCTCCTGGGTGAGGACCAGTTATGGTTTGTGCTCCGCGATAAAGTTGAAAGGTACCCGCACGACCGGTCAAAGATGTGATGAATCTCCCATTGGCACGCTTTGTGAGCTTGCTTCTAGTTGACGGTTCCTCTTCCTCTTCCTTTCCATGGCGCCGCGAGGAAAGCCATTCCGGCTCCTTTGATTCGTAGTGAGGGATTGATTCTGTTGTATTCCATGTAGTTTCGAGTTCTATCTCGGTGGCAGGTGCATCTCTCTTCCACCCGCTTTTACCATTCAATTCAGCATTGATAAACCCCGAATCGTAGTAAAAGTATCCGTTCTGACATTTAGAACCCAATTGTTCGAAAGAAGAAATCAAGGCAATCGCTGGTACGACGTTACCGCTACCGCTTCCGCGAAGCTTGGCAGTGCAGGAACCCCAGGACTGGGTGATGATGTTTGGCGGAACCCAGGCATTATCATCGGTTCCGGTTTGTTGCAGAACTATTCCGGAGGCAGCAACCATGCAGTCCTTGTGGAACTTTTGGGATCTGTCTGACCAGCAGCCATATGTTGTGCTGGCGAGGGTAGGAGCGACCAAGAAGAGGAAGGAAGGAAGGATAGAAGATGGATGCATGATTACTTGTATTATAATAGCAGCTGAGAACTAGTAACAAAAATTCTTGATTCTAGGAATTGATAGCTAGTGATTTTTAGAATGGGTTGCAATTGAATATCTCGACTTTAATGCTTCCATTCTATCCTTTATATACGTAAATCTAACATTGGACTGTATAATTTATAAGAGAACTCTTTACAAGACACGATAATAGACATAATGAATTGGACCTTCCAACCTCTTCCTTTTTCCGAACAAAACCCGGATGCCCTCGTCGACTTCTGAGACTTCTCGGTCGTTGAACCCAAACAAGTCTGTAGGCAACATCGTAGTGGGTGAAATATATTGAAAGGAGTCGATTTTTGTGTTTACTCGGTTGTAATTGGCGAACTGTACCCAAGATACCAGGGATTCGAGTTTACTGATCAATTCGCCTTTTCAAGGGCAGTAGAAGACTTGTTGAAGCCCGTTGAAACCTCTTGTCAAGATTCTTGTAGAAAGAACGTGGCCCAGTACGGTGTAGCAGCGGCTAAGCATATACATGTTAACGTTTCCCGCGGCTGTAACTTCGAATTGCGAAAGCCAGGTGTGTACGTGAACCGAGAGAGTTTCGACTTTTGAAATCTGATGAGTAAACAACCAAAGACAGGGAATCGGTTTCTCCACGTTATATAAGTATTTATAATGCATAGCCAAGCAAGGTTTTTCCGGGCTTGGAATGCTTAAACTTAGTTGCCCAGGCGGAGCTCAAAAGGATTACTTCGTTGCACGTTGATACAAATTTTTACAGAAAAATCCAGCCCGAATGGTGATCATCGATGAGCTATAATTACCGAGCACATATTAATTAGAAAACCAGAAAATATCGAATTTGGTAAGTAGACACTAGAACCACCTTTATCACAATGGACACATCCAGGGAATACAGAAGTAATGGGGATTATACCTAATCTTGCAATTATAGAAACTGCACTCGTTCATGGAATACATTCTCATCTAAAACAAGCAAATTCTGCAAATCTTCCACCCTTGTCCACAGAAATATAAGCTTTTACAGGGATATGAAATATCAAAATTAAAACTTCTTCATGATATCGGATGCCCGCCTGGATACATCCGCAGTATCCGTCGATATATGAAACCTATATGGCCGTTTTACCTAACGATTTCATTGTCAAATCACCATGCAACGTAATCCCTAATATCGAGAGCTCCGAAGTTTGCGTGTCTATGACAGCACTACAGATTGTATCGATACCCCAGGCACCTATGAAGGGTATGTAACTATGAGCATCACGGCCGGAAAAACTATCTGTCGGGGCCCGCCACCTTGCAAAAACAGGGGTTCATAACGTGGGATGGCCAGAAGAAGTTGTTCGCGAGAAAGTGAAGAAATTTCAAGATCGATGATACATATATATTGAGAATGCATAGTACTTCGCCTCATACATATCCTTACCTCTACAAAGAGTTTATCAGAGGAGAGCTCTTGAATATTGCAAAGTAGAGTTCTGGAAGTCCCCAAAGGAAGTATGCAATTTTTATACACAATATCTAATCTGAGACTGAAGCTAAGCCTCTCCGGCTCCGGAACAACTTCCCAGTCAATACATCGCATTACATTTTTCAAGTCTGAATTCGATACCAAATTATTAACTAATCCCCGTTAAAATACTCCGGATTTTTTCGTTTAAGCTGACGGTAACCACTTAAATAGCTAATCGACTATATCAGATCTCGCCACATTTCCGAACGCGCGATATGCGCAATTACATAGTTGTCCGCCACGGTCTCCTGCACCGTGGCATTTTATGCGTTGCAGCCACATAACCGTCCCACAGACCGTGTTACCATGCATATGCATCCCAACCTACCTACCACCAACCAAGAACTAACTTCCTTCACCATCATCACAACCCTCTTCCCTTTGTATACATCAAGTCCCCTCCAAAATGTCCTGTGCCGCCCCACCTCTCACCGGCCAAGATGCCTCCCCGCTGGCCTCTCTCTCAATCACCCATGTCTCTTATGACCCTTCCGACCCTCTATCGCTCGTCGCGGCCTACCTATCCTTAATCCCACAAGCATTAATGATAGTCTACGCTGTTCTGATCTTCTCGCATAGAGAGTTAGAAATTATATTGGCTTGTGCTGGACAATTAGGCTGTGAGGCTATAAATTACGTGCTAAAACGTGTTATCAAGGAGGCGAGACCCAGTAGTAAGAAAAATCCACCTCTTATGCCCCAGAAAAATAGAAAATAGAGAATAGAAATTAAAAAGAAAAAGAAAAAGAGTACGTTATGAAAAAAAAAAACTGTGACGGCTGATTAAACCTATTCATTACAGATCTAAAAGGGAAAGGTTATGGTATGCCTTCTTCACATACCCAATTTATGTTCTTTTTCGCGACATACATATCCCTCTGGATTGCTCTCAGGAATAAATTCATTCCAAAGCCAATAAAGGCAGTCTTGTTACTTGCGCTGTCAGCACTGGCAGTCGGAGTCGCGGGGTCGAGGGTATACCTTCAATACCACACCGTAAAACAGGTGTTAGTCGGCTCTGGTGCTGGGGTGATAATTGGACTCGGCTGGTTCGTGACTACGGCTTTGATGAGGACTATTGTCGGCGGGAAATTATGGGATTTCCTACTGGAGAGTGAAGTTGCGAGGTTGGTTTATGTGAAAGATGAGTGTACGGTTGTGGATTTGCATCGTAGGGATTGGGAGGGATGGTGGACGGCGAGGGAGCAGAAGAGGAAGGCGGTGAAAGGGAAGAAGAGTCTGTGATATCTCTCTATTGATCCAGTTGATCAATTGACAGGGTATCCACTCACTTAGATATATTCACTGTTATGGTGTTTAGCATGCATCTTGCGGCGTTTTGGATTCAAAGTCTAGATCTTTTATATCGTTTCTGAGTCAGATCCGTTCCTCCCATCAGGGACCGTATCTTAAATGAATTAGAAAAGGAAAGAAAAATAAAATTCAATTAGCATATTTTTACAGACCCAGCTTGAATACCTAATAGATGCTTTTCACATAAACTGTCGATTAAATTTCATACCCGCTAGCATTAAAAGAAAAAATACAAATCCGACCCTACCTAAAAGAATCTCCACCATATGAATATAATCACAATAAATCCCAGCAGTGCAAATGGTGCATATTGTCTGATCAGTAAATCCCAATTTATCCGTCTTGCGGCCTTCTTATACTTTGCCGAATCTTGTTTCAGCCGAATGCTCATATCCCCCATCTTATCCAGACTATCACCTCTGTAAAGAAGATCCTCAATGTTCTTCGTCATAACCCTTGTTACGTCTTTCAGGTCATCGTTTAGCTTGTCGAGATTCTGGGTGGCACGGGTATCCTGGTATGTACGTTTTGTACGCTGCATGAAGGTATCGAAGTCGACGAACTGGTAAGGACGAACGGTAGGAGAGTGGACTTCACGTTGAGGATATGAAGAGGTGAATTCGGTGGCGATGTCGGATAGGTATGTGAAGGCGAGTTTACGAGGGTAGGAACGTTCGCAGATGCAGAGGTAGCAGACGCCGTCTTGGATCAGGTAGCTAGAACACTTTCGGGTGAGCCTTTGAAGAAAAAAATGCTTCGACAGTTTAATTACACGGGTGGAAAGCGTACTGAAGAGTGTAAGAGCCGGATTCAATGGATGCTTGGGTTTCGGAGTTCGAAGTCAGACGACGGAATATCATCTTTGCCTGTTCTTTGTACTGCTGGAGATTCTCTTCCACCTGTAACGACGCTGTTAAAAGATAAGGCCTTTTCATTGAAGTATCGTTAAAATAGAAGAGCGAACCTGAGCATCATCGACGGTAGCTGCTAGTGGCATGCCTGGAGATAGAGTCCGTTAGGTTTCCCGTTCATCGAAAAAATCATGCGACATCATGAAAGGCCAACAGCGAAGCTTACCATCAAGCCGGGTGATGATGGTCGACTGGACCATGGTGGGCGAATGCTCCTATACTTGTCTAACAAATGCGACTCTTGTAACGGAATACGAGGGTTCGTGGATGCTTTGAAGGTGTGGATGCGATGAGATGAAGTTTGAGCGCTGGTTGGTTGGTGGAGGGACTTGCGAGAGGTCCACGTTGGTCAAAAGGGTCTTGTAAATGTCTGGCCTAGCCCGGTCGGCTGCGCGGTGACGAAAGCCGTTTAACGTTTCAGCTACCAAACACGCTTCAACACGTCCGCCCTGGCGCCCTTCAACCTTTCAACTACAACTACACAGTAATTTCGTGAAGACATATTCAATCGCCATCAGCCGTCACATTGCTGACGATGGTTCAGAAAAAATGGGTAACCGGTTCGGCCGCGAAAAGGAAATCTACTAGAAATCTAAAGGAGCCAGACCCCGAAATTGATGGCCGTAATGCTGCAGCTGAGGATATCGAAGAGGAACCACAGACGAAGAACCCGCAGCCTTCACCCCGCAAAAAGGCGAAAACTGAGAAATCATCTCAGATAGAGGAAAATTCCACAAAGGAAGAGCATATGCATGATGTCGAGACGTCTGTGCAGCCTGCGACAAGTAGCGACTATGCAAATCAAGAAGGCGATATCGCTGGAAATCCACAAGGCTCGCCTCGATCCAAACGAGAGCTTCATTTATCTTCTCAAGAAGCTAAGGGTAAAGAGCCGACGGATACAGATATGGAAGCTGAAAGTTCTCTCGCCGAAGTTTCCCAGCAATTGGAGGACGTGGATATTCAAACACCAAGGAAGCAGAAGAATTCAGAGCCGACACCAGTCACAAGAGCTATCAGGTCCACAAGATCAACAAGATCTAAAAAAAATGAGCCAGGAGATACTGACATGGTCGACGAATTGGCAAATGTTACTGCACCAGAACAACCTCGGAGATCAGGCAGAGCTCGAAAGGCAAAGCCGGAATACGACGAAGATAAATACCTAGACACGGCTGAAAAACAACTAGAACAACCATTACCAAAGATTAAAACCCCAGGAAAGGCTCCCAAGGGTGGTGTCTGGAGTGCCAATCATCTTCTTACTAGCAGAAGAAGTAAAATCATCACTGCAGAATGCAATGTATGCATACGTATTAGTATCTATTGATGATGGCAGTTTGACGTTTCGTTAATGCTTGATACAGATGATATTCAACGAGAACACGTGGGGCCTCTTTACTGAAGAAGAGAAAACTGAGCTTTTAGCTCTGCTTCATCCAATTGACACGGAAATCACATTTCCTGATCAAGACCCTTCTTTACCTCCACCTCGGATCCCAACTCCGGAGCTCTTTCAAAACCTCAACAATGATGCCTTTCGCGCGGCCTTTGCTGAACTGCAAGAGGATCTTGAATCAGGGTCTTACGAACCAGCTTACATAAGGAAGGCAGAAGAAGCACTAAATCTTAGATTAGGCTCAATGGCAGATAAAGTTGACGATATGAAAAACAATGAGTTCGAACAGTACTGGGGTCAAAAGCAAGCAGTGTTTTTTGGAGACGCAGGACAATCAGCAGGAGTTACCTTGTACGAACTCTGCCAACAAAAGATGCTAAGACCGGGTGATCTGTTTGAATATAAACGGAGTTTTCAGGGAGGAATAGTAGTGGAGAAGGTTTGTGAGTTCGACAGTGTAGAACTCGCCGAGGCAAGCCTAGGGGTGAAGAAGAAGAGGGATGCTTGCACTATGACATTTCGATATCCAGCCGGGACAAAGAAGTTTTTAGTACATAAGGGAAAGGGTGATCCAGGTGAAGGGACTTCAGCAAAAGCAGCAGAAGAAACTGAGAAAGATATTACGATCCAAGTCAATAATCTTGCACAGCTCGAGGTTGCAATCTTGGATGAGGATGGGACGGTCAAAGCATCCGACCCCGAGAAATATGCGAATCAATACCCTAATGGAAACGCCTGGAAGCAGTTTACGGTAAGGAGGAATGACGAATTTCTTGGAAGTGTTTTTACAATTCGTCAAGTATACTATGAAAAAAAGGCGGCCCGGGATGCAGCTTGATGTCGATACCCTTTCGTATTAACTTTGATAGCGGTAGCCTTTTATCCCGTTTGGTGTTTTATAGTGCCTATTGGGAATTGATGCGCTATTAGCGATACATTACCAAGTTTTGCATATAGACAGATGGATAGAATTATGATGGAATGATAGTTTTTCCGAGTTTGCGTGTTTATCCATAAATAAAGACAATGATTGGACCTTTTTTCTCTTACCAATCACATTGATTGTATTGAAATCGCAAGATATCGTCTGGGGCCTTATATAATATAAGCTGAGGTATGTTTAGTATAGCTTGGTGGTGTTGGGCAATCGGGTGTGTGTGGTTGGTTGGTCGGCATCGGCTGTCGCGTGGGCCGACATGCTTGTTCAGGGACCAAATTCCCTTTTTAGCAGCTCTCAACCTTCCACCTCCTTTGATCCCGAAATCTGTTCAAGTCAGCGCTTGCGATTGCCATCCTCTCACAGAACACTCGACCTTCAAACCATCAGACATCCGAAATCGAATCCCTCATTATCTTGAGTCCTATCCGCTCCACGGTCCGTCGAATCAGTAGCAATTTAATTCAAAAAACCACTGTCAAAATGTCGGCAATCTACAACTTCGTTCGCCGAAAGCACTACCAATTCGAGGTCACGTTTACCTCTTACATGCTTACTTCCACCGAGAAGATCGTATTCAGTCAGTCTACCCACCTACCCCTCATTTGGCTTCCTTTCTTTCTAGGAGTCTTTCTTCACTCCCGAGATGTCCGCCAGTAGAACTAACTGAGATGTATTAGATACTTTCATCTTCCTCTTCCTCAGCTTCTTGACGGCAGCGATCACCCTTTATCTACCACAACATGTACAAACGATTACCAGGAGGGCATACTTTTACATCGTGGGAGATGAGAGCGTGATTCGGCAGGAAGATGTACTGGATTATTCGACATGAAATGACATCGAATACATTGGAATGGCGGAGAACCCCGGTCTCTCCCCGAACAAGGTTTAAAGGATGATCAAAAGAAGTATATTTTGGGATGGTTCTGCTAGAAGGAGTTATCTGGAATGGCTGTAGGAGGGTGTCATTGGAATTGGAATTCTGAACCGTCAGGCATCTATCTATCCGATAAACTACACGGACGGCATGCATCGGATTTAGCCCTGTTATTTTTTCTACATGGCTCGCTTTTTTTTTTTTCCTTTTCGTTTTTGTTATCGAACGACAGGCATGGCATATGCATAGACGACTGCATTTACATGCGTTTACACGGATAGAGAATATATCTCATAGAATAATGTATAATTATTTATAACTTCCATTCTCTGACTAGGACCCGGAAGCTTTGAAACTTCTGCGTGATTTTTAAAGGATTATCGCTGTATCTATTCTTCCATGGCATCACTCTTATCTACTGACTGGTCTCCCTCATTTCCTTTGAGTTCACTGTCCTCCTCCTCTTCCTCTTCCTCTTCTTCTTCGTCATCATCTACCTCTTCATCAATGTCCATTTCATCATCTGCTTCCCCTTCATAACCCTCTTCCTCATTTCGGCGGCGAAGTTCAGGCTGTTCGGTCTCCTAAATCCCACTAGCATCCTCGCTCCCCAAAAAACTCCACTTCTCCAACCCTTCAAACATCCCTTCAATATTATACTTCTTCGCCTCATCCTTCAGCTTCTTCATAGTCGAGTAGATCAATCTATATACCCCATCGAATCCCTTACGCCTCAAGTATTCCAAGCTCGCAACCTTGAATACCCTATATTCAAGGCTGTAGCCACCATCCCCAGCAAGTCCCATCAAAGATTTAGATGTAACTGGACCCGCATGTCGAGTTGGTAGGACAAGATTATGAGTGTCTTCGTGGCGCTCTTCCAGGAAGCGGAGGCAGTCGGTATTCATATGTGAGAACGTGGGACTGTGGGTTAAGGTGAAGAGACCGTTTAGTGTGAATTCGCGGGCATTAGCAGCGGCGTTGAGACATTCAACGAAGTCACTTTAGAAGAGGAAAAAGGGAAGGTTAGCATTTGACACTTTATTCCGTAACCGTTAGTAGGTGGGATGGAATAAAGGAAACATACTCTTTCATCAAACAACCCAGTGCATTCGTATCCTTAGCAGGATCGTGATAAAAACATCTAAACCTCCAAAAGAAGTTGCTGATATCCATCAAAAACCCATTGAAGTGGTCAACATATGGTCTTTCTGGCTCGATATATCCCACATCTGGATTCTTAGATCGAAGCTCAGCATGACCCAAGAACGCCTTCTTATAATCCGCAAGAATTCCACATAATCGTGAAAAGCCGACCGCATCTCCGACGAAAACGCTACTATACACTATTATGTCGGCTGGGTAGACAATTTCGAACACGGGATTTGTAAGTGGGATTTTAACAATAGCTTCGTAGAAGTCGAGGGTTGTATGTTGGATTGTGATTATGGAGGCTTGGGACCGATGATTGATGATAGCCTGTGAATTAAGCTGGTCGGTGTAGTTGAAGTATTGGCGGAGTGATGTGCGGATATCGGGATCCAGCGCTTCGTGCGGAGAAACAGAGCGTTGGTTTATGATGTTGCGGGCGAAAGAAGTGTGAAAGCGAATCAAGGCAGTCGCATCCTCAGGCGAGTCGTTCTGGAGAAGTGACTCCAGTCGATCGAAAAACACATCTTTCAAATCTAGAACACATTCTATTAGCGCACGGACTAATTTTAGATTGCAATGATGCTGTGATCAACATACCCTTGTGGTTCAAAAAAGGGACGAACGAGAGAAGACCTAGAATAGCTTCTCTATGCCACTTTCCGTTCCATGTCGTCACATACTCTTTCAGGAAATCTTCTACAGATGGTAAGAGAGCCTATCACACAGTAAGCAAAATTAAACCTTATTACAAATTTTGCAATAAAACTAGAAGATTTGTAGGGATATGAAACTATACCTTTCCCATCGCAGTATAATCTAATATCTGCTTCAAGAACACCTCGAGGCGCTCTGAGGCTGATTTAGCAGCAATCTCAATATCATATTCGTCAAAGAGTGCCGCGTAAGTCCAATTATCCAATCTTGAAATGATATCATCCGATCCCTTCAGAAGGACAAAATTCCTAAACATGTCATCCTGGAATACTGCACCAACTTGACTGGGTAGCTCGAGCTTCTGGAGATTGTCAACAAGACTTCGCACACTGTCAATCTCTTCGAGGGTAATCGAGTTTTCTGAGGCATTGAAAGTATGAAGTATTGGAACAATAGCCTTCTTAGATTTATTGAGGATTCTAGTACTCCTTCGACGATGCAGCTCACGATCTGTATCCTCGCCATCAGGAGTTTCCTCTCTCCTCGATTGGATCAAGGCGGCATTCTGAACCCAAAGCGGGTCCCAAATTTTGAATACAGAACGTTTCCGGGAACCGTTCAAAATGACATCTGGGTAGAAGCTTTGGTAAACCTGGAGCAGCCCCACGACCCCTGATTCATCACTGTGATCCTCATACAGCTTCATCCTTTTGCTCAAAACATTAGCAAGAACCGGAATTTCCCCGAATAAAATCTCGGTGGAGACCTTACAGAGCCTGGATCCGAAACGGCTTCACATCTTTCCTCCGCGTGCACAGAGCTAGCAAATGACAAGCTGATGCCCTTAAATTCGCCGTGTAGAGGAAATTAAACAGTATCCCATACAATTGATGCAACACGGCATAACTGTCAAGAAAATCATATACCATAACCAGCCATTTCAGGAGTAACGCTTGCGTCGCGTATGCCGCCTTCCCTTCGCCCTCACCTAACGAGCTTATCAAATGTATAACCGTTGATGGCTTTACCCTTTCCAGAGGCACCAGTGACTTCACAAGTGTTCTCGTTTTTGGTGCATCAATCGACGTTTTTGGAAGAGTAAGAATGCGGAGTAAACTCTCCAGATACCCGTGTGTCAAACCATTGGTATTTGCATAACTAGAAAGCTCCCCGACGAGCTTCTCAAAATCCTCTTTGGGAGTCTCTCTTCGCGTCGTTGTTGCCGCTGCCAAACACGTGCCATCAGCGAAAAATGCAAGGGGTCCACTACTTATTTCTCAATATGGAAGGCATACCTATCAATAACTCATCGAACTTCTCACCGAGATCTCCGGCGGTTATTTGACGGGGGGTAGCAACCGTCTGGGGCCTTTTCGGTCCGCGATCTCGCAGCGGGGAACTAGCCATAGTTTCACTGAATGAATTGGGATGTTGTTGTTGACAAGACGAAGTGTCGTCGTCGAGAGAGTGTTGTTTGTCGCATTTTGGTAAACGTGCGGCACAGTGATAAACGTGAACGGGCGTTGCTGCGACTCGGCTCGGCCTTTTGTGTAACGGATTGCTTCATTCAACCTCATTCCAATGATTCTGAGGACATACGAGGCTGAAATATTTCTAACTTGAATCTACGGCTCTTCTTCATATCCCTCTTCTTCAGCATGCGGGAGCTTCCGAAAGATCGAATAGGCATTGCCAACAATCGATTTCAGTAAGGGCCCATATCCACCCCTTTTACCAAATATCTCGACACGAATTTGAATGTATCACCTACGTATTATAACGTAATCCAGCTTACCAGCAAGCTACCGGACTGGGTGGGTCTATGATTCATCATTTCACTCTAAGATGGTGATGCTCCGTAGCTCCCGTTCAAGTGCATGCGAGCAAGGGACAAACAAAGCAACCTCCCTCCCCCCCAAAAAAAACACCTCGTCGACCTACCTGATTCCTCAGATCCTGCTGCACGCATGTGAATACCATGGAGCTCTTCAGGCGGTAACCAAATATGTTAATTCGTTCGGCCGTTAGCTTCCGGTAATCTTCTCCCTTCCCCTCACTTCTGGCTGCTCTACTTGCTCAACTACTCCTGTCCCTTTGGGTTGGAGCTTGGGGAAGGCTGGAGGAGCTGGGTCAGGAGCATAAGACTTCGCTTCAATATGCATATCAACGTCAAAGGGGCGGTTAGAACAAAACAAAAAAAAATATCAAGTTCATCACATATGCATTCTTTCGAGCTTGTATTGGCGCTGGTATGCTAGCAAAAGTCGGGACCTTTTTGCTTTATATTTAAACATGCTTGGCAATGGGGAGTTCGCTTGGCTTACAGGCCTGGCGGAAAACTACAGTCCTAATTTGCTCTAGGAAGACGAAGCAACAGTTCAAAGGATAAAAACGAAAGAAAAAGCAGGAGATATACGAGATCGCGCTGGAGGGTTTCCGGCGCATGTAACTTTATGCGGAATGCGAGCAAGAAGACATGGGAAATAGCGTCAAAGTGTAAACGTGGGTGGCTTGCTGAAGCCCACCAGACTATGTAGCTGAAGTCTAGGTTCGGTATTCGTCTCGCAAATTCGTCTCGTTGGCTACTCTCGTCTAACTCATTCTGTTCCTGTTTCTTTTCCTAAACAAAGTTTTCTGTGCACTCGGCAATTGAGCACGCCGATTGGGTTTCGGATATGTATTACATTTGATTTTGAAAAGCGAGTCTTCACCAGGTCTGGATAATATATCTTCCGCGGGATTCGGAAAATGAGGCGTTCAGAGGAGCTGATCCAGGGATGAAACCTACCTTAGTCGCGATCCGAGGGCATTTCTGCAAGTTCATCGGCATCGACGGTCCTTCTTGACAAATATTATGAACTGGACGCCGAAGTGTTGATATGTTCTCCGTATATTCCGTATAATAGCTATACATCGGTCCACGGGACCCAGAATGCGGGAGCCAATAATTGCGAGCGTGTACTTGAGTACACAGTAGTATTGCACCCTTTATGTACCCCCAAAAGTTGGACAGAAAAAAAAAAAAAAATCTGATATCGCATTTGTTTTAACATTTGCTGTTACACAAACGTTTAAAGGAAAACCTGCACCAGCGTTCGACGATCCCTGGAGGGAGTGGCACGTAAGACTGCTGATTTGGCCAGTGAACGCAGCTTGGCCGTGTGGGTGTAGGGATTTCCCGTGTAACGATATGTAAGTTGGGCTGTGTATACAGTGCATAAGAGATGTAAGTACTTCAGTATACCTGACTGATCATGAGGGGTGCAGCGCTCCGGCTGTACGGAGAGTGTGAGTGGACGAAATGGATCAGATATGCACCACTTTACGCCTAATGCAATCATTGAGAGAGAGACGCATAAGAACAAATGATTGCAATTCGCTATACAGTCTTAAGCTAACTGCAAGATTTTTTTCTTCTTGACCTGCTAGCGCTATATTCAAGATTTCAAGATTGCGAGCTGGGGTGACACGAAAGAGGTCTGTGTCGCATGATACGAAAATTCTGTGCGACGTCTCGCGCTTGCCCTTCGTTGCATTGGACAGAATTCTTTTCCTGTTCCACCAAGTATTTATTTTTTTAGTTCAATGTTTTGGACTAGAACTAGAATTATAGTAAGAACTAATGTACGGAGTATATCTAGGTCATCCGCTCGTATATGGCTTCTACTTTAATAAAAATAAATATTAATTGCACGGATGTACGTAACCTCACTCAAGGAAGCACCCAAGCCTATGGTACGAGTGAATCAATGTCTCGTATATACCCGACAGATTTTACCAAAATAATATATATTGTCCTTCAGATACCGTATCGTAAGATAATGCAGAAGAACCCGGATCGTAGAAACCAAGATGGTAAGTGGCTACGGTAAGGGCTGGGCAAACGCTGCAGAAGAGTCTTAGAAAGTCCGAGCTTGCGCTTGAAAGCTTGGGACCTGATCATATGTACTCAAGTACTCGCAGATTGCCGAATATACCTGCAAAGTAAAACCAGCTAGTAAGAAGTGAGTATTTACTGAGCTGCTTCAAAAAAAGTTTGCCCTTTAAGTTTGCTCTTTTGATCTCATGAGAGCCCCTCCAATCATTTACTGTTTCTAGAATCTGGGTCGTACTTTTTTTTTTTTTTTTTTTTTCCCCTTGAATTCGAAGGGAGGCCGGGAGGGCGACATCGCTTCCAAGGTTCTGCCGGTGTTCAACATTAACGCTCGTGTCCATGCGAGAATTAAAATCAGGAAACGGCCCGGGAATTATCGCTGCTGGCCATGGGGTGATTGAACAAGCATAAATGGGATATGTATGAGAAAGTGGTAACTGGATTCGAATTCGACTATTTCCCCACCCTCTTATAGCCACTTAAGTCGACACTTAAGCACTTAAGCACTTGAGCACTTAAACACTTCGATGGATTATGTGGCAGCTCTTACATACATAGTAGTATGCATATATCAGCTCATTTACCGGTCCATCACAATTGCCCTGGTACATCCGCCCCCAAAGTCAACAATGCGACATCATTTCACCGATGTGGAGAGCTAGAGCCCTAGCCTGCAAAGCCTCTGCGGTGGGATCGGGTTTCACATCTGCCTATTCTTAGCCTCTTCACTGGATGTCTGCTGACCCTTTCAATGCTTTTCAATGGAAGAGGCCGCCTCTGGAAAGGTAGGCGAGACAATTGGTGTCCCCAAAGACTTGGTTGCACGACTCGTTCCGCCTTTCCTGTGCTGCCCCCGTCAAGTCGAGTAACTTAACAGTTGGCCCTTCTAGCTGCTTCGTCTGAACGAATTCCTTTTTCTGCTCCCACACCTCCTTCTTCCCCCCTAATCACGCTATCTGCCATATGGAGCCGACTTCCGAAGGGTTTCCTTGTGTTACACAACTTAATTACAGAAGATGGTTCACTTATTGGCCCAAACGCCGTGCTTGGGTGCCAAAAGTGGTGGGAGGGACGCTGCCCGAAAAAGAAAAAAGAAAATAACTCCTGTCCACGGGCTATGTCTGCCAGCCAGCGATAACGAGAGGGACAGGCAACAGGCCCAGGGTTGATTCTTGACAGGAAGGCAAGCAGGCCTAGTTAGGCCATGGGTGGTTTCTCCCAATTTTCCAGTTGTCGGAGCCCGAAGATTCATTAATTTGAATCGAATTGACCAGAAATCCGGAAGCCGGATCATTGGGCCCACGAAATAAAAAAAAATAAAAAAATCCACTGCTAGCTAAGCAGCTAAGAGAAATAGTTAGTGAAATGTACAAAATGTGCTATGTGGACTTGAGATGTTGCTTTCACCTGTTACTCCTTGCTTGTGTCTCTCCGGAATTCCTCGCCAGGACTGAATACTTCCTCCACAGAAACCTTAACTCGTCTGTTAGGTCGTTTAACCCTGTTCGAAGACACATCTAGTGGCACACCTGAACACTAAAATCTGCTCTATATCGTCATTGCGGACACTAATTTCCTCGAGATTCCTTGCATGGCATGACTTGCCTTATGTACTGTACTTACATACATAGTACTATAGTATAGTTATGAGAAGATTCCCATGGGATCTTTTGCAATTGCTGCGCAGGCTCTCACACGCCCAGCTATGCCGATACCAACGTGTTCGTGCGATCGTAATGTCTGAGAATTACCTAAATTGTCTTTTTTATTTTTTATTTTTTTATTTTTTTTATTTTTTATTTTTTTAATCAGTGTACTTGAGTATGTATGTATGTATGTATGTATGTATGTATGTATGTATGTATGTATGTATGTATGTATGTATGTATGTATGTATGTATGTATGTATGTACTTACCTTAATATATTATTGCAGGGTCAGACATAGCGGATTGTACCGCTGTCATCGGCATATTGAGAGCTGAGAGCTCAGGATACACAATACTGGCCAGTAGCAGTGTGGGGATATCACAAGCGATACATGTAATACTTAACATCGGGTTCGATAGGAGCCAACATCCCCGATGTTAACATGCCCTTGAAGAAACGAAAAAAAAAAAACAAAAAAAAAACAGTCTATCTGGAATGTTGTGATTCCCTGGACGAAAGAAGTCTGTATCGGATGAAAAGGACGCCCAAAACTGCTCTTTTTCTTTCCTTTTGGCATCGATATTTTAATTTTAGCGCCCGTTCCACGAGGTTACAGTTGTACGACAATCAAACCTGCTCCCAGCAAACGGGAAAAAGACGCGCTCACAATTGATTAAAGTCACATTCACATTTGCATTCATTCATCGACGACATCGTCGATTCGATTCGATTCTTATCCTTTTCCCCCACCCCCTTCGCAAAGTGGCTGCTTTCGTTGGCTTCCTGCCTCGCTATAGCTATAGCTACTGACGTATTATAATTATACTGGCCAAGCTGAGCTTCGAGACTTCGTTGTATCGAATCCTAACTTAACTTTATCTATCTCTCCAACGAGCAACTAGACTCTCCGCCACTCGCATCCTGAAATTTTAATCGGCTCTTTCCATCTGCCATATTAGCCAATACGGTTAGGTAGAGCCTCGAGCCAATTTGCCTCGCTATTTATAAGGTCGGTATGACATGAGCCTCGTATTCCGGACTCGGTGAATATCAATCCAGGCAGACCCAAGCAAGACCCTGCCGGTCCTAGCGGGTACCCCAGACATCCGCTCGAGTTTGATGGGTTTTTTCCTGCCCGGTAACGTAATTATGCACATCCGGCCCTCCCTATCTATTTACCCCGAGTTCCAATCTTTCGCCATCTTGCGATTCCAGACATTCCGAGACGACGCATCACCGTCCTAGCTGGTTCTTGCTTGGTGGGATTTCATCACAAAACGTGAAAACGTGCAAATTGGGGGTCGCTGACTTCGCTGACCGACCATGCCTGAATAATAGCAGAACCCCGTTAGACGCAGCGTGCAGGGAAACATCGTCTTCCAAGGTAAGTTTTCTCCCTTGGTGTTACATTCGAGTCTGTTTTATTTGACTTTTTATCGGCCTTTTTCTTTTTCTTTTTCTTCTCGTTCTTGTTCTTGCTCTCTGTTTCCTTCACATCGCACAAAACTCAATATTTGTTTTTCTTTTTCTTTTTCTTCTTTTTCTTTCTTTCTTTCTTCCCTTGAATGAACATCCGCTTCCTCGTACATACCCAAAACATGTGCCTATGCCCTCCTTGCTAGGGTACTAGGTTAGTTCTCGAAGGGACTTCAGCAGCTGGGTAGTCGTGTCACTAGCTCTGAGGCGTACTGAAAATTTTAACTTTTACTGAAACTCTTCGTCGGTACCGCTTACTTCTCGCCTGTCCTACTCTTACATCCTGCATAACTCGAGGGAACTGCTGGCTTGGTAGTACAAAGGGACTAACGCTAACTTAGTATCTATAGGTGGTGGTCAATTGGGCCCGGTTGAATTTTAAAGCCTCCATGAAAATATTAAAATCCTGCGCCTAACTACAGACAAGGCAGTAGTGGCTTGTCCCACCATAGTAAGGTTCGTACGAAGGATTGCTCTTACACCACTTCAATAGAGTCGTGTGTAGCCGAAGGATACACAATCACAATTTATTTGTGGCCGTTCTTTCAGACCTCGAAATCTTCTGTCCTCCTCTCTTGTTCAGTAGGACGGAGCTTGCACGAGGCCTGTATATTGAACATCGTCCGACGTTGGGATCGCGACCATCCCAAATTGTTCTTCAGGAGCATCGATATCAATCTAAACACTTTGCCCACCTTGCTAACCAAAGAAAAACCTTATTTACAGGCACACTGGTGAAATCATCTATAGTCGCTTGACGACTCTCCATTCACCTTCTTTTCCATTCTTGCATGCATTCGCTGTTGTGCGAATCATCTCCGTTTCGCTTGAAGCATTTGTGGTGTGCTCACTCCCACCTACCTTTCAGCTGGCGTCCCGTCAGCCCGTTTCTGTTATAATTATAAGTAAGTTTACTATACTTTTTCTCACCCGGAACGATTGCATCCTTCCATAAGGCTGCTAGATTGATTGCACCCGGCTACTCGGCTGGCGTGCATATTCAAATCATTCTCTCGATCAAGTCCGAGATCCTGCCATTCCTCAACTTTATATCAACCTTTTTGTTCCCCTTTACTCCGTATTCTCACTTTAAATCCGTCGCATATTTTCCAAAACAATTGGGTCGGACATATCAGAGGCAACATCAACTAACCAGGATTAGACCACATAAGAGGTTGTATTTCGGCGTCCACGTTCGGAACCTCGCGCTGATTCTCAAGAGACTGTTGGCGCTCCTTTCTTGGGAACCCGTATCTGCCGTGTAATTTTTTAGTGGTGGAGGGGCTTCCCAGATCCACTATCGCTAGCGTCGGTCCACAGGCCAGACCGGGGACCGAACTAGCCAGTCAAATCAGTCCACTGAGTCAAGGTGGTGCTACATATCGAATCTGATCCGCTGCTTTTCACCGGATAACCTGCCTCTTGGGTTTATTTTTCTTCCCAAAACCCTTGCCTGGACGGTGCGTTCGTGGACGGTTTTCGGCTACCACCTTATCGAGAGCACGACCACTAATCCTGATTCCAATCCGATCGTCGCATATATTAAAAAGGTAAATGCCCCTCCCGTCGCGCCTTTTTTTTGTTGCAGGCTTGGAATGTCGTTGTCGTGCATGCCGCATTGCTGGCACTGTGCATTTATTATTGCACTTACTTAGTTTAACCTGGGGAGCTCGCGCTAACTTGCCATATTATATCATGTTGCTGCACGAAGACCACCCCATCTTTTCCTTTTTTTTAATTTTTTTTCTTCTCTCTCTCTCTTGATGACAAGTCAAAGCTGAGAGCTTCATAAAAAGTGCGCAGGAGGAGCAGCCACAGTTCCATTACTGGACAAGCTCGATTACCACCTGGTAGAAAAGGGCAAAAAATAAAATAAAATATCCCTATCCTTTTGCCTAGACTGAGACAAAAGTCTCAAACGGATCGGAAGCAGAGTTTCATACCTCTTTACGCCGGATTTTAAGGCCCAGTCGCTACTGCAAGATTCCTGTCCTCAGCTCATTCTCACAGTCGCACAGCTAAACCCTAGCCAACGTCACAACTATCAATCCGTCGTTTTACCCGTCGTCTATATTTTTCTTCTTCCATCTCTCTTCTCTTTTGCCCTCCCTCTCGTTTTTCCCTCTTCTGAGCTCAACCCTCTTTTCTTCCACTATTGAGCCTCGCCACGGATGGGATTCCGATGATCTCCACATCACATCACGGCAGACATTCGGTTAAAAGGCCGAGACGAGCAAAGGTAAAGGTAAAGATAGTCTTTTTAAAGGACTATCAGCTAGGATTCAATCATGATGTCGAACGTATGTAGCCCCTTCTCGACGCTACTGTCGTGTGCCTCGTTACCCGTTACCACCTAAGCGGGTTCGAATATCATTGGCTGACAATTTAAACCAAAAGACACCATACAAAACCTCACATCCCTACTATGAAGGGCCGGAAAGTACCGGGCAAAAGCGTGCCTGGTCGCAAGACACTCCCTATAGTAGAGAAGAGAATCGTGATCTCGTACGAAGGTACTGCATCCCCCTGTCAACGTCCTACTCCTTTGTGTATGTGTATGTTTGAATGCTGATGCTAATTCTAACTTTAGGCAGATTGGAAAGCTAGTTATTATTCCAATGGATATGCCAGAGTCAGCTCAATATGTAACTGACATGGTCGAGAGATACCATATTGGGGGTGTTTTGCTCTGTCGACGTAGTATTAGACGTAAGCAGTCCCTGAAAATGGCTGTGGAGCTCTGCTAACCGGCCCGCTTTTAGATGCTGTGGATATAAGTCGAATTGTACGGGATTTGCAAGTTACTGCTCGTAAGGCGGGTCATTCCCATCCTCTGTTCATTATGATTGAACAGGAGAATGGCATGGTAAGGATGAGAAACCTCTGTTGGGTTATCGAGAAGGCCATGTTAATAATCTGCTATGCACAGTTCTCTCCTTTCGGGAATGGTGATCTAGGAACACAATTTCCGGGGGCTCTCGCGGTTGGGGCCTTCAGATCGTCTGAAATCCTCTACGATATTGCTCGCGCATCGGCCCAGGAACTCCAGAGCCTTTCTGTTAACACGAATGTAGCCCCGGTGTTAAATATTGAGGAACAAAGTCCAGAAGGACTCAGCTCGAGAATGTTTGGAGACGATCCCGCCAATGTATGGAGATGTACGAGTGCTATTCTAGATGCGCATCGAAGTACCAATCTTGTGAGCATTGTCAAACATTTCCCGGCTCCCCGCCAGGGTAGTGGTGGAATTCTGGATACTCGAAATATTGCGACTGAACCTCGATATGCACCATTCCGCAAAGCGTTTGAAAATGGGGTCGATGGGGTGTTACTTGAACCGACAATGTGGGCTGCTTCAACCGACACAACATTTGGTGGCAAAGATTCGCTTCCCAAAAACCTGATCCGAAAACACTTACAGTACGAAGGGGTTCTAATTGGTTCGGTCGACAAGATGTCGGATGATGCTGCAGGGAGGTGTGCAAGTAGAGGACAGTTATCGATTAGAGGCTTCGTCAACGGCTGCGATATGTTGATTTTGTGTGAACACCCTCATGATGTCACCGATGCCTTGGAAGAGATTTATACGGCGGTGGAAACCGGAAATATCACACGGGCGTCCTTGGAGCAATCGTGGGAGAGAATCAGACGAGTCAAGGAACGGTATCTCCGATGGGAAGAAGCAATTGACCCGCCGCAGATCCATCTGACTCTTCAAGCTTTAATGCGACGAAACCGAGAGCTTTCATTCAGATCGTACGAGATGGCAACAACAGTTATCAAGGATGCTCGAAATCTTCTGCCGTTAACCAAATCCCAAAGACAAAGTGCTCTAAGGCAGGGCGGAACTTGCGTACTTCTAACACCGGTTGCGCCACCGCGATTCCCAGGCCAAGTTGGCGTCGATCCATTCGAATATCTCGGGAGGGCGATCAACGCGCGAAGTATAGCCGTCAGCCATGCACCATACACTCACGAAGGGCTACAAGAGACGCACACGAGCCTTCTCAAGAAGGCAAATATCATCATATTTGTCCTTTCCCTCGACACAGACCCAGAGTATCGGTCGCAAATCGAGACGATGAGATCGCTAGCCCGACAACGGTTGGTGTTAGAACCACCCATAATCGTTATTACGGCGTGCAGCCCACGTGACATGCTACCCGAGGTCCCTTGTAAGTCGAGCCCGCATTCGTTAAGATTTTTTTGAAGAGAATAAGCTAATAATCCTTACCCACAAAAGTTCTCGAAACCGTCGTTTCATGCTACGAATATTCAAGAGAGGCTCTCGAGTCTGCTGTTTCTATCATCTTCGGAGAAGTTAAGGCCACAGGCGTTCTTCCTCTTCGCAAGTCGCTTCCTCTAAATAGCGGAGCCCCAGTCGACAGCTTTCAACGATGGGAAGTGCATGAGTGGGAGAAGCGCCGAGATTTATACGCCAGTGCTGATTTGTGGAAGAAATGTTTCGGCTGGAATCCTAGTTGGAATCTGAACTCAAGCATTCTCAGTGACTTGCTCGACCGACCCGGCAATGCTAAGCATTATGTTGTTAAAGATCCGAGAAGCCATGGGAAAATTTTGGGGTTGTGCGCAACCTATACTATCCATGCAGGCAAAAACCTGGTGGGGAGTATGGCTCTACTTATGGTAGACCCGGATTTCAGAAACAGTGGTATTGGTACTGCACTACACGACGAGGCGTTCCAGTTCATGAGAGCGCACCCTGAAATAGATAGCGTGCAGCTTGGGAGTATCTTTCCCCGTTTCTTCCCAGGATTGCCTGAGTTGTTGCCAAAAGAACAAAAGGAATGGTTCAAACGTCGAGGTAGGATCATATGGCTCCAATGGGTATGTGGTTGTCGATACTTACTGTTCTTGAATAGGTTGGAAAATCGAAGACAATTTTATTTTTGATCTGTACCAAAACATAACCAACTGGCGGCCATCACAACAGGACGTCTTCGCGGATCTAAGTCGTCAGGGAATCACCTTTGGTGTCTGCAACCCCGGCGTTTTCGACAGTCTGATACAGTTTGAGGACAAGCACTTCTCAAGCTATCCTGGATGGGTCGAGAAGTACCGTGCTTTGAAGGACACAAACGGTATTTTTATCCGCATTTTAATCTCCAATTATAACCAAGATTTACTAATAGAGTATGTAGACTATGCAGATGCCGTTCTCGCCTTTGGCATCGTTCCCGACGGACAAAGCGCTATTGTCGGGGCCGCCCTAGTATTTTCCGGTGCTGGCAGCAATAAGATCTCTAAAGAGGTACCTTGGCCCAAAGCAATTGGTGACCGAGTCGGCGGCCTTGCTTGTGTCGGAATGGGTCGTAAGTTGTCAACACTACTATACCCATGGAATGCCGTAGCTAATATAAGTGTAGCGGAATTTCGCGGCCGAGGTGTTGGTATCGGGTTGGTCTGTGCTGCTATAATAGAATTGCAGAGCAGAGGATTAACAGGCTGCTTTGTTGACTGGTCAACCGATAGGCAAGTTTATGAGGAACTCGGTTAGTATCCTTTTGCCTATTACCTAATTGCATACTTTCAGTACTAATATCCACCGTAGGTTTCGAAACCCACGGCAAATATCATAACATGGCATGGCGTAAAGTATAATCACGATGAAATAGCCTTTTCTTTCATCCTTTCTTTTTGAGCACTACTTCGGCATCCCAGTGTGCACCGTTTCTTTACTTCCCTTATATATAAATATCTCCTCTTTTTTTTCTTTTCCTTTCCTTTCCCTTTTTATACCTGGGGTTGCTTGCTTTTAGGCTTGTCACTGCATGAAGATGGTGTGTGGTTGAATTTTTTTCTTCAAAACCATTTCCTTATAGTTTCTTTCCGAATACCCCGTTGCGAAACACTATTTCTTAGACCGGTAACTACTCTTCTTCTTCTTCTATTATTATTTTTTTTTAGAAGAAGTTGGTTTTCTTTTGTCCCCACAAAACATTATGATCACTTTTGTACCAAGCATATGCATGGAGACGGCGTCCTTTTGTTCAAGACCCCCAAAAAAAAACCGGGTGCATCATTTCTAGCGTGTGTTCGAACACACACACGTACTTTAAATTGGTATTTTTTTTTTATAAAAAAAAAAAAGGAGGGAGAGGAGGATATAACCTAGGGGCATTATATAGGAAAGGGGTGGGTTGGGGGGGTTGCAGGTGTTTGTTTTCATATATCGGTTGGTTCAGGTTGGAACGCACGAAGCCAGTTCTTTTTTTTTTTTTTTTTTTCTTTCTTCTTCTTCAAACTACTAACTTTTTCCTTTTTTACTTTTCATTTTAATATACTTCGTAATGAATGATCGTGACTTTATAGAGACTTTAAAAACAGGGCTTACAAGCATACGTACATAAATAAAATTTTAATTTCTCTGGTACTTGAATTATATTATGATTAGTAATTACGCTTTTTTTCTAGTTTGCCTTGAACCTGGGGGTTAATTCGTAACCGCTGGATTCAATATATATGCTTTCTCTGTCGACTCCTTTCGAAATTTCTCTCGGTCTCAATTTATTCCTTTAACAAGTTAACAACTCCGTGTCATGCAGGCCTCATAGTTGTCGTGATGGCTGTCATCCGAATATATACTTATTTATATTATATACACTAGATCTACATGGATACATCGACCTCACAACATTATCCATTATATATAGTATAGTATAGTATTGTACCACTAGCTAATTAACTAGGTAGCTTTAGTTTGTTTTATTTTTTATTTTCGAACTAGCTGTTGCAGTTTTAGCTTTTTTTAGACCGCCCCAGCTGTTATATATATAGACGCGATGAATCCTAAGGGATAAAAAAAAAAAAAATACTGCAACCTAACTAGGCGCAGCCGCCGTGCAGCGGACACCCCATTAAGCATCTCGCGATCAAAAGTCTCGTAAAGGGAAGGCGGTACCGAGGGTCTGTTAAAATTGATTTTAGAGAGAGAAAAGAGTTTTGTTGGGTTTATCCTTGTAATTTGGGGATTCAGATGGGGGTGGATGGGTGGATTGAGGATTTTTATTCTTTATGTTATTTGATGTCTTGTGGGTGGAATGGTGGGCTTATGCTGCGATTTGGCTTAAATGGGTGTTTTTGTTGAAAGAGACTTTTGTGGTTTGAGGGTTTTAGATCTTTTATAGAATAAATTGTAGATGACTGGTTTGCGAATTAAAGGAGTAGAGGATTATATTAAATGACAAGAATGAATATTTGAGTTCAAATGAAAGCCATCCAACCATAAAACTCACCAGAAGTTCGACACCGTCGAGACTACTTACTTTTTTTCAAAAAGTGTTGAGACCTGTTGTAATTTGATCACCCGGCAAAACTTTCCACCTAACTGTTTTTGGCACTCGGTAAACATTTCCAACTTTTTTTTTCTTTTATCTTTCGCAAAATACTCAAAAATTCTTTTAACCTTTTCATCTGCGACCAAAATCTTCAATCTTTAATCTTTCAACCTCACCAACCATCGCAATCACTTCCCCCAAAAATGGCGCCCGTAAAACGTCCCCGCGCATCTTCATCCTCAAAGAACTCCCTCTCATCCTCCTCCAAACGCCGAAAAACTTCATCATCATCATCATCATCAACAACCACAGATTCCAGACCCTTCACCCCAGGAAAACTCTCCTCCTCCAAACGTCACAAAAAACCCACCGGCCCATCATCATCATCATCATCAACATCATCAACCACCACCAAAAAACCAACTTCAACAAATAATAAAATCCGTAAACCCCACAAAAAACCCCTAAAGGACCGCTACACAGATGCCCAACTCAAACTCCCAACCCTCAACGGCATCGTCCCAACCGGTGTTATAAAACCCCGCGGGAAGAAGAAGGGAAAAGTCTTCGTCGAGGATAAGGAGACTATGATGGATATTTTGGAATTGGTGAATAATAGTGTGGATGGGGTTATTCAGGGTAAAGTGGAGAAGAATAGACGGTTGGAGGTTGTTAGGGAGCAGAAACGGAAGGAACAGGAGAGGAGGGAGAAGGATAAGGAAGCTAAATTCGTAAGTTTGTAGAATCCTTGACAATTGGAGATATATATATTAATTGGTGGCTTGTTGGTACGATAGGAGGATGTAAAGGACTCGTTGAAGAAAAAGAGGAAGCGCAGGGTCGGCGGTACGACAAATGACGACGACGATAACAATGACGGTGATCACAAACCGACAAGGTCTGCTGGGAAGAGGAAGAGTGTTTCTTTTGCTTAAAGAAATTGGATGGTTTAAAAGGACAGCGACTGGCGTTTTATAGGAGTTTTTCTCGAGTCGGAAATTTCATCAGCAAAAAATTCAACGGTCTATCTATCCGGGAAAAAAAAGCAGAGTTTTTATTTTAAAACCATCTATTGTACAAAAAAAATGACGCCCTTGATGACTCCCAATTATAATTATTCTCTACAAAGTATATAAACGCAAAAAAAAAAAAAAGAAAAAAGCGAAGGCTATGTTCGACCGACATCTACGAACTCTCCCTCGCTTTCTACAACCTCCAATTCCGCCATTCTCTCCAAGAATCCCATAATCGGCTTGGGAAACCACCTTTGCATCCCCCATTCAAACCATCCCAAGTGTCCACCATACCCCGTCGTCACAAAGCAAATATACGGATTCGCCTCCGCCTCCTGCCTCGGAAACGCATTCTGGAGTGAAATCGGGTCTTCTTCAGCATTTATAATCAAGGTTGGAATCTTAACATCGATCAACTTATCCACCGAACTGGATGCGCGATAATATTCTCCTCCGGTTCTGAAACCGAATACTGGTGCTGTAACCGCGGTATCCCAGTCGTAGAGATAAGTTGCATTACGAGCGCCTTCGATGTTTATGGCTGGATTCTTGGAGAGCATGTCGAAGTTTCTTTCGAATAGTTTTTTTAGGTTACCGGCCATGAATTTGGAGTATAAACGACCGGTGAAGGTCATGAACATGATTTTGGCACATACGTCCATGTTGTGAGGGGAGGAGAGGAGGACTGCGGCGTGGAGGGGAGTGGAAGCACCGGATTGACCAAGGTAGTCTGGTTGTTTTTACTAGTTAGTAATAATATACTATGTGTTAAGAGACGGACTGAGGGTGTACGAACTTGCGAGGATGTTTGCGCCGAGAGAGAAACCAACAGCCATAAGTGGACGTTTTGGGAACTTTCGACGCATGAGGTTGACGATGTGGTTTATGTCTCTGGTGAACATTGCGTTAAACATTTTGTTATCTATGTTTCAAGATTAGTTAAAATTCCGTATAATATATTGACAAATATATACCTGTCAGTTTGGTCCAACCGCACCCCCTCGCATTGACAACCAAAGCATCGTATCCCAACCCTCCATCCTTTTTCGATCGAACGAGTGGTTCCAACGTCAGTCGTACATACGTCTCGTGGGATCCACCGCTAAGACCATGAAGCGCAATAATCAATGGATTCGTCTCATCGTCGGATTTCCATTCGTCGAATTCATCTTGTGTGAAAAAAGTTGTACGAGGGGGGAAATAATCCGGATGAGTTTCCGGTAATACCGGTTTCGATGTCGATGTCGATGGTGTTTGCGAGTCGTTATCTTCTGTGGGAGTTTCGGACGCGGGGACTACAACGTCGATACTGAATGTTCCCGGATCGTTTGGAGTTTCTGAGTTCAGGACGTGTCGTTTGTAGTGGATTGGAACATGATCGGAGGCGAATAGGATAGCACAGGTTTGTAGATGGCCGTTGCGGAGGAGAGGGTGAGGATGGAAGGGTGGGATGACGGATTTACAGACTGATAGTAGGGATTCGGAGACGTTCAGTTGGGAGTTTTTTGGTTTGAGGAGGACGGGGGAAGGGTGGTGATAGTATGTTTGCGAGGCGGCAAACATTGTAAATTATAATATTAATTAGTATAATATATATACTAGTATATATTCTATAGATCTAGATTTAGATTTAGATTTAGATATTCAAATGGAAAAGATATAAACCTCAAAAGACGAAAGGAGATACTCTTAAATATGGTACGGACTAAGGTATCTTATCAGCGGGTCGCTGCATGGAATTTGCCAGAAACGGACGAGCCGAGGCACAAGCTCGGGCCAGACCTTAACGTCATGGAAACCACGGAACTCAACTGTCCGAGAGACTGAGCTAGTCCCCTACTTACCTGGTTACCAAAGTTAGTTTATCATGGGAACTGTTTGCGAGAATCTGATGTTGCAAACAGGCTGCATAGTGCAATGACTAGCACGTTCCATTTTGACTTATCTTTAAAAGGAGAGATGTCGGTTCAAATCCGACTGCGGTCCATCAATTCTTTTTTTTTATTTTTTTTTTATCCAGAACAACCCATAATATTCTACTCATCCAGACAAATTATATACTTCTCATATATTATATACCAGTCTCATCTGTTAATCATCCTGCTCTTACATATTAACATAAATACTTATATATATATATATATATCTGTTACTAGATAGCCCCCCTTCGTAGATACTTACCTGTTAGTAAGAAGGCATCATCAATACATACTACTTACCTATACATAACACCAGAATTTAGATCGATCGATATATATGCCGCCTGTAAGTTGATTTCCGAATTTTTCTATCTTTTTAATATTAATTCTAATAACAAATATGAAATCATAGGTCAAATGCTTCAAATACACCCAGTCCGATCAAAGAAATCAAAATGATTAGAAATCTGGTAGAGATTCTGCTTGATTCTCGCCACGCTGGGGACATGTTTTTCCATCCTTCCCAATATTAATATATATACCACTCCTCCAGCGATGACTATAACTGCTCCTATTACTCCTGCGACTGGAAGCTTCCTGGATATTAAATAAATGTTCACAGCCGTACCTCCAACGATAACCATATTTGACCAGGAAGTATTGGAATGGTCACTTCCAAACCCTCAGAATCGAGTCAGAAGCTCCAGAGATGGCTTTAAAGTGCCTTCTTCCTCGCGTATTTTGCACTACTGTTGCCGTTACCGGGGTTATTTCGTTGGTCCAAGATTGGTGGCGTATGAGGGAACTAGATATAATAATGCCTTGGAAGTTGAGGTAAAGTTGACCTTCTGATTGATTCACAAGATGATAAACATATTTATAATTGAAATAGTACAAGTTTTATACGTCGATGCATCTCAAGTAGAAGATCGAAACATGGTACGGATCTCTACAGATACCTCAGTAGTACTGCTGGAGCCTCGAGACATCCCGCTTGGAATTCGAACATACCTACATGCATGTATTGTACTCTTTGTGTTAGATTATCTAGAGAGATATATATACATATACCATTTATATTTATACCATCTGATAGATAGTAAAAAAAAACCGTAGATAGGTACACTTACAAAGACATAGATGCTGCAGCTTGTAGAGAGATGATCGTGATCACGATTGTGTAATGAAGATGGAGCGGTGTGTTGCGTATGACGTTGGTGGGAATGGAAAGTCCTTCCTGTTCCTGTTAATTCCTGGCCTCCTTCGCTCGACCTTATTCCATCCCATCCCATCTCTCTCTCTTCCTTCATCATGACTACCACTCCTACTCCTCCTCCTTCGAGACCTCAATTATCCCTTTCTCTTCCTCCCCCTCCCCCTCCTCGTAATAGACATCACGATGTCTCCCGTATCTCTCACACCCGCCCAATCTCACGCCCTCCTTGACATCCTCACCCATCGCGAAACATACACAGCTGAAATCGAGCTATTCAAAACACCTGGCATAATCAATTCATACGGTCCACCTTTCCAACCCGATCCACCTGCCACTACTACTACTACTACTAGCAATAGTAATAGTAATAATCGTAGTAATAATAATAATAATAATCCTAAAAATGATGGTACTGACAGTAGTTCCAAAAAAGACGCCGACACCGCCGCCGCCGCCGACAAAAACGATGAACCCAAAAAGGTCACCTCGAAATCCCCAATCCTCCAAATCCTCTTCTCCACCTTCATAGTCCCCATCCCAGGTCTCCGCGACATCTCCCAAGATTTCTGGTCAAAACGTATCCAACCTCTCATCGATGACCTCGCCAAAGCAAACCTTTCGGAATCTTACGATAAGGGTTCCATGGGAATTCGCAAAACCCTGGCTACCGCTGTCTCGGCTTTGATAGAATACCCTGCCCGGGGTTTACTAGGCGGTATGCCCGGCCGAGAGATAAAACCGGACCCGAATCGAGTATATGACGTAAACCATCAGCAGGATTTGGTAGATGCGTGGAGGGAGTTTATGAGACAGGTTGTGTATGGAGATTTGTTGGATCAGTTGTTTGAAAAGGCGGCGCAGAGTGATGATTTGCAGGCTCATAGTGACTTGGTCATTGCTGCGCATCAACATATTGTCGTCAAGTATGTCTCAAGCAATAAAAGATAAAAATTTTTTGAATCTATCAGAAAAGGGGAAAGGAAAACTAATTCACAGCTCTTGATAATTGCAAGCTTAGCTTCTTTGGCACATTATGTGTTAGTCACCTCGCCGAAGGGACAGACATTATTGTCATTGGTGGAAAGGACGAATAAGTTGATTCCGTATCGCATCGTTCGACAGACTTTGAAGGTTGGGAATGCTGCCACCATGATTAGCGGAATGACCCGTCTGGTTCTAGCAAAGGTCAGCATCGGAACACTCACAAACTGGATCGGCTGGAGCAGCGGCGCAGACGAAGGCATGAATCTACTCCAAACGTAAATGATCAAATCCTCCTTTCATATAAAGATATAAACCCCCAACATTTTCTAACCTGCTACCTCAGTATCATATACACCGTTCTATCCTGGGAAATCAAAGAACTCGAATCCAGAGTCTCAAAGCTCGAAAAATCTAAAGACTGTCCTTCAAAACAGCACCTGGCAGCCATCCTCGCCTATACAAAACTCACACGTATTGATCAAGAAGACTATCGTGTGATCAGTAAAGCTTCATCTACCTCCATAGTTCACTCGATCATCTCACTCGCACCTTCATCTCCTTCCACGGAGTTCACAGTCGAAGGACACAAACTTCTCCTCGAATACCTTTCAATACAATTATCCATCCGTGATAGAGAACATCTGATCCTCGTCCTGTGTAAATCAAATCCAGACGTACTAACCGCGGCCATCCGGGATATCATGCAAATCTACGACCCCATCTTACGAGATATCCACAATGCCGTCGATCTCAGCGGTACCATATCAGATTTCGAAAGGTTTGTAAATGATATGATAAAAATTGCCAAAATCCCATCAACCGAAAGTGGTAGCGGTACCAGTACCCCGACAAATAATGAAAACGGACCGAAGAAACCTCCCGGCGTCGAAGATTTCGTCAGGTTATTCGAAAGACATCAGGGGAGTTGTCATGTTTTCCTTCACCAGTTTTGTAAAAAGGGGGATAAGGCGAAGGAGTTATGGTTGGAATATGCAAAATATGCGGCGAAGCAGTTTAGACGTCCGGAGGGTGTTACGGGTGAAGGCGCCGGAGGGTTCACGGCTACGTTGAATAAACTAGTCGATGAGTTAAATGAAGAAGATAGAAAAGTTGTCTTGCGGCAGATGGACGAGTATGAGGAATACCTCCAGAAACTCAACCAGAAGACAAAACGGAGGATGGAATCCATCATTTCTATCAACGAGGGAGAATTGAAGAAGCCGTTGAAAAAGGGTCCTGGGAACTTTTTGTTCAAGTGGCAGGAATTGTTGGATTCCACGGAGATTACGCCCGCCGAAGCTACCGGTGGGAAAGTCAGAAGTGGGAAGGATACAAGTGTTAGAGCTGCTAGCGGGGTAGGTTTGGATGGTGAGAAAAGAGGTGGGAAGTTGGTTTCCGGGATTGGTGAGATTGTGAATGGAGATGGTGTGAAGGAGGTAGTTGAGATGCCGGATGTGAGGAGGACTGTGGAATTGCTGTTGCCGCGGTTTAAAGAGGTACTCGCGAGTAGTGAGTACCTTGAGAAGAAAGATGAAAAGGGTAATGATGATGATGATGATGATGATGATGACGATGACGACGATAGCGATTCATTCTTTGAAGCTAACGAAGAATGAGAACTTTCCCATTTAAGTGGGTAGTGTAGGACTATTTTGTAAGTAAGTACTTACTTATATATACTTCCGAAATATGATGCATATGACATATATACGGGAGAGGCGATCGCGATTTAGAATGGCGCTTTTGGGGCGGCGGTGTACCTATAGAGTTGGAATTCATGCATTTCATTAAAACTAGACTAGCATTTTATCCCATTCGCATTTTATAGATTTAAGTTTGCAAGAAACATACTTAGGCTGTCTCACCTATTTATTGGTACTAGTTAAATGAAGGTATATATATCTAGATATCATATCTTACAAACAAGAAAGAGAATTGTTCAAAAGAAAAGGTAATTAAAGGTAAAGACAACCCACTGAACACCGGTAAATGATAACGCTGAAGCAAAAGACGATACAAAAGAGGAGAAGAAAAGAAGACCATCCCAGAAAAATCGGCGGATAGTAAGTAAGTAAGTCATAGATAATATGATCCTTTTTGCCTTTCTAAGTTTGTCCGTCTATGATGACAGAAGTATGAAAGTAAAAAAAACCATAGTGTGTCATTTAACACACACACACCGCCCCACAACCACCACCAAAATCATAAATAAAAGCTTTTTTTTGTAAGAGTAGAAAAAGGGAAGAAATGAATCATTCTACTGCACAGCTCGGGGCATATTTTGTTCATGTTGAATCTGTGTTCTAGCGTTCTCGGTACGTGGTTCGAACAATCTCCTCCAAATCTCCGGTGGGTCCAAAGGTCGAGAGCCGTTTCGAACGGTTGGGTAGATATCCATGAAGAAGAAGTAAACTACCGTTGCATCAAATATTAGCATACCGAAATGGTTTCCCACAAGCAAGGAGCCTTTTCTGTGTGGAAGGGGGTATTAACTATTACGTACTATGTCCGATGACAATGCCTAGAGCATCGTCTTTAGGCATGTTACCATTGATCAACAGGCTGAATCCTAGAAGGACGAAAGGGAGGTAAGGCGCGTTGAAAACGAATAAGCCCAAGAAACTAAGTCGGACTGATGGATTCCTTCGTGCCCAGATGTATACGATCGAGAAAGCAAGCGGAGAGCCAAGGAATGGCATTTGAACGAATGTTGCGGAACAGAACTAGAAGTTATTTGTCCACGTTAGCTTTTCTTTCTTTCTTCTTCCAGATTGCCTCCATCCTCCAGTTTCAATATAACTCACCAACAAACAAGTACAACTGTACAAAAGCAACCACGCAAAATCCGCCGTCTTCCCTTTAAAATAAGTCTCCTCCAGCATCCGACTGTACCGCGCCAAAAAGAACATATGGAACATAAAGTCCACGCTTAATGGACCGAAGTAGAGGAATGTGGTGATCAATCTCCAATACTGCCGTTTGGAGAGCACGGCCGGAAGGGAGAAGAAGAGTTGGAATGGTGAGACTAAATGACATTGGCAGGCGAGAGCTGTGGCGACAGCTGCCGATGCCCAGATGCGGGTGCATACTGGGATTTCGTAGAACCATTCTTCGATGGGGACTGCGGCCATGGTGGCGGGCGGGGGGATAAACGATGAATGATAATGTTGGTGGTGATGATGCTGATTGATGATAGTTTTGGAAAAATGGGAGTAAGGTTGATTACTAGTCGATTGGTTTGGTATGACTAGCGTTCGGGGTTGTGGAGAAGAAGAAGGAGAAGAAGTTGGAGATGCCGATGGGTGATGGCTGGAGATAGATGGATGATGGGACGACCATTAGACAGCTCTTAACGGAGTATTATAAAGCGACGCGGGATGACAGCCCAACGTTCCGACCCAAAACGTGGCATGTTGGATTGTGTTGATGTGTTGATTTATTCTAAACGCGGTGAGGAATTTGTAAATGGGATTATAGATTCCAATTGTAATGTCAGTAAACAAGCTCCTATAGCTCAGTTGGTAGAGCGCGACACTAGTAATGTCGAGGTCTACGGTTCAAATCCGTATGGGAGCATTCTTTTTTGTCCTTTTTTGCTCTTTTATCCGGTCTGATTTGGTAGTATTTTTTTTGGTGTTTAGCGAGGGATTGGTCCTCATTTCGCGAGCAGCGCTGATCGGAGAGCCTTATTCATTCAGCTTTTCAGCCTTCGTTATATATATATAACAGGATCAACGAAGGGTAGAAAGATACGATCAATATTGTCAGTAGTTTTGCAAAAGAATACGAATAGCACTTCAAGCTCGACGGTCCAGTTCAAATCTCTGTATCTCCATCCGGCTATATACCTTGGTACTTATCAATATCTATCTACATTTTAATTTTGCGTTGAAATTGTCGGCTTTTTGGGATGTTACACAACCAGGAATAACATTCCTGCCTTCCGAATCTATACTTCAATGCCCGTTATTAATATATTACTTAGTAAGTATAAGTAGCTAAAGAGTAAGAATACAGATTTAGTCCTTATTCAAAGTCCTGTATAGTATAAATACCCAATTCCAACTCTCTCTCTCCGCAAGACTTGCGAAAAATTAAAAGGTCTTGAGGTGCAAGCGGTGCACGCCTCGCTGCTATTGCGGGGAAGCCGGTTCGACACCGGACGTGACCTATATATTATATACCTAAGTAGTACAATAACTTTTTTGCTTCATGAAGATTATCTATTTTTGTAGATGATATCCGCGGAAGGGAATATATCTCCTATTTAGGGATTGTAATGTTAATGTTGGTGGTTCCGATATAGCCTGCCTGCATTTAGTGTCACATTGCATTGAATTAGGTCATTATTGGGTAAACAACTATGCAAGCTGGCGGCTTGAAGATATATCGATATCAATCGATCCTTGATATTCTTTTTTCGAGGTTTATGTATTAACTATTAGAATCAACCACGGATTCCTCTCATAGTATTATATAATATCAGATCGAGAGCAGCAGGGCCTTTGAAGTGGCACTATAGACATACAGAATGTATAAGTTAATCTAACGAGGTAACTACTTAGCTTACTCACGTAGTTTAAAAATTATTAACTTCGACACAAAGATGATAAATATATACACACGAACCGGATATTTGACCTAAGAATCCCGCTAAATGCTTCCAACTAAAATATATACAGATATATCGATAAAGGACATAACAATGGCCTCTAAAAATGCGGAAAGAAATTCGTCCAATTCGGCGTATCATAAACTTCCTTCGGCACATCCCTCAAGCTCACAAACGCCTCAATCACCAAATACACCCTCGCACATCCAAAAGCCATTACCACAATCCCCACTAAGGCCCCCAATACAATCTGCGCCAACCACTTCCCGACACTTTGTTTCTCTCCCTTCATCACATCCTCCTTTCTCTTCCAGAACATCCAGCTACCTTGTACCGTAAACCCGCCAATCCACCTATCAAACGCTTTACTCTTCTGCTTCGCTAAAAATACCAGAAAAGATAAGACGCCAGAGCAGCTTATAAATACTGCGCTGATCAGCCATAATATTCTCTCAAGCTCCGTCGGGAAATGCTCCTTCCATGCTGCGACGTGTAGTCCACCGTATGCGGCTGCGGTAAATGCGAGGATGCTTTTCAGATGATCTCGATGGACATTCACGTGCCCTAGATACGACAATCCCGAAAAGTTTCTGATATGCGTATCAAGATAATATGTTTCCCCAAGAAAGACACCAAGCGATGAGGTAGTAAAGTAATAGTTCACATATCCATCGCGGAGCTTACATTCTTCGTATAGCTCTTGTGCAGCCGTGCCTGCCAACCGCCACCTTTCGAGCTCGAAGGATGTAACGGGCGGTTGGTGCGAGTGGTGAATATCCGATTGTGCCCAGCGACAATAGCGTGGAGCATGTTGAAGTACCGTGGTCGGACTTTGTAGCTCCATGAAGCATCGATGGGCGGGTGAGACTTCGGTGTGTTTTTCCGATATTTGGTAGTCAAATCGGGTAGCTGAGCGGGTTATGCCACGTTTCGCTGGAGGGACGCCGATGACTGTCGCACGTTAGTAAATCAATCAGTGTAAAAAAGCAAGGTGATAACATACACGCTTTTGGGTCCGATCTTGCTCTTGAGCCAACTGAGAAATTGGTATATTGCGGTACCACGCCCTCACACGGTTCTCCCTTGCTATCCACCGCCGATATCCTCGCAGGGTCCTTATACGCCATACACCGTATCTCCGACACACCCATTGCCTCGCTGATGGGTGAGCACATATACATCAGCGAGATTACTGGTTCCAGGGCCTGCTCATAAGGTAGGATTTGCGGGTGATCCAGTTCTAGCGGCTTATTCCACCATAATAAATACAACGTCAGGGCACAGATAACATGTCCGATCGTGTTAACCTCAAGTAAGGATATAGGCATTCGTGCCGCCAGCCGTGAGATAGCTTGGACTATTATATAGCATGCTTGAATGCACACGAGGGATTTCGCAAGCCAGTCGCCTTTACTTTTATCACGAATTTCGCGGTCATCGGTTATAGGGAGGCGATTGAGGAAAGAGAGCATCCGTACACCCTCTGCGGAAAAGGTTATGCGTGGTGAACCATTGAAGGTGCTAGCGCGGGTCTGGACGGCGACACCACCCATTGTTGCGAAGAAACACTGCATCATCGTCCAAGTGGGTTCGCGGGGTGGGTTGGCCATATCCAGCTATTCATATAAAAGTTGTCAACAAATGCCCAAGCTAAAGCATCAAGGGTCGGAAGATGTTGAAGCCTACAAGCTGTTCCCGATGTTTCGCATCCTTTTTGATTTCCTTGTAGAGCCATCGTGCCGTAAGGTACTGGGCCGAAGCAGTAGCGACCAACAATTCTGGTGCAAATATCCCGAACACAACCCATTTTGCCCGCGTAAATGCCGCTTTTTGCAATGAAGTTCCTTCGGGCGGGACGTTCAGGTGTAATGCCGACCAGACACAGAGGGTTAATGTGATAACACAGCTACTGACAAGACTAAACGTGCCCCTGCCATCGGGATCGCCAACCCAGCCGACAGTCGCAGGAAATAATATAATAGAAGGGTCGTCCAAATCGATGTCGGCATTGTTTGGTTGTGTTACTGGAGCGGCGAAAACATAGTTTAAACTGCAGAAGAGGAGGAAGGCCAAGATCATATTTTATCCAGAGCAGAGTGATGCGGGATGGGTACCATGGGTGAACAATAATGCATAATTGGATCGATCAGCCGCAGTTGGAGCCCTGAGTGCGATGCAATAACAATACGATGCAGCGAGGCAGCTATTGCTATCGAACCTGAGCGTTAAAAGGACATTTGGATATCATGGCCAAGGAATTGTCGGAACTGATGAAGAGAAATAGAAATTGTAAGTCGTGCTGACATTGATGTGACTTTTAAGCCCATCCACGACCGTCAATCCCGGTTTCAGCTGGGCTGAGGGACGGACCCACTGCTGCAGACCCCTGTTCTGGTTCTTTGCATGGGACATCGACGTGCAGCCAACAGGAAAGCTCGCAGCTTCGAATCGAGCTCAATGCAAAGAGATATATTTCCCATCGATGAATTGATTCGGTAGACGCTGATAATCTATGGCTGATAGTAAGTAAATTGCCAATTAGTTTATGTATTGCGAGTACTCACATAACATAGTTTCTAGAAAGATATAAATTGGCGATGTCAATATGAGGTTGATGTCAATTGGATTGAACTGATGATTGTTATAGTTTGGTTAGGCAAGGAGTACAATCAAAAGTTAAAAGGAACTTGCCGGCGCGCCGCAGCCAAACCATCCCAACTTCATCCCACCATGTGTCGTGCTTCGATATAAACCCACCCGATGCAACCATGCCCCATATCAACATCCCACATCCATCTCCACACTCTTCCCTCCCATCAAAATCTCCAATCCACCTCTCCTCGCCCTCGTCAGACGGCTGGAAACACATCATCTCCGTCGCACAAGCATTCTCCGACCGTCTTTCTCAGCTCCCACAGGATACCCCTGTTGCCACTAATGATCGTTGGAGCCAGCGTTGTCGCGATAAGGGTATAACCGGCACGAGAACATCGACGACCGGAGCTGCTGCAGCAATAACAAAAGACGTACAGGATCTTTCTGCTGCACCACCGGTGGCGGCTGCATCTTTTGAATATATCAATAATGGCCACCAACCTAAACGCCGACGAGGTCGTCCGCCAGGTCGTGCTAAAAAGTCGATTCCGGCAGCGATAATAGCAGCCAAGAGAAATTTACGACAGATATCTGAGATCTCGGATCGCCAGTGGGGTCATACGGAACCCGAAGTAGCAAACGGCTCTTCAGCTGGGATCAAAAATCAAGACGAAGACAGTACTACACATAATTTAAGACGGTCTACAAGGTCTGTTCGCCGGCGAACAAATGTGGTGGAAAGTTCGTCCGATAATAAGATAATCGACCAGCCAAATACGCCAGAACCAGCAATTGAACCTGTAACCGAGCCCGAACCTAAACCAGAGATTGATGTCGAGCAAGATCGCGAAACAGTTATTGAAGCCCCTCCTGAGCCTCGAAAATCTAGAAAACAACCAGAGACTAGGCAAATTAAGCCGTCGACTCTATTTTTCTTCACTGTCCTCCCGAAACCGATTCCACCCCATCTAGCTAGCCAGAGCCGTGCTTACGCCTTTTCATTTTCTACACAACCTCTCACTCATCGCAGAACCTTAACATCCGACAATGTCGTTATGCTGTGCATGCGCGCCAAAGTCAGGAAGCAGAAGCGTATGCGTGAATCAGGTGTCACTCAGCTGACTACACAAGTACCACAGGGAGGCTCGTTAGAACGTAACCTACGGATTATGAAACAGCGAATAGAGAGGATCAATCATAGAAAAGGGAAGCAAATTGATTGCGAAGTTGGCCCAACGACAGAGGTCGAGGAACCTCAAGAACAAGCCTCAAATGACCACGAGATTGATACATCGCGAGAGCAAATAGATGTCGAAGAAGCAGGGGCATCGGTGCGAAGGAGAGGTCGAAAGAGGAAGAGGAAGTTGAACTAAACAGGCGATCATTTCCTATACGCGACACCTTCCCATTTACTTCACATGCATTCTTATCGGCTACATTCATACATCTACAGCCTCATTACTTCTTGCATTTAGACAATTGTCCATTTCTACCAGCATAGTATAGCGAACAGCGAAGGGGCGTTCCGGAAATTATTTAGAGAATGGTACATACATATTCCGGGTCATGTTTCTCAGTATAATTCAATCATTTTACACATTTCATTCAATTGATTTAATTTGTCCTTCTCAACTTGAGCATCATGCACCACGCTGTGAGCTGGTACAGCCTTACTGCGTGCTAGTGTTAGTTTGGAACTCATGGCTAGCAGTTTGTCTGGCGTGCATACGCTAGCCACAGCAAAACAACCTATTATATCACCCAATCCGCCACCGATTGGGTATTAATACGCACATCTAAGATTCACGAACTTGTACTGAAAATACATTGTTGACTCACGATATTTTTCATGAATCTTCATCGGATCCAACTGACTCGCACACTTAGAGTGACGTCTATATAAGCTCCCCCACCGGCCTTTAGGAACGGGACGAGTCTGGCCTCAAACGAGAGCGTTTATCCCAGCCTTGACAAGGAATACAACATTGAAAGCCTCAACCATGGCAAGCTTCTTAACCCTCGCTTCAATCCCCGAGCTCTTATATTCTATTCTCGAGTACCTCGACCAAGGCGACACATACTCCCTCCTCTTGACCTGCCAAAGGATCTATCCCATCGCCTATAAACACCTATGGAAGACCATCCGTCTATACAACCGCAGCAGACCGCGGACGGTCGAACCGAGGGCATTCCCTGGATTTGACATGCGGTTTTTTCATTCTATGGCAATTGAACATGAAGACCAAATGTGCCACAACCTCGCGAATGCCATCGATAAGCTAGGTCCGCAAAATACTGGGTTATCGCTCACGAGGAAACTTGTGTTCGCTCCGGACTCGTTGCATTCTTGTAATGGGTTCTATAAGAGTTCTTTGATGAGTTATATAGAAGCATTCATGCAGCAGGGGATATTGAATCTTAATTGCATAGAATTGAATTTCAGTAGTATGTGGCCCTGCTGCAATATGCTAATTGCGATAAAATGAGATCAAGCTTTAAAACGTCTACCGATGTCTAACTCCTACCGCCAATCAAATTAGTATCCGTCGGGAATGAAATCGAAAAGGAAGCCATATCTTGGTTCTTAACTCACCTCAGGGAATACTCAAAATCCAAAACCCCAGAGGAATTCTCTATCATTCTTACCTCTCCTCTTGATGTGGTTATGGCCCGCATGATAGATGTCGAAAAGATCACCGAGCTCAACCTTAACATTAATTGGACTAACAGTAGCGGAAACGCGCTCCAACATGATAATTTTGATATTCCAGCGGGACAAGAGGATAGCGACGAATACCAATATCTAGAACCGCAACCGCCATCTGATGGCTCTCACGGCTCGGAGGCTGAATTTCGAAGGATGGGCCACAGAGACCGAAGTCAATTCAATACACAGTTGACAGAACGTCTCACGGCTCTTTTACTCCGTGCTTCAAATTTAAGATCTTTAACCATTCGCACAGTTATGGCGGAGTCAGAACGTGGTAGAACCATTCGATACGTGGATCTAAAACTTTCAAAGCCCCTACGGACTCTCCAGAACGCCTTCTACAGTCTTTCAAAACTCCGGATACTGAACCTTCATGACAAATTCTTCCACCCATCTTTCTTCATCACCCCACCGGATAGCGCAATTGAGGTTAATTACTCAGGACTCTTCTCAAACCGATGGCTCCAAGCGTTCAAAAAATGCCCGTTCACCGGTGTTAAAAAATTAAGCCTCCACATTACTCAAGATATCGGTAACAAAAAACTTTGGTGTCACAATGATTTTAACGTATCGCCACTGGGGGATGTAGCCGTCTCCGGCCTCACAGAATGTAGCATCATCGATGAAATGGACACAGCTCCGGATCTAGTCCAGTGTATCTTCAGGAAGAACAAGAACCTCAGCAAGGCTTCAAAACAAAGGGTACTATCGGGCCTCGTGGTGAAACTCCAACAAGCTGCAGAAAAACAACTGCTAGCCGCCTGTGCAAACTCACTAGATTACATAAGGGGAACGGAGGAAGACAATCCATACCATAAGATCACAATTGACAGCCCTGACTCCCGAGATAAAATAATAGCAGCGGCCGGAAACCGATGTTTAAAGATGCTCCCAGATGCTATCGATAAAGTCGAAGCATGGAAGTCTGCAAACCTCTCCGCAGCGAACTTCACGCGAGAATGCGGAGCAACAATCAATTCACTATTAAAAAGATACAAAACCATGATAACCATGGAATACACTCAAAAATACCTCGACGGCGCAAGTGAGAAACCAGGCGATATAAAAAAGGCATCAAAAGAGTGTCTACAAAGAATGCTTGATAATTTCGACAATCACTTTTCGTGGGAAGTTGCGGATTATTACACTCACGACATTGCAAATCAAACCACTCAGATAATTAACCACCAAATAAAGAGGTCTACGAAAACGGAAGCGTCGGAATATATCCTCGCTTTAGCGGAGTCCGGAGAGCTTGACAGTTTCGATTACATGTTAGTCGAGAAGTTTACACGGGATTGTGCTCAGAAACTTAGTGGGATGGAGTTAGAGGGACAAGCACACTCTGCTGGATACCAGACCGGTCGGATGCGAATATTCAATCCTTACGGTGAACCTCCTCTTCCTTCTTTTCCCGCAAACCTCGCAGGCCAGCATATACCAAACTATAGTTACCCGGCCCCTACCGATTTGGGTTATTGATGCTATCTCGCATGGTGTAGCTTAATTGTTTAGAGCGATTGGCGATTAGGTAGATATATCGATATTTCCAATAAATTATTCAGTTTTTTTCCCCACCCCCTTCCCAAAGTAGGTATATACAGAAAGAAGGACGACACCCCAAGCAGAAGATTAAAATCCTCCTACAAAAAGGTGCCACTTTCTTTCGTCGATATTAAGTATGTAATGTAATCTTCGACATCCGTCGTCATAGAACAGAAAAGCACAAACGCTTGCATAAAGAAAATCCAAAAAGACAAAAAAAAGAATGAGGGAGAAGAATATACACCGAAGCGGTTTTATTTCCCAGGGTATTGGGAAATAGAAGAGAATCGAAAGAAACCTGACGCCGTATATACTGTATCTGCCAGTAATTATTTTACCTCAAAAAACAAACCCGTCCACCCCACTTTTCCATTAGACATATTCCTCCCCAAAGAGCATCAGCAAGTATTCATTATCTTCGTCAGATCATCGCCCCCTATATATTTTGGAGTTTATTTCGACTTCTTTGGCTCATCTTCGTGCCTATACTCTCTGAACGAATCATCACCCTCAACTTCCTTGACCATCTTTTCCATCTCCTTGACCTGCTTGTCCAACTCAGCCTTGCTCATCTTAGTCTCCTTGTAGAACAATTCCAGATTTGGTGGTCTGTAAGAACCGCCGAGACGATCCCAAAGAGTGGTGAACTGTCCATAGTTGTAGTTGAAGTAAAGGTGGTGCATAGTGTGGCAAGCAGCGCCATTGATGATTGGGGAGTTGGCAACATATTCTCCGTCGTCTATTTAGGCTTTATGTTAGTGACACTGCCACTGCCGAGATAATACCAAGGAAAATGTGAAATTAAATGGGCTACTTACGGATCATGACGGTCCAGATGTTGACAAAGACAAAGAGACCAACATAGGCGTATTTCCAGAGTGGGAAGATGAATGGGAAGATGTGGTATGGCAAGCTCTGGGCCCAGCCGTCAACAGGGTGGAAAGCGTGACTAGCGTATGGGCTTGGCATGATCCACTTGTGGTGGGCCTTGTGCAAGAATTTGTAGATGGATGGATGATGGAGCCCACGGTGAATTAGGTAGATGATGGCATCAGTGAAGATAATAAAAAGTGGGAACTGAAGATAGAAATAAACACGGCCGCAATCGTTGGCGCTGTCGAAAAGGAGGGTATGGCCGCGGACTTCAGCGAGGAAGAAGGGAGCTGTAAGAAGCGACATTCCTGGGTGAGCTTTCATCGAGACCCATATTTCCTGGCGAATCTGATTTTTGAGGAATTTAGGGTGCTTGAAGGTGTCCTTGTCGAAAACAAAGATGTAGGAAAGTGTGGACGAAACGAAATAGAGCAAACAGCCGAAGACCCTGTTATTGTCAATTAGAACCCAATCTTCCTTAGGAGCAATAAATAAGGATATTTACATACCAAGTGAGCAAGAATAGAGAAAAGAACTGGCGATACACGTTGTCTCTTGGGAGAGAGGAAAGTTCGGCATATTTGCCTGGTAGAATTCCAACAAGGTTGGTCAACTGGACGGCACTTTCGAAAGCTGATCCTGCGATCGAAGGAGCTAGCTTAGAGATTTTGACAGCAGCTGTAAGGTTGGCGTTTGCGGCGAATACATCTGGAGAGGCGGAGAGGTTGTTGACTGGCAAGACAGAGGCGTAAAAACGGTCAAGGAACAGCGTGTCGCTGAGGGACAGTACGATATCCATTTTGGCTACTATGCTAGAATGATTCCTAGATGGTAACTGATGATGGAGAGGATGGTGAAGAGGGGAGAATTGGAGTCTGAAAATTGCAATTGGCACAGGAGTCAGTCAGCTGCCTATTTGAATGTTGCATGAGAATTAACAGGGAGCAAATGCAATAGCAGCATCCCAACAATTCTATTTATTCCTTTTTTTTTGCAGCGGCGGTACTACCTAATTAAACTCGGTTGTACCTGCTGGGAGGAGGGGAACTATCGTGACATCCGCGATGTTCCGAGAAAAGAGCGAACAGAAGGTATATAATAACTAACCGTCAATCGATGAAGATGAAGATGCTGAAGCAGAAGAATACAATAGCGAAGACGAGAGCAAATGGCGAAAAGAGTGTTGGTGTGTTGACTGTCGTTGGATGTCGTGGTCGCCCAGCTACGCCTTTGACCTAGTGACAGACTGCAGAGCCGGCACTCAGTATCTACCGTGGCTGACTCTCAAACTTGCTGCAAACTCGAACGACTCGAAAATGCAACTTCGACTGTCAATTACTAGATATGGCGGGCTGTTCGATGGGAGAAAAGAGAAAAACTTCTCAATTGGCGACCGGCGCCAGCTGCGAGTTAAGTAAAATGCCAATTACTAACAATTCGGCCTCTCGCCTTCCCACAATCCGAACAAATTTTCTCTGTTCTGGCACCGTCATAGCCGACATGCTTCCGGCGCACACAAACTCTCGCACTTTACCCCTGTCTTCGACTTCAATGGATGGCTGTGGCTGCCGTTGAAATTGGCATATCCAGTCACTAGGCTCGATAAGGCATAATGCAGCCGGCGTGCGCGTTCCATTGGCCGGTGATAAGATCATCATGGTCTGTTAGTGGGCTTTTTTCCCTCCTTTTCCCGACTTCCTCCATCGGACTTTTCATTGTCCGCCGCGCCCGCGATTTGGGTCGCAATTGGCACTTTCCCTTGTTACCAATCTCGGTGTTATCTTTTTGATCTTGAGGTACCACCTTAAGCTCAGCTCCCTTTTAAATGTCGCGATTCGGGTCACGTCACGTCGTAAAATAAAAGTTAAGGAGCTTGGATTCTTTGCTAGATCAATTCTCAAAATGCTCTCCTGCCAAGAACTCAGGGTCGTGGAATTTAATTATCGAATTACAAAATGCCATGTAGACTGTCCGAAGTTAATACCCTGTCATTGATGCTGCTAAATGAGGCGTAAAAACAAATCAGTGTTCGATGCCTCTAAGATATCTAGATATCCTGTCTACGCGGCTGGATTTCTCGTAAATTATGAACGAAAAGGGATACACTATCAATATCCCGGAACAGCACTCTCAACTTTAACAGCTGTGGGGTAACTGTAAAGCAGAAGTCAATGGCAGACGGTACTACTTACACGTAACTTTGTCCTTAGAAGACACATTGTCGGCGACATGCGACATACAACAAAAATTCAAACATTTAGGCAACTTGCGAAACCACGCCATGCCTGGGCAGAACCAAGCCCGCAATTGTGCGGTTAAATGTTTAGATTTTCTTGCAGTATATAATATTTACAGATATAGGCCTTGGCTAGCCACTGCTTTATCTAATCAACCTTGATACCGTAACCGATCACGCTCGAACCTTGGCTAACTACCCTGCCAGCATAGTGATAAATTTTTGATAACATCTATTCATGGAGTCGAATATCATGAATAGAAGTATTATGCCTTCCTGCAAAAATGGGTATATTTCACCTGATAATATTAACTAGAGGTACACGCTTAAACTTACGCGAGTTTGAGCTAGCCGGCAAGCTTGAAATACAGCAACTACTCCCCAAGCTTGAAATCCAGTTGAACCTAGCCTACGTTCGATACAAGCGACGGCCTAAGATCCGTATTACGCCAAATATATACCTACTAAGGCTTTCAAAGGCTACACTGAGGAAAGGCGACAAGTCCTCGATAACATAATAATTGAAAAACACAAAGTTAAGAAACCTAAGGCACCCCGGATTCACGGTAAACTATTCTAGAATACATTCCATATAAATTAACATATGACCCTTAAAATCCATTTATGGTTGATGGTTATAGATATCGATGTATCCACAAACTCGGGAGATCCCATCAATATTTTTTTACGTTGTTATATATTAAGTTCTGTGGACGACTAGCTAGACTATCTAGTTTGGGAACCATGAACATTAACCAACCATTAACCAGTTTGTATTTAAGGGCTGAGGCATCAAAATTCAGAGCTAAATATTGACCATATAGCGAAACATTGACTTCTTACCTGACCGTATTTATATAACTAAACGAATAGAGAGCCGGGTGTTGATTCGTGTTGTAGACGTTGTATTTTAATTCTATATACATTGACTCGGACTATTACGAATTGGGAGAAGTTTAGAACAGACTTGGCCAACCAGCTGTGTATTTATTTGATCAAGTGATCGATGGTGCAGTAGATTCGTATAACTGGGATACTCAATCCGTTTGCCCCTAGTCAATTCCATTTAGAATATATAACATCAAAAGAAACGATGCAACCAGTGGGTTATAATCAGTGCTAAACATTAATGCATTAACATGAATCAGGTACTTAGTCCAAACCCAAGATGCTTAGCTTTGCTACCTTATAACAGAGTAGATTCCCCGTGATCAGATTGCCGGTAATTTTTTAAATTTCTCGAGCTTCTGTCTGAGATGTCGGCTGGTTTGGTCGGCATAGCTACGAGTGTATCCAGGCTGGCCCCATTCACCTAAGACATCAGCCCCTTCAAATACCCCCGCATAGTTTAACGCAAATTCGACGAATCTTTCATCATCATCATCAAGTTGGCCCGTACGTCGGAGGGTAACCAGAGCGAGGAAAGCGTAAATCTCAATTGACCGGCCGTGAAGATCGCTCAGCCCCTTGATGTCTGTTGTTTAACAGTCAAGTATGAAGTATGTACCGTTAGCTTAATTATAATCAAGCGCTTCAGCACTCAAAGCTTCGGGAAGAAGTGAATATATTTAAATATGCATGTATAAGATGCCAAAACTTAAACTAGCAAACTTACATTTGTCGGCATTGTATATTTTCATTCCACTGATGATGGCCCCGAGGCCGGCTAGTCCACCGCCAGCGGCAATTCCGCCGAAACCCAAGCCCTCCGCCACCAATATGCCTGCATATTCTATAGCAAGAACGCCTCCAACGGCGGGGCCATAGAAAAGAATACCTGACCCAACAGCGATGATTATCAGACCTCCACCGGCGCACATCAAAAAATTACCTACGTTACGGTCCGATTCTTTCGTCGCTATACCGCGAGCTGTCTGCGAGGCTTGATTGACTCGGCAAGTTCTCTGTTAATCTCTTGAACAGAGTCACCGAATTTATCATCATCTAGGTCTTACGTGAACGTGAAGACGTTAGCCGCAACTAAATTTCTAAGCTAAGGGTTCCCTAATAGCAGAGCTGAATCAGATGGACACTTACGACGCAATTCTTGTAGTTTACTACACGCATTGTCCATGGCCCTTTTAACTGCGGTGTCAGCTTCAATAAACTTTCTTCTGATACTATCTTTATCGAGATCCCCTATGCCAACCGTGCACTAATGGTTTTTTTTAGCTATGTACACTGAAGATCTATGTATCCAAAAGTTTGACCGATATGACGGAACATATCTTACCGCAGCACGAAGTGCTGGTGCATATTTCGCCCCATATTTAAGCACTTGCAACAGAATGACTTCCTTTTTTAGATCATCAGATGGTTGACCCTCAGTCAGAACGGCTTCGAGCGGAAGCAAAGTAGCTAGTTTGTCGAAGAGAACTAGGAAGTCGCTGAGGAAAACGCCAACCTGAAGTCTACGTATACCATACATATCAGCCAAATCGAGGGGCCTCCGCCATATTGGCAGCGTTCCACTTACGGGCCTAGGAACCATTTCTGTGGGTTCCTTTGCAAGAAACATTGGGCATCCGCATCTACATCCTCGAAGAAGACATCCCCAACAGTATATCGGAGAGCGAATAGAACAAAATTGCAGTTAAAGTGTTTCTGGAGGTCTGATTGATTAGAGGTGCAAGGCATGTATCGGATATTCTTGACGTCCTTTGACACTACTCTTAGGGAGAAAGAGCTCTTGGGATTACATAGGCCATCGGCTAAACTGCGGACTGTCTCTAAGCAAGTAGCGGCCGCCTCGCGGGAAATGTTGGGAATGACGATGGTGCGATGGGTAAAGACAATCTATAGGTGTATATATAGCAATATGTAATGCCCGAGAGTGTTAGTACCGCTGACTCCTGATAAGTCGAGTAAAAATTGAATCCACAATGTCATCCCGAAACAATGACTATCAAAGCAATATATATATTGTCGGCATCGAGAATGATCGCACATGAGTTGAGATCAAAATTTAAACCATTGCAGCTAAGTGATAAAATTTAAGATAAAATTCAAGGGGTATTATTTTCTCACCTCATGTTCCAAGGCATCTCTTATAACGTTAATAGTTGATATCCAGCCTGATGTTGCTCCGAATAGCACATCCAAACGACCTCGGATGCCTCCAGGTTCAAAGTCAGCATGGTCGTTTGGGCCTGTCTCCGCCACTAGCAACTTGATTTTCAGAGGAGATGGTCCTCCCGGCATTGTGTCTGGAATCTAGTAAACCTTCTGGATTTCGAGATCTGGCGGAAGCAGCTAGAATCCAATTTCCCCTCACTGTGCACCACCGAATTATTTAAATACTGTCAATTACAGGCAGCCTTATTTCTCATTCGCCTTCTGGCTGTTCTTCATGCGCTGCATATGCATGCACGTGTGTGAATATATGTTTGTCCGAAACCAGTACGTATATTATACATATTTTGATCTGTTCACTGGTACTCAACAGGGGCTAACTAGTCCCGTCGTACAAATACCTTACACAAACACCGCATGAAGCATTGTGGGGGCACATGTTTGGTTATTATATTGAAGAAGGCTGGATTGTTTCCTGAATTCTAACATCCATCTTGTAATAAGCTAACAGCAACATAGACCTCTAGCAAAAACCCTCCGATGGCTGATTTACCGGTATCCTCGTGGGCTAACGGAATTGGTCACGGTAACTTCGGCGCAATTCCTGGCGACCCGGTGCAGAACCTAGCCTTCAGGTTGGAAAATCGCTGGGTGGCCGCTCGGGAATATTTAAGCGATTACATTGATGCGATCCAGAAGGATGAAGCCCGGTTTGTCTCTCGAGCTGGAGGGCATATTTTGGTTAATCAATTCTATAACCTCTGTTCGATGTATACTAACGTTAACCACTGAACAGCTACCATGATAGTTCGCCCGCAACGGACGAAAACATCTTGGGTATTTTAACCCATGGCCATGTCCCGCTTTGATGAATAAGTTAACATATCGACTTTCTCTTATAGCCACCACAAATAAGCCACCAAGAAACCATGATATTGCTGTCGCACACGATCTTCTCCAACGGGAGCTCGTATTTTGCAAGGAGATGCTTAGCACCGCGGGGAGTATTTTTAGCGGGCCTCATCGAGGTCGGATAACCATTACAACAGTATTGTATGTTTCCTCGTCCTGATGAACCGAACCACAGCTGACAGTTAACGCAGAGCTTGCGCTAAGTGCATGGAAATATTTGCACCAGTTCGTGCCTGGAATCCACGAGCTTTAAAGATTGGCTCAATCATTCTTTGGGGCCTCCTTGCTACCTCTCTCTTTATCACAGCGCTCAGCCCCCTTGGCGAATGGCTTACTCGCCGTTGTAGTAACAGCATCGAAAAAATACAAGCGCTGCTTCGGACGAACGCACTTAAAGAGAAGGATAGATATTCTCTAACGGGGACGGCGTGGACAATGACATTTCAGCTTTTATCAATAGAAGCAACGATATCACGCGGAAAGAGGCATCTCCGAAGCCTCTTTCAACACCAGGAGGACTAGGATATCAGCATATATATAGCGAGTCATGTTAAGAGGAAATGGGCGGATTTTGAGGTCGATCGATGCTTATACTTTGCCTCGTACCCAGTTTTGCCCGAAAGCTTATACTATTATTAAGAGGGGAAAGAATAAGCAATAAACCAGGTCTTAGGCCATCATATACATGATTTTATCACTAGGTTGTCCTTTTTCAGTTAGAAGAATACAATGATATTAATGTCGAGCACATACATCACGATTAATAAAGTCTACGAAATCCCACTGAGCCTTTTCGATTATTTTGAATTCATGAGTGGAACGGAAAATAAGGATCCCATCATAGAACTCATCATATAGTTTAAGTTTCTTCTAAGATAGTAATACTGTATAGACTGGGTTATTGTCCAGGTTACTGCCTTTGGTTCACTAAGGCGACGATAATGTTACCGAAAAGCGTCTATCGGAAAAACCAGGGTCTTCTGTAAACAGAAAAAGTCGACTGATAAACAATGCAAACGCAAAGTAGAAGCTGGTGCTCTAGAAGGAGTTAACTTCCAGACATGAATACTTACCTAAGTACTTAATATTTATAAACCTGCAGGACATTTGTCCCTCGATTTTCTTTAAATTCAATATCATACTTAAGGAACGAAAGATTAGAACATTCGACCCGTTTCCTCACAATGCAAATGAAGTCATGGGTGCGCCGCTTATATCCGGCCCCAAAAGATACCAGGATCCAAAGAAAACCAGAAGCAACACCGTTCGATGTTGTATTTTAACATCCTCCAAGACAATACATCATATTTCACGAATTCGAACAGTACTATCGTACACAATGTCCGACCTTCCGACCCCCGACATTTCCGTCTCAGACCTCTCCTATACTTACCCAAATGGTAAAAAGGGCCTTTCGAATGTATCTTTCCATGTTCCATCCTCTTCCCGTACTCTTCTCATCGGTTCCAACGGGGCCGGAAAGTCTACCCTACTAAGGCTTCTCGCGGGTAAGAATACAACCCGATATATAAGAGTTTATGTCCTACTAATTCCATAATATAGGGAAAACACTCGCTCGGGATGGAAAGATTCTAGTCGGAGGCGTTGATCCATTCAAAGAAGGCCTCGAGGGTGTGACCTACCTCGGTGTTGGTATGTATCTAGACGTTATAACTACCGTTGCACTTTGACCGGATGTATAGATACTAAGCGATACACATAGAATGGGTCTTAAACCCCATAGTTCGTACCGATATATCGGTCACCGAACTACTCCACTCAGTCGGTGGCTCGTATTACACCGAACGACGAGACGAATTAATCTCAATTCTGGACATTGACGTTGACTGGCGCATGCATGCCGTCTCTGATGGTGAGAGACGTCGGGTTCAGTTGGCCATGGGCTTAGTACGTCCTTGGAGTATTCTATTGTTGGATGAAGTCACAGTGGACTTGGATTGCCTGGCTAGATGGAGGTTCCTGGATTGGTTGAAGCAGGAGACCGAGAAGCGAGGGTGTACTATTGTAAGTTCATCGGTATATCTCGTTTTTATAAAAGAATGTTTAGTTACTAATAGGGATATAGCTCTATGCTACGCATATAACTGATGGTCTGGCAAACTGGCCTACTCACCTTGTCCGTATGACTCTGGGCGAGACTCGTAAATGCGGTCCGATCGCTGAGTTCTTCCCACCACAATCAAGGGCTGAAACTTCTCACGTTGAAGATGCAGTTATCGGGAGAAATTCATCACTCCTCGATCTTGTTATGCGCTGGCAAGCCGAGGATCTAGTCGAAAGAGGCCCACGGCCTTCCGCAAAGAAGTTACAGAAGTCTTCATCTTAGACGCCGGCGATGTCACTGGTACCAAACTTAACTGTGTGGATCATATCTTGTTTCTTTGTTGTTTAGCGGGACTTCAACGTCCATGATGGCTTTTCCCTTCAACATATATCATTTGTACAATATCTCAACGATACCCAATGCACTTATGTCTGTATCTCATATATTCTAACTGAAGAGTCTTCGCTCGAGATCGCGACTTCAAAAGTCTTGTCCTCCCCGCTAGGTTTCCAGGCGATTTGTGTGATTGCTTTCGCAGGTGCAATGTATCCATCGACCTCTACCCATTGCCCCCACCCCTCGATCCCACCACCCTCTTTCACTTTAGCCTTATAAACACTCCAAGCACCGCTCTCCAGCCCTACTGCCAGCACCACAAATCGGCCCTCGTCTAGATCAATCACCCGATCTAGTATATCGATAGCCGTAATCGGCTCCTCAAACTTGACCGTTTCAGTACACCCCCAATCTTTACCCTGTAATTCCCAAACTTTCACCGTTTTGTCTCTCGCCGCTGTAACAAAGGCCCTTCCAGCCTCTAGAGGGACCCACTTTCCATCAAAGATAACTCTCGTCTGAGCCTTGGCCATCACCTGCATAGGTTTATATGGTGCACCAAACTCCTCCAACCCTTCTGTAACTCTTTCAAACACCGTCCACTGCCTATCTCTCCCCACGCTTAACATGTAAGTGTCATCCCTCGAAAAGGCAATTCTGTTCACCGTCAAAGAATGCGCTTCCAACGCTGGTTTGAGCTGTCTCCATGTTTTTGTCTCGAACATCCTGATAACCGCGTGTGATATCGATGAAGCTTTACATGCTGTAGCAATAACATCTCCAGCGTTACTACACCCAATTGTAGAAATCTCGTATCCATGTCCATACAGCTTCTCTTCTTCAGGCCAAAGCGTATGTCTCGATAACGAATCCTCGAATGGAGGGTATGCATGTCCTTCGGCGTCTTGATCATTTTCTTCTCCTTCTCCATTTTCTTCGGGGGCAGTATTGACGGCTTTGTTTGACAGTCCTAATACAGGCTGACTGGCCACATCAGGCAATGAATCTATATCTGCCTGCTGGATGCCGCACAGGTCTTCTAGCATCTTAGCGATTCCCCTCGGCTCGCCGAAGACTCGCATAAGTTTTTCATCTGCGCCGCTCACGAATTTTGTAGGACTGATGGAGACAATAGAGTTGATATCATAACCGTGAATCTGTGGCCTCGAAAACTCATAGAATGGTCTGTGTTTCGAAGACTTCCAGCGGGCATAAAGCCGGGTCGATTGATCCAAACTAACACATCGTCAGTCTCACTTCATAGGGAACCCGATATTTTCTTTTTCACTTACCTCGTAGAAAGTAGATACTTCCCCTCTTTCTCCCACGAAACTCCCATAACATCTCTAATATGTCCTGCCACAGCTCCCTTCTGCACCCACTCCCCTTCCCCACTAGTATTCCACCTTCTCCACCCACCATTCTTGCCAAATGATACTACATTGTTCCCATAAGGACTCCACAATCCAGTCCAAAAGCCGCCTGTGCTACCGGTCGCGGTACTCGAACCTTTCATACCACTCGCTTCACCCATTCTTGCGGTACACACCCATATACCACTAGTTTCATCCGCCTCCCATATTGATAGCGAATTATCCGCAGATGCAGTTAATAGTTTGATCTTCCCATCTGTTGTATCCTTTCTAAATGACGCAGAGTAAACCCAATCCTCGTGACCCACTAGTAAAGCTTCAAAGGTAATCGAATAATCCTGTTTACCACTCCCAGCCGAAAATCGATGAGCTTTATTGGATAGAGCTTGTCCCATGATCATCATCTTTGAACCTGCAGACTGGGCGGGTAGTGCAGTACCACGGTGTACACGCCAGAGACGAATATAGCGATCTTGACTGCCAGTTGCGAGGAGCAGATCGTCTGTGCTGGCTTCACGGACGAAAGATAGAGAACGGATCCAATTTTCGTGACCGGTTAAGGTGGCTGAAAGTGCAAAATCGGATTTGTCCTCGAAAGTACTACCCACAAATATTTGAATAGAGTTTGAAGAGCCAGATATAGCCAGGACCCAGACGTCGGCTTCTGTCCGTTCCCCTGCCTCGACCCCATCCTTCTTATTTGCTGAAGAAAGTTTTGCGAGTGCGATGCTAAGCGGGAAGTACTTTGGCTTCGTAGTCAGGGTTTGTAGATGTGTTAAAACCTTCTCTTCTTCCTTCGATGCATCAAGTCTCCAGATCTTGATACTCCCATCTGCAGATGCCGAAGCGATGATTGTACCGTTTTCCTTTTTCTCTGTGTCTTCAGAAGAACCATTGCTGTGTTTACTGCCCACCCTCTCAACCGCAATATCCACAATCGACCCATCATGTGGTGGGGATTGAACTAGTAACTCATAGCGAGGTATATCCGAAGCAGTAAACGGCTTCACAAGCTTCCACACCCGAAGAACTTTGTCAACTCCTCCAGATAGTAGTATCGATGAAGAGTCCGGTGTACCGTCCAAGAACCGGACGGCAGATACTTTATCGGTATGACCCTTTAGGGTTGCAAAAACACCAGAAGAGGATTTTTCGGTCTATATTAAATCAGTTAGACCGTGGATTTGCGCGGATGTTGTACATGGAGGGGTATTTTGGAGGGGTAGCTTGGTACCTCATCGATCCTCCATAAGGCAATCACATTACCAGCGCCATAAGCAATAAACCCAGAGTTTATGTCCCAGTCCGAGGCGGCCGGAATTCGGTTTGCGCCGATAGAGACGAAACGAGGGTGTATTCTGCCGCGAGTATCTGTCATGGTGGGGTATTTAGAACCGTATATAAAATTAGAGGTTTTCTGGGGAAGCTAGCGAAGGAAGGATGCAAGCGAAAAGTTCAATTGTGGTAGAAATTTCGTTGTTGGCTGGGCACAAGCTTGATTGCTCAATAATGCTAATTAAGAGTCACCTTCAATTCGCAGAGGCTAAGGGGTCTGGATCTCTAATGACAGCCACTCTAAAACTTCGTCAATTGTTATTTAAGCCTTTTCTTCTAGATAACTCTGCGAATATACATTTCAGGAGCACCTCTATATACGGAATAGCTCGATCCTTAACAAACTCATATCCCCCGTTCTCCGCCCAAATTGTATACTAGGAACAAAGAAAAGATAACGCCAAAGACGGGAAAGGTCGAGTCAGACATGGGAATCTTTGCAAAGAAGAACAAGTCTAAAAATACAGAAAATACTTATACTCGAGGAAAGAGAATACCCAAACTACAAGACTTGGTTGACACCAACTAAAAGGAATTTCGCAGCTATGAAGAATAAAATTTATATCCCAGTAAACACTGGTGGGAATCCGAATGGTGTATTTGGGACTTCTTGGTGGATACCCGGTGGTATCGGGATTCTCCTTGCGACATTGTTGTAGCTCGCTGGCACAATCTATCCAAAAAGTTAGTGAGCCTACTCTTCCACAGTGACTATTTATACAATTCCTTACCTCAACGATCTCGTCCCTTCCAAACTTCATCGTCGGAATATCCGCTGTCGAACAGGCCATTAAGTAGGCATAAAGCACCCTTAAGACGCTCTCGTGGGCAATGATGAGTAGATCATTGTGCTCTCTCTCCAATTCCAGGATAATTGGCTCAAGACGAACCGCTAGGTCGTGGTAGCTCTCAGATCTGGGATATCGGTGGTGATAAGGATCGTGATTGTGTTTCTCTAACTCCTCAGGATATCGTTCGCGGATTTCCTCCTCGCTAAGACCTTCAACAGCGCCTGGGTTGAGCTGAGAAAGCTGTTGACGTTGACGAACCTTGATGCCTTTGGCGGCAAGTTGGTCTGCGGTTTGGACAGTGCGGATACGAGTGGAGGTCCAGACGACTAGGGGGCGATCCTCTTTAGAACCACCGGCAGCAACATGAGCGCGAAGTTCTTCAACACGGAATTTAGTGATAGTGTCGGCCAAACGGCGAGCATAGTCGAGACCTTGCTCGGAGAGCGGAGCATCGGCCTTGTAGGAGTCATGATCTGCTATTCCAGACTAAAAATCAAAGCAAATTTAGTATGAAATTATAGGTTGGATCATTGGATCAGCTTACCCTTGCAAAATAAGTTCGTCTGGATTTGATATGTAAATTCATTAGATAGAACACGATACGGTTGGGTAAGTATCCGAAACGGCAGTTGTTCACAATAATCCTCTCTCCAGCATTAATCATCTACAAAATTTACTTTTAGCTTAAGAACGAATCATTGGTTTCATAGTGAAACCTACCTTGATGTAGTCGAGCTCTGTTTCTTCCATGGTTTCAAAGTGAGGAATTTTTACAGTTATCCTACGAAGATAGTCCTGGACAGCATCCTCTGGCTTCCAGCCGGCGTACTGTTTTCTACTTTTAGCTTCAAGAACGTAATCGTATGGCTGGTGACCTTTTATCCTTACATCTGGGGAGCTGATTTTGACGTTTCTAACATTCTCCTCGATAATTTTCATATCGTCGCAAGTAGATTCAATAAAGATTGGCTAAGAGTTGTCAGCATAACCTCCAGGATATCGATATATCGTTGTGTAACCCTTACATGAATATCATTCTTTAAGAATTCTTTCGCGAGAAGTCGTCTCCCCGCGGCTGTGGGATTAACAGCATCGTATATCGCAACTTGTCCGCCATGCTGGTCGAAAAACTCGTAGATATCCGTTCGGCATTGTCGCAATATTTTTTGGCGCAGAAGCACGGATGATGGCGATGCTAGTTGTTGGGCACTTTCCTTAGTGAACGCGTTTATCCTAACTTCTTACGTAAATATCTCGCCTACCATTTACGAAGAAATAATCTTCTGGAACATCCTGTCCAGGCGCACAATGCGCTCTTCGGTAGTCACCCAGGTGGAAAGTATGTGTTATTACACCGAGCCTGGTGTTACCAGTCAGTCATGGCATCGGAGATATGGTTGGACGAATATAGGGTTACCATCGAAGGTATCGAGTTAAGGCGACCGATAAGTGGCTGAAGTTCATACAACTTAGTATCATATAACCAATTTTGAAAGTCCCAGGTATATATAAGGAAACATACGTCTTCCCACGCGCAGGTAGTCCAACTGTGATGATCGCGATCTTTCCAGAGTGGAACAGTCTACCAGAGGTGGTGCTGTACAGCTGGGCCGGAGCCATCTCGCCCTTAATGAACGGCCATTTTTCATGCACTTTTGAGGCATCAAACACGGTCGCGATTGGTTTAGCCATTGCTCGTTCCTCAACTAATTGAAAATAGGGATTCCGCGAGGAAGTGGTAGTCGTCGTAGTGGAGTTCATCGGGAATATGTGTTGAATACAACGTATTGGATATGCAAGAGAAAAAACTAGCTCTATCCAGCTCTCCGGACAGCTTATTGAAGAGATGGAGAAAACAAAAGGATGCGGCCAAGGGGATGAAATGAAAGTTAAGTGGATGAAGTCATTACATGCAATGTTTTGTGGGAAAAACGAGGCAGGGTATGTTCACTCTTATATTGGAAAGCTGGGGAGCTCAAGTCTGGGCGAAAGCAAGATAAGGTGCATCTAAGGTGCTGCATATAATGATAGCACGTAAGGGGATGCATGTATCGGTGATTGGCTTAGCTTACCTCCATCTATATCCACGCTGGACCTTCTGCGATATGCCGTGGAGGGTGGGGTCTCCCGGGCCCTAGATGATATCAGAGGTTAGTTTGTCAGAGATTCGATTCAGATCCAGAGCCAGATATAGAAACCGCCATAAAACATAGTTGGTGCCCGGCGGCACTGCTCGGCTGCCGAATAGGTATGCATCATTTGGATTTTAAATGCAGTGCCACATGCTGAAGCCCGAGGTATTCGAAACCGGAGGGGTTCAGATCTGAGGTTGAAGTGCGGACTTACTGATTGTCCCTGGTCATTTTGGCCTCTGGCTTGTGTTGCTGTGGTTGGAGTCCCCAGAAGGAAGGACTAAGCAACCCTTCGAAAAGTCTGAACAACGTATTGGTGTAATCTTGCCGTCACTCTGAGGGTAGTTCTTTGTATTTCTGTCGGAAGCGAGCTGGGGATTTAGTTCTTGTGCGATATTCTCGATCGTGAAACTGTAAAGTTAATTTAAGTGGTTGTAGTAGTTATGTTATTTTATATCTCAACGTCAAAACTTGTGAGGTTGCGGCTGTTCGGGTCACCGAAAATTTCCGAGCCTCCCGGGGCCGTGCCGAACTTGGGAGACTTCTCACGGTCGTACGGAAATCACAGGGGAAAGAGCCTCTGACGGCCTTTTGGACGATGGGGCTGGTGGGTATGTTGCAAACTGCTAGCTATAACCTAGAAGACCGGTGGTGGGTGCTGTATACGAGGGAGGGCACCGTCCATGCGAACAAAGCAGAGTGTGCTGTGTGGTGTATGGAAAGAGATGGTTGATGGACAGCCAACCGATCCGTCATATGACACAAAAGGCCGAATAGTTTTCCAGGTTCGTGAGGTGGGGGGGAACTAAACGGGCAAAACGAGCCACGGACGTGGGGGCTGGGATTTGGCTGAGTAAGATCAGGATCGCAGAGAGAGATCAAGATCTAGCTGATGAGATAAGATAACAGGCCTGAGCCTGACTTCTCCAGTAAAAGCAAAAATCCCGCCTCCCTCCCAAAAGGATCCGTGCCTTTGTGTCGAAAGGGAACGGCCTTTTACGAAGAAGCACGTGTCCGCTGCTAGGATCATTTTCGCTCCTTGCTCAGTCAATCGACGAGTTCACCAGGAGGGTCTTCCAGCCAGCCCCGATCCTAAGCTCATGGTTAGTTGTCATCAGTTATTCCAACATTTTGGTAATTATAGTGACAACTTCATTGTTTCTCCATAGGTGTTTGCTGTAGAGGAAAGGACTTTGGTGCCTTGCGACTACGGCAACTGTGGCCGCAGCCTTGTGTTTCCGTAGTGTGATGCCGGAAATTCCCTTCAGGCCATTCCCGTACCCGTCTTCACATAGAACAAACCAGGTTGATCACTTGCAGCCCAGTAGTGCCTGAATTGATGGCTTCGTATCCCCAGTCAAGGTTGTGATGTCATGTCGTCAATTGGTATGCCCTTCTTATATTTCCAGACCATCGTGTAAGTATGTATGAGTATTTTGTATGTAAGTAGCTTCTCGAGTCCCTCACCTGGATCCTGACACGCAGCCATCCGGTATGCCAGTTTCCATGCATCAGCTCACCAGGACCCTTTGCTTTGGAGTATCATGGCATCAAACACGCCAAGACATGGTTGGTCGTATTGCTTTTTTTGACGCTCATGCCCAAACCCGCATGCTTTGTTTTTCCTGTCTTCTATTTTTGCTTCTTTTCGAGTACCGAAATGCATTGGTCTGTATCGGTCAAAGGTTGTGCGTGTGTTATGTACCATTAAAGTTCCGCGACCGCAGAAGCATACGGCGGCGATACCTATCCGTGACCTGTCTTGATTGCTTTTGGGCGATGCCGTTCCAGCTGTATGTATGTTACGAAATATAGTACATACGCATACATTGAATGCTGGGGCGACTGGGGGACTTGTTGACTACTTGCGCAACCGCGGATCGAGGCGTGTGCAGCCTGGTATCCCTAGAGTAACAGCTTGGTCCTGCCAACATCCGTGAGGAGCCTACAGCTGTTTCTTTTTGGGGGGGTTTTCCTAGCGATTGAAGCGGAGGTGAGCGATCTAAATACACGCACGAGAAAGTAGGTTAATTTGGGCTTACCCGTTTCATATATCTCATCTCAGGATATGAGTCGATATTTCTGAAAGGTTGTATTGATAAGTATCTCGTTCTACCCGTTAGATCGAGACTCCATAGATTGACATATGTCAGAAGCTGGTGGCTCAGAAACATTATATCTATAAGAATATATCTTATAAAACTCATCGGCCAAGAGGTCCTTCCTTTTTCTGCAGTCTTACCAGAAACCGTTCACTCACAAGGCGGTGTGAAGCCTCAAGGTCTGTCCCCACCTTTTTTACTTTTTCTCGCTTCCCTTGCTCGGAAGAAGGTGATTCGCCCGGGCCTCCTCGAACGAACGCAGATTGGCTTGAGGGCTGTCTTGCTTGCACTTACTCGCCTTTGGGTGGATCCGTTGCAATTCTTCCAGAGGCCCCGTCGTCTGGGGCCAGGCTGGGTATTTTTGCTTGTCGTTTTATTTTTTATTTTTTTCCTTTCCTCCTCTGGTGCATTTTATATAATTTTGCTTTCTTTTCCTGCCTGCCATCTATCTTCCTTTCTTCTTCTTTGCATTCCCTCCTCTTCCTCCTCCTCTTGCCCCTTCCCCCTCCCATTCCTAGCGCATAACTCTTATTTCAACTTCTTCCCTCCAGAGTACCCGAGTTCCCCCTTCGCCTCCTAATTTCTCTTCGTGGCCATTCACATATACGCTCAAACCATCGCGAAATACCGCTCGAGATTTCGCGTTGGTAAGCCAGGTCACGTCATCACGAAGTCGTTTGGATAGAAATATTCCCCGGTCGTCTGAACCTGAGCTGTTCCAATCGAAAGTCGCGGTGAGAGGAACCGCAGCCTTACCCGCTAAACATCCGCATCGCCCTGTCGCCGGTCTGCTGTGTTGTTCCGAAGGACTTCCACGTTTCTCAACCCGCGACCTTTTATCGACAGCCCGACTTTATTAATCTCGCGTAGAGGACGGTCTGCTGCACTAAAGAAAGACATCTTTCTCAGGGGACTGAAAATCTCGCCGCCTTACAACACTCCACACACTGGGTTCGGACACGACGCTCTTCGCATTGGCCTCCTGTGCACCAGTTCGTTCGTTATCCTCTCCTCATCGCCGGATCAACCGTAGATACGTTAGACATCATGTAAGTTGGGCATATGTAGCTTGGAATATTCCTTTTCTGCGATGGTTCTAGTGCTTTTATCTTCTTGTGGTTCCCTATTTCCGTGCAATGCGCAGAGGTGTTAGTATTTGATTCTCCCGGTACTGGACTCAGGCATACCATCTCAGGCATACCAAGTTCCCATCGTATATCTCTTGTTTTGGATTTGCTCGATTGGAGGTGGAAGGTTGATGAAAGAGGACTGGGGATACAAATAGGAGGGGCGGAGATCACCTATAAAATATCTTTGATGGGCAGGCTTCTATCGGGGCGTGCCTAGCAACGGCCCCCCTCCCCCCCACAAGGTTGCGATCACTACTATCGATTTACCCTCTTATTTCTGCGTAGTCTCGAGACCCCTCTCTATCTCCTACAATACGTCTCTGCTTTGATTCTTACTCCTACCCACTCTACCTACATGACCGCCGTGTTCTCATCGCTCTAGTGTTTTGATACTTCGTCTAACTTCCACGATCACAGTCTAGAAACCAATATACATACAACCGATAGTGCTTACTAGTTTCGGCAGGCCATTGTGTCATCCGGGTCACTACATTAAACGTCTACCTCGATATCCCGGCGTATTAGCCACCCGTGAATCAAAATGTTTAATGCCCATCGTGGTCATGTACCGGGCGCGGCCCCGAATCGTTTCAACGAAATCATCGACCAACTGCGCGCCGAGTTTGATGCTCAGATCCAAAGAGGTGCTGAATCTGATCATAAGGGTAAGCTGTGATAGGATTTGTTACCAGAAAGATGACAACTTTAACAGTGTGGTTAATTTGACATATTGTAGTGAACAGCCAGATGCAAGAAATGGAGATGATTCAGAGAGCAGTTTTCAACCTAGAAAGTAACTACTCGCAAATGAAGAAACAGTAAGATCCCCATCTATTACTTTGTAGATATATGTAGGACCCAATGCTAACGCCAGATATCTTTTAGATATGAAGAGCAAATTGCCAATTTGACTCGTGAGCTTGAGAAATATACTGGCCAAGCTCCCCATCCTGGACAGGGTCAAAGCGCTGGCCCATCGACTGCGCAGCCAGTGCCACCTGTGCTGCATCAAGGACGAGGTGGTCTCTTCGGTGACATTATGTCTGGTACTACGCAAGTTGGTGGCCCTAACATGACGTTGGCAGATCCATCCGCCCATCAGCAGCCGTCGCAACAGCAGCCCGGCGGACCATCCCAGTCTGGGAGTCATCCGCCTCCCGGGCCACATAATCATCCCATTCATGCACCACAACCAATCTCAACTCCTCAAGTTGGACCACAACCGCCCGCACAACCACCCCAACAACCGCCGAGCAATTATCCTCCTGCTCAGCCATCGAGCTTTGGACAAAATGGTTAGCTTAACTTTGTTTCTCGAAACGTAAAATATAGCTAATTCAATCATGTATAAAGGGTTTTCCGGGCCTAGTACTCAGCCACAACCACAACCGCCTGCCCCTCCAGCACAGTCCCTCACTCCAAGACCTAATAAGGGTATTTACCATCTTTTCTTCCAACCAACCACAGGGAGGTTACCTGGTGGCCGTGGAGTGCTGACCTAAAGAAACAATAAAGACCTAGATATTTCCCGGATTCCACAGACACATAAGAAGGAAGGAGCGGATTGGTTTGCTTATTTTAACCCTCGTGTGCCTCGTGTGCTCGATGTCGACCTCGTCCACACCCTAGAACATAACAGCGTTGTCTGTTGTGTTAGGTTCAGCCACGACGGCAAATACCTCGCCACCGGTTGCAACAGAAGCGCCCAAATCTTTGATGTTCAGACTGGCCATAGGGTGACTCTACTCCAAGACGAAACTGTTGACCGGGGTGGTGATCTATACATCCGAAGCGTTTGTTTCAGTCCTGATGGATATTATCTCGCCACCGGAGCTGAAGACAGACAAATTAGAGTACGTCCATCCCCTAGCTGAAGCCAAAAGTTCGATTGCCCTTGTAACTCCGCACTAATCACAAACTCTCTCGTGTTAGGTCTGGGATATCAAAAATAAGAGAATCAAGCACAACTTCCGCGGCCACGAGCAAGATATCTACAGCTTGGATTTCTCCAAGAATGGCAGATATATTGCGTCCGGCAGTGGAGACAAGACAGTTAGGATTTGGGATATGGAAAACCCTGATCGGGCCCCTCTCGCTTTCACCATAGAAGACGGCGTCACTACCGTCGCCATATCACCGGATAGCAGATTTGTTGCTGCTGGTAGTCTTGATAAGTGCATTCGTATCTGGGAAATTGCCACCGGTAAATTTGTCGAGAGACTCGAGGGATCCGATAGACCCCCACAGCCCGAAGGACCAGATGTCGTTCCAGAACCTGAACCACCACATGATCATAACGAGGGTCATCGAGACAGTGTTTACAGCGTTGCTTTCACTGCAAACGGCACTGGTCTTATCTCCGGATCTCTGGATAAGACCGTCAAGATGTGGACACTTTCATCGGCGAGCTCTCAGGGCGTTGGTCAGAAATTGGAGCCCCGCGTTAAGACATTTGAGGGCCACGAGGTATGGTTTCTTCCCGGCCTTAAACCAAAATTACAAGGCCATTTCCCTTGGTTGTAGTATTCTAACGTTCGGCCTCATCACAGGATTTCGTTCTAAGTGTCGCTCAAACTCCAGATGCATATGGACCATGGGTCATGTCGGGTTCGAAGGACCGGAGAGTGCAATTCTGGGACCCTAGAACAAATCAAACTCAGCTTATGCTTCAAGGACATAAAAATTCAGGTCGGTGACATCCTTACCTATATGATCGTTTTGTATGCGGCTAACCTGGAAATTCGTTTTTATAGTTATCTCCGTTGCCCCCAGCCCTGCTGGAAAGTTGTTTGCGACCGGTAGCGGCGATTATAAAGCCAGAATCTGGAGGTATGTTATTTAATATCCTAGATGCGATTTTGGAGTGCTTTGTTCTAACTTTGTTTTCTTGTCGTAGCTACGATAGGGTATAAGTATACGATCGCATTTGTGCGAACGGCTACGTTATCTAGTGACCAACCTCGTAGGTGTTTCCTTCAACCTTCGGACCTTTTATTATTATTGTTGGACCAGGCGATCGTTTTTGTGTTTCGTAGGCAGAGATATCACTTTTCCCTGTTTTTAGAGCTGTCCCAATCCATTTTCATGCCGGTATTATTTTTATTTTCTTTCTTCACACATCGTATTATTATTATTATTATTATGATTATCCATATCTTTTTTATTTTATTTCATTTTCCTTGTTTGCTTCTGAAAAAAAGAAAAGCCTGTCGAGAGATATCAAAAGGGGGAAATGTTTTAAAAAAGGCCGCGGCGGAAAGAGGATTGATAGTTGTGGCGTCGAAGTGGAGGAGGAAAGAGATTCAACGATTACGAATTTGATCCAAGCAATATTATATTCTATTACTCAATTATCTTCCGAGAGCATTTTTGCCTTATATCGATACACCGTCCCGCACCGGCAGGTTTGATCGGTTCGGGCGGTGATGTGTATGTATACATGTATGTTCTTTTCTTTTGTTATGAATTTTCTTCTTCGATCCGTACTTTAGTATATACGTATACTTGTAGCATGAGCGCCTTCCCGCGTACCGCGCTTTCCCTACCTTTTATGCTCGTGGGGACCAATGCGAATCAGCACATTCCCACCACTTTCTTTTCCCCTTTGCTAACATATACGCGTAGAAATGTACACATGTAGTGGAGTCGCTTCGATTTTTGGCGGACATGTTAATATATGCATTGGAGGTGAATTGTAATGCATTTGCCTTGCTCAACTTTTATCTCGAGCCCCCTCACGAGGCCAAACTAGTTTAACTAGATTTATTACTAGTCTGGCCCCAGATTGCAGGATCCGGCGGCCACATGTATACTGACTATAATACCGACGCCGGTCTTTTCCGTTGAGATCTCTCCGTGATTCTTGGACCAGTACCATGTCAACCGTTTATGCCGGTACCCTGCATCATTCCTTCATCTGAACCACGAATTCTTCCCTTCCCCTTCCCCTTCCCTTCCTTCCGTCGATAAGCCTGTCGAAATTGGTGTCTGCCCTTGCATAAAATGGCAGATGTTATATTTCTTATCTCCGACAGTTTTCTAATTTTTTTTGGATTTTTTTAATAACACCGTATACATATATACCGTCACGATCGATAATATCCCAGCTATAGCTACTGCGTATTTAATGCTCCAGGTTTTCATGATGGTCCCCGGATCGGAAAGAAACAGTAGAATCGTGCTATGCGTGCCAATTTACCAGCCCTCTTTAGAACTTCGTCAATTGATCTAAAATACGATACCCCGTACTATACTATCGCATGTAATGGGTTGGTATCAAGCTTCGCGGGCTCAATTGGAACAAGCTTTTCGTTAACTGGTATGATAGATCGAGATATATCCCTGCGTAGCTAGCTGCGTCAATCATAGTACTATCTTATATACACCACTAGAACAATATTTGAAATGAATCTCGGGAAGATTCACATTATCACGATTGTAGAATAGATCCCTGAATACGATCCCATGGATTGTCTTGGTATTGATGTATTCGTCTTATCACGAAGGTGTCTTCCTTCACTTCCCATTATAGTGCCAGATCTTCACATCAACCCCTGCGCTAGGCCTACCAAACATTAACAACGTACCATGATATCTTAATCTTTGGCCCATATTATATATTGTGTATGCACGAGAGATCTTGTGGGAGGTTACCAACTACGAGGCGGTAGCTACTGCTTATCGAGCTGTGAGGGATCGGTAAATACCGCACTGGTGTCATTCATATGCATGCACACTAATCCTCAACAACCTAACATTCACCTTATACTTCATACTGTATACCAACCACAAAGTTACAAATATCGCACCACCATAACAAATCCTGAACGTCCACCTACATAGGTGGCTATTCCAGGCTCTGGAATGTAACTTACATTTCCGCCAAGCCGCAGTACCTAGGACATACCGGCTATGCGGAATATTATTACGAAAGACCAAAAAAAAAAAAAAAAAAAAATGCCCAATGGATTAATGATTAATATGTCAGCCGCATACGGGGTGGTAGTCGTGATGGCTACCATCATTTTGTACTAGTTCCCAAGTTCCGCGAGCCGACACAAATTCGAAGGCTATTTCCCATGCATAAGCTAAGGACAGGTTTGTCTAACCCTTGCGAGACCCAGAAACCGAAAAACAATGCCCATCATGATATCAGCTAACCCTTTTTCGAAATCATCCAGTGGTGCAGTACTAGTTGCACACTAGCAGTACTAGTCTGGGGGTGCAGTACATATGTACTTGCATACTATCTCGTGCAACATGACACGGGCAGTTTTTAGTGGGTTGCAGGCGAAATGATCATTTCCCACGAGATTATACGTTATTCTTTCGTACTTTCGTACCATTTTTTTTTTTTTTCGACTTCGGGATTAGCTTTGGCCGGGGGGTTTACGTAGTACCGTAGCTCAAAGAAGTGATATAGGTAAGGTCTTCTAATAATCTTCGGCTGATCCTAGGCCAAGCAAGTTATAGACTAAGCTAATTTGTATAGTATAACAGACGAGGGAAGTTCAAAAACAACTACACGAAAAATGAGCGTGTGATGCACCAACGTTTAATCGACTTAAGCTTAGACCCTGGGACACTAATATCGATAAGACAATGAAGAAGGGCTCCAGTAGCTAAAACCTCCCGGATCGCACTTGATTGATAGCCAGATCGGAACTAGTTGTCTGGTTTGTACATTTTGTTGCAAAATTATACAGTATTCGGTACGATGTCTGAAGGGAAACCTCTCTTTTTAATTGGAAAATGTTCTGCTCGACCCGGCCTTAACTACTTCCGGGTCTACGTTTCACTCTTGCATCTGCGGATAGGGATTTTCGGGTTTATCTCATGTCATTCAGCGTATTTCTTCGCTAGCAATATCCGTTTCAGTTTTGTGGTGGAAATTTTGCGGTTTGTAAGGTTACGTACATAGGCATAGCGGGAATGGAAATTTCGAAATGTCACAACGTATTCCGTATAAAATAAAATATCATGAAGGCTAAAGCCAAGGGAGGCAATGACATCGTAGTGGGCTGATGTACAAATGTCCTGAGGTGAGCGCCCGGTTTTAGTCAACATTTCTAGCTAGCTTGAATTCACGAGCTCGAGTCGATAACTGCCTCGAGTCCTCTTCAGATCTACTAGATATCACACTTATAATTAGCTAGTATACAGTAGTGCAGAATTCGGCTGAAAAAATGTAACCATTTGCTTACTATCGTAGCAAGGAATGGCCATCAATGGGCGTTAGAACAGTTCCGGGAGACTTTTCCGCCTCCCGGTGAATCGAATCTAGACCTGTTATAGCACTTAGGTCCCGAGACCGTGCGAGTAAACGATTCCTGTTGTGATGCCGCTACCCTCTCGGCGCGAACCCGTTGAACATTGCGGCACCTTGGGGGAACATTAATATATTCCCCAGGTAATATTTCAGCTCGGAAAGACGGGCCCGATAACTATACTATATATTTATGCTTGCAGATAATAAAATAGTGGTTGGGACTATAGTATACATAGAGTATGAATTTTATATAAATGACTTTAAAACTAAGAACTTAGTTAAAAGCACGGCTAAATATTTTGCAACCACGCCGTACCGCGATACTACTAAAGCTGGAGGGTCAGCCTGAAAATGCACCACAATTAAGTTTTCGAAATTTCTGGGACCCAAGACAAACCGCTTTGGTCGAAATTAATTTCCGTTCACACCTCGAAGGCACACGCATGGACTACATGTATCTTCCTGCACCTCGAAGCACAACCCCTCAGAAACGAACGTAGATCGCCAACCTCATCTGCTTAGGCGTTTAGCAAGTTTAGGCACTTTCGCATGCGATTTGGTTGAAATCCTGTCATGTTATTTGATGGGCCCCAGAACACTTCACTACAATGCCTATCTGGCTGGGCAACCCAGGAATTAATTCTTATGAACACAAAATAGCAATTCAAAAGGGGACTAATGCGCTTTTTTTTTCAAAAGTTTCGTACATGCATGATGTGGTGGACATCTCGAACGGACTGTACCCCCATGCTATGGCCACGGCAGAATATCTGAAAGAGCTTATAAACGGGCTTCTACGGCTCAAATCATCGAGTCGAGTTCTCAAGAACTATCCCGCTATTAACGGAACGTATATTAAGTAAATCTAGACCGTTGACGGAGCCGGATAGTGGGCCGTTGGGTCCTGTAGCTAGCTAGGAGGGCTGTGGGGAAACTTCTAGACATCATCTCTAGTTCATATAGCTCATTCGTTACAAATGTATGGCAAAAAGCTATGGTGCGATGCCCACTGCATGCAGAATGCTCAACAGGGAGAATGGAATACGTCTAGATGGGTAAGAAAATACTAGAAGGGCAAGTCTTGTTATTGTTGGGACAACCCTATTGGTGGGGGTGGTTCGGAATCGGAAAACTTTTGACGAGGGATTGGTTCGAAGAGCTCGAAAATCATCGGAGCTGGATTAGACTAATGGCCTAGTGAAGTCTGTGAACGACACCGTGTGGGTATTTAAAATATAGCTAGATGCATTCTATGGATATATGGGGCATAGGTAGACGAACATGAGGGGGTATAGGATCGACGATGCATGGCGGCCACGGGAAGACAAAAGGTGTTAATTGCCACTTGTTTAGATACTCATGAGTGCTCACCGGCATGTGAACAACGGCAAGGACCTTGTAAATGCCTCCCTGGGAGGGCAAATGTGGGGACGTTCGAGGGAGCGCATGGGCCAGGTGCAATTATTCAGATGCCCGGGTGCCGAACTAGAGTTTCCTCTTAACCCGGGCCGTAGAAGTTTTCCAGCAGTTACTACGCCCTACTTGGATTAACCTGAAGCCGACTGCGCGATATAGTTTTCCATAAATCTCTAAAGAAGAAATTTACAACAAGAATCCGAGCTAACACCCACGTTTTAGATCACC